AGCTGGAGGTGCAGCCGCTGGCGGTGCTCGGTCTGGGGGTGCTCGGTCGCGGGGTACTGGAGCTGGAGGTGCTGGCGCAGGTGACGCTAGCTCTGGGGGTGCTGGAGCTGGAGGTGCTGGCGCAGGTGGCGCTAGCTCTGGGGGTGCTGGAGCTGGAGGTGCTGGCACTGGAGGTGCTGGTTCTGGGGGTGCTGGAGTTGGGGGTGCTGGCACTGGCGGTGCTAGTTCTGGGGGTGCTGGAGTTGGGGGTCCTGGCACTGGCGGTGCTGGTTCTGGGGGAGCTGAGTCTGAGGAGACTGACGCTGGAGACCCTGGCTCTGCGGAGTCCACTCCGCCCCCCCACCGCCACGACACGCGTCTCCAGGCTGCTCGTCGGCGTGAGCGTGAGGAGCAGGAGCGGTTGGAGAGGGAGCGGCAGGAGCTGCGGGTGCTGGACCTTCTGGAGCAGCAGCGGCAGCAGCAGCAGCAGCAGCAGCAGCAGCAGCAGCAGCAGCAGCAGCACCAGCAGCAGCAGCGGCCGCAGCCGCAGCCGCAGCCGCAGCAGCAGCGGCCGCAGCCGCCACCGCAGCTTCCTCTGGAGCGGCGGTTGTTCCCACCTGTGAGTGGCCTGCGGACGCTTGGCCTTTCCTCCTCTCCTCCTGTTCGCTCCCAGTCTCCTCCTGTGTTTGTTCCTCCGTTGCCTCCTCCTGACGACCGTCCGGCGGTCTGGTCTTCTCCTCCTCCTCAGTCTCCTCCTCCCTCTGTCCGTCGCGACTTGATCACTCGTTGTCCTCCGCGTGCTCGTCACTCGTCCCCTGTTACTGACCTCCACACTGCCCTCCTTTGTTCGTCTCGTCGTCGTTCTCCTTCTCCTGTGTCCGTTCTCCCGTCTCCTCCTCCGTCCTCTCTACCTGCCCTCCCCACTCCTATCTCTGACTACTACCGCGCTGTTCGTCCTGTTGCCGCACGTGTCCTCACCACTCTTGTCAGCGACCCTCGTTTCCCTCCGTCGTCTGTCTCGGCTCTCACTGCCGCTGTCGCTGAGTTTGCTGCCGCCAGCCGCCTTGACTACGTCACCCGTGTGGTGCCAGCTCCTCCCTACCGTCCTCTGTCCGTCGGGGGTGGGTTTGCCCTTGGCTGTGACGTCCTAGAGGACAGAGAGTCTGAGCTGGAGTACTGGGCAGCCGCTTCTCCCTCTGTGTGTGCCATGCTGCTCTCCCCTGAAGGAGACCCCGCCGCCCTTGACATACCGACTCCTCGCACTTACCGCGAGGCAGTGTCAGGGGCGTGGGCCTCTCAGTGGAAAGCGGCTATGGACTCAGAGTTGGCGTCTTGGAGATCCACAGGCACCTACGTCGACGCAGTTCCCCCTCCCAGGGCGAACGTAGTCGATGGCATGTGGCTCTTCAAGGTGAAGCGGCCGCCTGGAGCACCGCCGGTGTTCAAGAGGCGCTACGTGGCTAGGGACTTCAGTCAGCGTGAGGGAGTTGACTTCTTCCAGACCTTCGCCCCGACCCCGAAGATGACTACTCTTCGGGTGTTACTCCACATAGCAGCGCAGCGAGACTACGAGCTGCACTCCCTCGACTTCTCCACTGCGTTCCTCCAGGGCCGACTGCACGAGGAGATCTGGCTGCGCCGTCCTCCTGGCTTCACTGACACCTTCCCACCTGGGACCCAGTGGAGCCTGAGGCGACCAGTCTACGGTCTCCGCCAGTCGCCCCGTGAGTGGCACGACACTCTTCGCTCCACGCTTCGTGACCTTGGGTTCAGCCCGTCCTCCGCCGACCCGTCGCTGTTTGTTCGAGCGGGTTCTACTCCTTTCTTTATCCTTGTCTACGTCGACGACTTGGTGTTTGCTACAGCAGACAGGGCAGCCCTGGCTCAGGTGAAGTCCGAACTGTAGAAGAGACACAAGTGCACTGACCTGGGTGAGCTGCAGCGCTACCTTGGCCTGCAGATCACCCGGGACAGAGCCGCTCGCACCATCACACTGACGCAGTCACACATGGTGCAGCAGGTCCTTCGGCGGTTCGACTTCCAGTTCTCCACCACACAGCCCACTCCTCTTGCTGTTGACCACAGACTCACGGGCCCCTTTCCTGACGAGCCCTTTGAGTCCAGTGGACCCTACGCAGAGCTGTGGGCTGCCTCATGTACCTGATGACTTGTACTCGACCGGACCTCGCCTTTCCACTCAGCATCCTTTCTCGCTTTGTTGCGACTGGGAGACACCGCCCTGTCCACTGGACAGCTGCTGTGAGGGTGGCGAAGTACCTAGCGACTACATCAGGCATGGGGCTTGTGCTTGGAGGGACTCAGCCAGTGGCGTTGACTGGTCACTGCGACTCTTCCTACGCTGACGACGTGGAGACTCAGCGTTCGACTCAGGGTTACTGCTTCAGTCTGGGAGCTGGTGCTGTGTCGTGGAGGTCTACATGGTCGTCGTCTGTGGCTACTTCCAGTGCAGAGGCAGAGATCTACGCTGGTGCCATGGCGGCACAGGAGCTTCGCTGGTTGACCTTCTTGCTCGCCGACCTTGGTGAGCGGCCTCGCTCTGCACCGACCTTGTACGCTGACAACAAGGCCATGATCCTCCTGTGTCGAGAGCCTTGACTGGAGAGCAGAGTGAAGCATATTGACGTGAGGTACTTCCTCCTGCGAGAGCTGCAGCGACGCGGCCAGGCACGCCTGGACTTTGTGGCCTCAGAGGCCAACACTGCAGACGTCTTCACCAAGGCCTTGGCGCTTGGTGATCACCACAGGTTCTGTGTGCAGTTGGGGCTTGTTGAGGTAGGCCCTCGGTTGCTGTAGTCTTGTTGTTTGCTCTGCTTGTTGTGCTTCCTATTTATATCCTAGTGAACTCTTGAACTGGCCTTGTGGCCACTTGCTTGCGCTCGGAATTTGTGTGGTGTCCTTCAGATCCACCCTGAGCTTGCCTTGTTTCTTGCTTTGACTGGTCTTGTGACCGTTTGCTCACCTTGCTTGCTTTGATGCCCCTCACTTAGCCTATGGGGGTGTGTCAAATGTAATTCTATGCTTGTAGGCTACAGTGAGTAGCACAATAGGGAGTACAGTTGTTAGGGTTGCATATTTGTACTTCCACACTTTCTAGTCTCACCATTCCGTTGTTCGCTAACTTTGAGACTGACACCTCAGAATCAATGCTGGAATGTGTATGGGTTCTGCAACCGACCATACGCGTGCTGCAATCAGTAGGTTGAAGGCAATTGATGGGGAATGCATCAGTGAGGAAGCAGCACTTTTGCAGTGACAAATGCATTAGCATTTCCTTTTCAACAATGCAGACGTTCGCAACGAACATGGGCAGCGTGAAATTGGTGACACGGTGATAGGAGGATGCATGCATGCCAAACATGGTCGATGATATCAATATACAATGAAAGCTTTGTTTCATTGACAGACAGCACATTCCTGCATGCAATCACACGCACTTCAAACTCATTTACCACTCGCCCACGGCGGTGGCACTAGGGGTGAATTGAGGCGACCATAACTGTACAACTCATGTACCGGGTCCGTAGCTTGGCTCTCACTGCTGCCACTCCCATTCGCACCACTGCCATCACTACCACTGCTATTGCCACCACTGCCACTGCTGTCACTGCTGCTAGCACGAGTGCTTTGACCACGGCTGAGAGCAGCATCTGGGTTGACTGACCCTTCTGCAGGGGCATTGGGGTCTCTCCCTTGGCGGTATGCCTGCCCGGCTACTGCCACACTCGCCTCTGCCACCCACGCCACCCGCGGTGCCCTCTCCGCCTCAAATGCATCTAGTGCTGCCCTGCCAGGTGAGGAGGGGCGAGGGGGTGGGTGGTGGGTTGTGAGGCGCCTCACAAGAAGTCTGCCTCACAAGCAGTCCGCCACCCGCGGTGCCCTCTATGCCTCAAATGCATCTAGTGCTGCCCTGCCAGGTGAGGAGGGGCAAAAGAGGGGGTGGATTCTGAGGCACCTCAGACGAAGTCCGCCCCAAAAGCAGTACCCTCAAAGGCAGTTCACCACCCGCGGTGCCTCTCTGCCTTGAAGTATCCAGTGCTGCCTCTCTGCAGGTGTGGGGGGGGCAAGAGAGTGGGTGGGTTCTGAGGCACCTCAGCAGAAGTCCTTTGCCAGCTCTAGCGCATCTTCAATTCCCAGACTGCTGCCCTCATTGGACCCACCCACCAGAGCATTCAGGGAACGAACAGAACTGACTGGCAATGGTTAACTTGTTGTGCGAGCTCCAGCGCAGTTTCAATCGCCAGACTGCTGCCCTCATTGGACCCACCCACCAGAGCATTCAGGGAACGAACAGAACTGACTGGCAATGGTTAACTTGTTGTGCGAGCTCCAGCGCAGTTTCAATCGCCAGACTGCTGCCCTCATTGGACCCACCCACCAGAGCATTCAGGGAACGAACAGAACTGACTGGCAATGGTTAACTTGTTGTGCGAGCTCCAGCGCAGTTTCAATCGCCAGACTGCTGCCCTCATTGGACCCACCCACCAGAGCATTCAGGGAACGAACAGAACTGACTGGCAATGGTTAACTTGTTGTGCGAGCTCCAGCGCAGTTTCAATCGCCAGACTGCTTCCCTCATTGGACCCACCCACCAGAGCATTCAGGGAACGAACAGAACTGACTGGCAATGGTTAACTTGTTGTGCGAGCTCCAGCGCAGTTTCAATCGCCAGACTGCTGCCCTCATTGGACCCACCCACCAGAGCATTCAGGGAACGAACAGAACTGACTGGCAATGGTTAACTTGTTGTGCGAGCTCCAGCGCAGTTTCAATCGCCAGACTGCTGCCCTCATTGGACCCACCCACCAGAGCATTCAGGGAACGAACAGAACTGACTGGCAATGGTTAACTTGTTGTGCGAGCTCCAGCGCAGTTTCAATCGCCAGACTGCTGCCCTCATTGGACCCACCCACCAGAGCATTCAGGGAACGAACAGAACTGACTGGCAATGGTTAACTTGTTGTGCGAGCTCCAGCGCAGTTTCAATCGCCAGACTGCTGCCCTCATTGGACAGAGCCAGCAGACAGCAAGCAGGCAACAAGAAGCGGTACACAGCAGCACTTCACCACGCACTCGAGGGAGGGATGGGCGGCGACCACCTGCCGTGCGAGCTCCAGTGCATCCTCTATCGCCAGGCTGCTGCCCTGGCCTAGCGTGGGCGGCACCGCATGCGCTGCATCTGGACGGCACGATGGGGAAGATGCAGATGATGGGAGCATGTGAGAAAGATGGAGGGAATATGGGGAGGAGATGTGGGCGGCACCGCATGCGCTGCATCTGGTCGGCACGATGGGGAAGTTGGGCAGTGATTGCATGATAAGGGCGACACGGGAGTACGACGGGGGGGAGATTGAAGTAGATAGGGGGATGGGCCGAGATAGGGGCGAGACGGGGGAAGATGAGCGGCAAATGGGTGGCAGATGCGGGTGAATCGAGAAGCACAGTGCGTTTCATCATTCTCCAAGGCAAAGCATATCCTCCATGCCCTTGCTTCACCCCTGGCCTAGTCTTGCCCAGCCCAATCCATCCTTGTTGCTCAGTGCCCGATTGCGGCCGGTGGGCACAGAGTAATTCGGGCCATTGGGGCAGCATGAACGAACAGAAATTGGGGCAGGGACGAGCGCAAGAGGCAGGAACGAGATAGGCGAGCAGCAAACGAGAGCACCTCCGATGACAAGGATGCGGCCGTTGCGCCAGCGAGGCAGAGGAGGGACCTCCTACAACAAGTTGTCTTTCGAGAATTCTAGAATACCAGCTGGGCGAGGAGCAAGGGACAGCGGCAAGGGAGATGGAGAGGGGCACCTCCGATGACGAGGATGCGGCCGTTGCGCCAGCGGGGGAGAGGAGGCACGTCCAGCACCCGGCGCTCCAGAAACAAGTCCGGGGGAATGGCCTGCTTGTGTGTGTGTGGGGGGGGGGAAATGGGGGGGAGAGGGGGGTGCTTTAGTATGTGATAGGCGGCCTGGCAGGCAGGAAAGAGGAGGCACGTCCAGCACTCGGCGCTCCAGAAACAAGTCCGGGGGAATGGCCTGGTTGGCGACAGGGTTGGGGGGTTTGGGAATGTGTGAAACACCCTGCAAGGACAGAGGAGGCTCACGATTGATATCCGGGTTTCGAGAAACAAGCCGGAGGGGACAGCCTGGTTGGGTTGGAGGGGAGGAGGAGTGGTGGGGAAAGAAATTCTATTGGGCACTTCAAAAGGCACATGGACATAATCTAGTTCTGAGACATCTCAAAACTGAATATTATTGGGCACGTCAGGCACATGGAAAACAGAGAGACGCCTGGCGTCTCGGGGTAGACAAACTTCCCACCTACCTCAATGACACCCACCTCCTCCTACTTGTTACCACATGGAAGCACCCACCCAGCTTGTATAACATCATTGTATGCAGACCAGCACCTCGTTTAATTCATTCAACTCAGAAAGGAAGCACCCAACCAGGAAGGACCAAGACACCTCAATCACATCACATGCCGGTATGCAGGCCAGTCGGCAAACAGCGCCCTCAGCTTCCCCCGCACCTCCTCTACTCCGAGTCAACTAGAAAAGACGGACCCAGTAACCTCGATAACTCCCCTCTGCCCACCTCAATCACATCTCGGTACGCAGGCCAGTCTGCGAACAGCGCCCTGATCTTCCCCCGCACCTCCTCCCCATCCCCTGACCGTTGCTCTGTCAGCCCCCTCCCCTGCTCGTCCGCACACACAAACAGGACAAAAATCTCCGCCCCACCAAGGTCCCCCACCGCTGCTGTCCTCCCGTCGCCCCTGGTGAAGCACGTGCGGTAGGGGCGTGAGTGCTGGGGGGGGGGAGAAGAGCGAGATGATTGAGAAGAGAAAGGTGAAGCGGCCGTAACCCCCAGGGAAGCACGTGCGGTAGGGGCGTGAGTGCTGGGGGGGAAAAGGAAGGATCGCCTTGACTCATGTTCGAAGGGCTGCAGTGGTTGAATGAACGCTTAGCAAAGGAACAACGTTTTTTCACTTGAAATTTTCACTGTCCTCCCGTCGCCTCTGGTGAAGCACGTGCGGTAGGGGCGGGAGTGCTGGAGGGGGAGAAGGAAGGAGGGAGGGAGGGAGAAGAGGGGAGAAGAGCGAGATGATTGAGAAGAGAAGGGTGAAGCGGCCGTAACCCCCAGAGGAAGCACATGCGGTAGGGCTGAAAGGGGGAGAGGAGGGAATGAGGGAGTGAGGGAGGGCGAGAGGAAGGGAGGGAGTGAGGGCGAGAGGGTGGGATGGATGGAGGGAGGAAGGGTGGGAGGGAGGGGAATGTGGGAGGGAGGGGGGAGGAACGACTGCACTACGATACATGTTACTGTGGTGATATGCCAGCAAGGCCAAGAACAAGGCAGCTTCAGCCTTCACCACGCAGTCTCACAGCCGCCGCACCTCAAAGGTCAATGTCTTCCGCGGCGCAGCGCCGAGTCACATGGTGCGGCCGTCATTGCCGACCGCACCCCTCCATGCCCATCAGCAGTCCCAGCTGTTCACCAGGGTACGCACCTTGACGCTCATAGCACAGCCGCCGCACCTCAAAGGTCACAGCTTCCCGCGGCGCAGCGCCGAGCCACATGGTGCGGCCGTTGTCCCGCGGCGGGCCCCACCGCTCCCTCTCCTCGCCATCCCTCAACACAAGCTGCCTCACTGCCGATCGCACCCCATCTGTGCCGATCAGAAGATCTGCCTGCAGCACAGAGCGACAGAGAAGCAGGGGGAACCGAGGCAGGGCACATCACAGTCACTAAGCTAAGCAGGCGGGCTTAAGAAGTCACTGGCAGGCAGGCTGTGCGCGCCCACCAGCAGATCTGCTCGTGTAACTTACAGATCATGTAACGTACCGCTCATGTAACGTACCGCTCATGTAACGTACCGCTCATGTAACGTACCGCTCATGTAACGTACCGCTCATGTAACGTACCGCTCATGTAACGTACCGCTCGTGTAACGTACCACTCATGTAACGTACCGCTCATGTAACGTACCGCTCATGTAACGTACCGCTCCGATTACATGATGTGCCTCTCATATTACCTGCTACTCATGTAGCCCTGTGCGAAACTCGTGCAACTCAGCTCACCTCTGCACTGAACGGCTGGCCGTGGCGGGTAAAGTGGGCCGTCACGCGACCGTTGGCCTGGCAGAGTGAATGAGAGAGCATGGGGATGGGGAGTGCAGCGGCGCACCGGGTAAGCAAAGCAGAGACAAGGGGGAGTTTGAGGCGCCTCAGACGTCCCCATGGCGGGTAAAGTGGGCTGTCACGCGACCGTTGGCCCGGCAGAGTGAATGAGAGAGCATGGGGATGGGGAGTGCAGCATGAGAGGCAAATAAAACAGAGACAACGGCGAACGAGAGGAGCGAGGAGGGGCGAGGAGGGACGAGTGAGAGGAACACAGAGGGTTGGATGAGAGATACGTGTGAGGAGCGAGGGAGAGGAAGAGGGGGGCAGCCTGTTACGCAGGCTGATCATTTTCAACCCTTGGGGAGTGCAGTGCAGTGCAGTGCAGCTCTCTGGCACAGGAAGGGCAATCAAACACATGCTGCATTCCTGCGCAATCCAAAACTCACCTGCTCCACGTGCCCGGTGAGCTCGCAGCCTTGGTGCACACAGGAGTCAGGCAGGAAACTCTGAAGCACATTGAGGGCGAGGCCCCAACGCAGGGAGAGGCGCCCGCCAGCCGGTGCTGTGAGAATAGAGTCTCAGAATGCAACGCACCTGTTGAATGTGCCCCGTGAGCTCGCACCCTTGGTGCACGCAGGGCGCAGGCAGGAAACTCTGCAGCACATTGAGGGCGAGGCCCCACCGCAGGGAGAGGGGCATCGATAGGTGAGGCGCATTCAAAATATACACAAGTCTTACCTGCTCCACCTGCCCGGTGAACTCGCAGCTCTGGTGAACGATTGACTGAGTCAGGTAAGAAGCTCTGAAGGACCTCGAGAGCGAGCCCCCAGTGGATGGAAAGAGGCATCGATCCATGAGAGGATAGGGAAAAGGGAGTCATAATGTAACGCAGCTGTTGAACCTGCCCTGTGAACGCACAGCCCTGACTCCGGCAGGAAGCTCTGCAGCACGTTGAGAGCAAGCAACCCCCAGCGGAGGGGTAGAGGCATGGATCTTTGAGGTACATTGGGAAAAGGGAGTCAGAATGCAACGCACCTGCTCCACGTGCCTGGTGAACTCGCAGCCCTGGTGCACGCAAGATTCAGGCAGGAAGCTCTGCAGCACCTCGAGAGCCAGCCCCCAGCGGATGGCAATGCGGCCATCAGCCGGAGCTAAGGCCTCCAGAAGCACCTCGCCCGATGGGGCGAGCTGCCACAGGCTGGGTACGTGTGCGCCTTGAGAGGGAAGCTGTAGGGGGGGAGGAGGGGGGGGAGGGGGGGGGAGGGGAGAGGGAGAGAGGCGGCTGTCAGCCGGCGCTGTGGCTTCCAATAGGACCTCGCCTGACGGGGCCAGCTGCCACAGGCTGGGCACATGCGCGGCCTGTGATGGGAACTGTGGGTAAGGGGGAGGGAAGAGAGGGGGAAGATGAGAAGGGAAGTGGCCTCCAGAACCACCTCGCGTGATGACGTGAGCTGACACAGCAGGGCACATACGCGCCTCGCGACGGCAGCTGTGGGACAGGGGGCAGATGGGGAGGGGGGAAGTTGAGGCGAGAAGGGAAGTGGCCTCCAGAACCACCTCGCGTGATGACGTGAGCTGACACAGCAGGGCACATACGCGCCTCGCGACGGCAGCTGTGGGACAGGGGGCAGATGGGGAGGGGGGAAGTTGAGGCGAGAAGGGAAGTGGCCTCCAGAACCACCTCGCCCGACGAGGCGGGCTGGTAAGCCTTGTGAGTCATCTATTACAGCAACAGCAATGGCAGCACATTTGAGATTTCTCAAACAAAAGTGCCACCAATACAGACGACACGCCTCGTGAGTCGACTCAATCTCATCTCTTACAGCATGAGCGATGGCGGGGTCGATGCATCGCAGCGCCGCCAGCCCGTTGGGTTGAAGTCCCACAAATGCGCCTTGTGAGTCGACCCAACGCGTTCTAACATCTTTCACAGTGCATCAATCTCCGAGTCCTATAACGGATCTTACAGCATCGGCAATGGCGGGGTCGATGCATCTGAGCGCTGCCAGCCGGTTGGGCTGAACTGAATCCCCACCATGCGCCTCGGGACGGAGTCAACGTTTGACCCACACCCACGGCGATCCTTGTGAGTCGACTCAAGAGTAACATCGTGTCTTACAGCATCGGCAATAGCGGGGTCGATGCATCTCAGCGCTGCCAGCCCGACGGGCTGAATTCCCAGGATGCGGCCAAAACCAAGAACACAAGATTCTCCTTATAAGTCGACTCAAGCACATCTCTTACAGCATCAGCAATGGCGGGGTCGATACATCTCAGTTGGGTTGAATCCCTCCCCACAATGCGCCATTCCAGTCGACTCATAACCCAGAACCCAAAACGCGCCTTATAAGTCGGCACAAAACTCCTCATAAGTCGACTTACAGCACCAGCAATGGCGGGGTCGATGCATCGCAGCGCGGCCAGCCCGTTGGATTGAATCCCCACCATGCGCCCCACCCTCTCCGGGTCACGCCCCTCCGCCTTCTCATACACCTGCCACGGAGGGGCACACGGAACATTAGACCTCGCAGAAAGCAACCTCTGTACACCTGACAGTCAGTAAGGCACCCACCTGAACGTCAACTCCCTGCCGGCGGAGAGCAATGGCCGCCGTCAGACCGGCAATCCCGCCGCCCACTATGATCGCATTTCTCAAGAGAGGCCTTTCCGCGAACTTTTGTTGGGACGAACCTTCCTTCGAATCCGCGTCTGTCTTTGCGGCGAAAGAAGCAGCAGCCGTGAGAATGGCGGCCTCGCAGTAACAGCAAGAACGCCTGAAATGCCGCGCTGTGCGATTATCATTTAGAATGCGGATATCTGAAGAGTAGTAGAATGAAGCATTCATGGATGGTTGTGAGGGGAAGGTGACGGGGCGATCAGCAGCTCTTGGGCTTATAGCGAGGACATGGCTGTAGGTCAGGTCATTATAACGAGGAGGAAATCCTAGCTGCATCATGGTTATACTTCTGGGAAGGAACCGAGCTTTTGCGAAAAGGAGAACGCTGCTATGCAACGAAAAACAATAAAGATCGTGGGATGGGATGGGAGGCTGTGATGGAGGAACCAGTAGAAACTCTGAAGAATATCCAGCGCGTGTGACGCGCCAACACCACATGTACGTATTAGTCAGTATCACGCACAAGGAGGGAATCATCATGATAGATGATTTTGCTGTGGCAGCGTAGAGCGGCGGGACGCCAGAGCCATGCCGAATTCAACTCACACTATTGTGTGACGCGCTACTCACATTATTACGGCTCCTTTTTATTTAGGTGCGGTGCAAAAGCCTTATTTCACCTTAGTGGTTCATGATTCTCCTTGAATAACGAGATTTTCAAACAGCATTGCTGATGCTTCAGCCTACACATCTAAAAATGCCGAATATTCAGTGAAGGGCCCAAAAATATGTATGATTATCATTCCTTTGAAGCCAAATAAGAGTACGGAGGCTGACTGTTGGTAATCCCACTTATCTGTTTTGTATAGGGTTCTGCATGACAACGGTGCATGGGCAACAAAACAAAACTGCATTTGGAGAAGGGGACCGACGGAAAGCTGAACACTCTTGTTGTAGGATCACACGATCCATGTCTTGATGACTTGTGCACCATCATCGCCGACGTAGCTTTGGAAATGACCCCAGCTTTGACTAGGGCAGGGCAACAGAGAATCTTATTGTGCTAAACCAGAGGACGACATCCCATAGCGGTCGGGAAAAATCAGGGAAGTTCTCCACCTTGCACATCCATCCATTACTCGTCTTGCATTGCAAGCTCCAGAGCATAATCATCCCGCTCGATAGGACCTCGTGCAAAGTACTTGCCAAACTGCTGCCAGTACACTTCATCCTCGTCCTGTGTCTCCACCTCAAGGTCAGAAAGGGGAATCCCCACACACAGCAAGGCGTAACCCTTCTCCTTGAGCTCTTGTGAAATGCCAAGCGCGCGTGGTTGAACCAGCTCGCCTGAAATCACCCGGACAGCGCAGGCTGTGCAGCAGCCGTGTCGGCATGCGAAGGGCAGCTTGATGCCTTCCTCCTCCGCGGTTTGAAGAATGTATTGGTCCTGCATCATGAAGAAAGGTATCAAAGGGACCAACGAAGGTGAGGCAGTTCATAAGTGAAATAAGTGAGAGAGAAGGTGGAATCTGGGAGTCAAGCAGCACAGACAGCATACTGGTAGAGTGCTCAGAGGCTTGAAGCAGCTTCACCAGTGCGTAAAACATCAGGACCGATTTCACCGTTGGCGCCAAAAAACAACCTAACGGATCCATTTCTAGCGCCACGTATCGATTAGTTTTGTACAAAACGCGTGAGGTGGCTGACCATCTGATGTTCAGATAACTGAGATTGATAGGGATACACAGTAAGCTAGTATTACCGTTGCCTTTGACCACTGACAACGCCGGAATGTGAAACTGCTTGAAGGTTCTCGTTAGCTCGCTCTATGTCTCCAGTTTACATCATCCAGCGGATGCCGCAAGCAAAGCCCTGCCTCGTTTTCCATCTATCCATCCTCATCTCCTTCCACGCGTCATCGAGTCTTACCTGAGGCACGTCGACCGTGTAAGTAACTCCTCGTTCCCGGTCGTGGACCGTCACCGTGTGAACCGGTACCTCCTCGTACTCTCCGTCAACCATTCCCTCCAGCTCGTCCAGTTCCGCCGTAAACGTGTCGATCGCCGTCAGCTCCGAGGCGCGCAGCGGCGTCGACAATGGTCTTTTGCTGGCTGCCGTCTGTCTCCTCGAGGGGGATGCGCCGCTGTGAGCGACTACGGCGGTGAGCGTGCGAGATGGGGGAGCGGAAATGGGAGCTGCTGCAGGCAGCTTCAGGAGAGATCCCTGCATTGATGAGGACAGTAGGCCGGCCATTTCTGGAAGAACGCGCAGTTGCGCAAACTTTGGAACAGAGGGAGAGAAAATTCGGATACTCGGGGGATGCGAAAACACGAATCCCAGCGAGCTGGGAAGCAGAAATGAACTGCTAATAGACAAGCTAACGAAAAGTGCGGATACTAAAGCAAATTCGGAGTCTAGTTCTCCATAGGGAAGAGCAAGGACGAGCAAAAGACATGGTTTTGAGTGAAAACGGTGAAGCAAATTCTGAGGGGGTTTGAGATGGTTACAGGAAATGGAGGGGAATGACGAGGTCATTTCCGAAATGTTATGGCCAATCAGGTGTTGATTTTATGGAAGAATCCATCGCCAGGTTCGCTGCGAGGTGAGGTAGTTTCGAATGCGCTGGATGGTAGAACATCTCCTTGGCGACCGAGATTGAGCCACGTGGAAAGCCACGTCAGAAAACAGACTTCGAAGATACTTCCAGTGATGTGTCAACTGACCCGACATTGAGATTGAATTGGAGAACAAGAGAGAACAGCAGTACTCATAGAAGTAAAATTACTTTCCATCAACTAGAATGGGTACTATCAAACACATGATAATTAATTGCATGCAATAAAATTCAGCTTATATGTTGCAGCTTTCCTATTTCCCCATCTCCGTACCAGTCCAAAATCGAGTCCCTCCTCCCCGTTTTCCCAACCCGTCTAGCCAATGCAAACATCACAGCGCTGAACGCATCAAACTGCGCAAGCAATCTTGTCACCTTCATCTGAGCCCCTTCGGGCAGAAAATCAACCGGATTGAACTGTGGAGCTGACCAGATGAACAGTGGCCATAGCTGTCGCAGACGCTTTTGTTTTAGCTCAATGTCTTCTGGTGGGATTGCCTGCAGGCGCTCGTGCAGCTGGGGAATGTCGCGAATGTTGAGTCGGTATGAGACGAGACTCCAGTCCACTCCATCTCCTTCAAACGGAAGCAGCACATCCGGCTGTTGGGATGGAAAGGAGGGTGATAGACAAACATGAACGACGAAGGTAAAGAAAATGACGGCCTTGTTCCACTCACACGCACGAGACTGACACCTGCGACCCACCTTAACAAAAAGGACAAATGCTAAATGTCAAAAGAGACCACCTGAATGACAACAAAGACCCACCTGAATGACAACCAAGACCCACCTGAACAATAACAGAGACCCACCTGAATGACAATGGGCACACAGCCTGCAATCACAGCCATGGCGAGTGACGCATGCCAGCCATGCCCAGCGGTGGCGAGGCAGAAGACGCTGTGCTCCATGCCGCCATACGCCAGCTCCTCGCCGCCCTCCGGGACCACCTCCACCTTAAAGCCCGTCTCAGCGTCCCGCCCCGCGTACAGCTCAAATACCCGCTGCCGCACGCCAAAGCTGAACGGCGGCTCCCCTTGCTCCTTCCTCACTGCCTGCACTTGCTGCTGCTGCCCCCCCTGCTGCTTGTTGTCTCTCTGCTGCTGCTGCTCCCCCTGCTCCTGCTGGTGTGCCTCCTCGTCCCACCCGCTGCCGCCGTCGCTCACATTCAGCCCTCTCACGAAGAGGAGGTACTGCCGCTCCCTCCCTCCCTGCCCCTGCCCACCACCCCCCTCCTGCTGCTGCCGCTCCTGCTCCTGCCCTTGCTGCTGCACCTGCTGCTGCCCCTGCTGCTGCACCTCTCCCTCCCCATCCGCACCTCCCTCCCTGACCAGCCCAGGCAGCCCTCCCGCCTCTCTCACCATACTCGCGTTCTGCAGGAACCTCAGATGCGCCGAGGGCGGAATCACTATGTCCTGCCCGGGCCGGAAGCACGGGCCGCCCTCGGCCGTGCCGAGCATGTTCCGAGTGTACCCCCAGGGAGTGAGGGTGATTGCGGATTTTAGCCGCGGGTCCTCCAGCCCGTGGAGCTGCAGGGCGCACTTGCCGTACTCCTCACTTACTAGGAAGATGTGGTCTGCCCCGCCCTTGGCATCCCAGAAGGGGCCCAGGGAGCGGATGAAGGCGATGGTCTCTGAGATGAGCCGCTGCTTGCCACTGTCTCGGTTGCTGAAGGGGGAGGGAGCCCGCAGGGGTGAGGTGAGGGAGGAGCCAGGAGGAGCGGGGGAGAGGGCACGGGGTGGGAGGGCCAGGGGGAACGGGAAGGGGAAGGACAGAAGGATTAGGGTTGCAGGGGGCGAACTTGCGTACTCCTTGCCGAGCACACCACCTATCACCTGGAGCCACCTCTTCTACATACGACAGAGAGAGCTAGTGCACCCAGCAGACCCTACCGAATGAGGAGAGGCACGTAGAAGAAATCGGCTTCCAGTGGGTCGATGGTGCGGTGGTGACTGGCGAGCAGCCTCTCCCAGAACCAGAGGGCCTCTACCGGTACAGACCACCTGTCACCTTGAACCACCGCACTTAACACCTAAAGCTAGTGCACATACCGGATGAGCAGAGGCACGTAGAAGAAGTCCGCTTCCCGCGGGTCGATGGTGCGGTGGCGACTAGCGAGCAGGCGCTCCCAGAACCAGAGGGCTTCGGGGTGGTCGATGTAGGGCGAGTGCTGCATCTGCCACGCGTTGAACTGCGGGGGTAGCTCGTACACATACACCCTCAAGTGCTGCCCTGCTGCCGCTGTCCTTCCTCCTCCAGCTATTGCTGCTGTTGTTACTCCTTCTGCTGCTGCTTCTGCTGCTTGTCCCGTGTCTTTCTGCTGCTGCTGCTCTTGTGCTGGCTGTGGCTGTGGGCTGAGGGAAGCTTCTGGCTGGCTTGCTGTGGCTGCTGCTGCCACTTCTGCAGATGCTGCTGGTGTTGCTGAGAAGGTGTCACTCTCTGGAATGTCGGCCCAGGGAAAGGGTGACCCGGGGAGCCTCCTGATTGGTGTGTGGGAAGGCGGAGGATGGGCAAGAGGAGTGGGTGATGGAGAGGAAAGGTTTCTTCTTTGCCTGATTGTAACAAGAGTGAGTAGACGGCCACAAAAGCACACACACACAAACACAATATGCAGCCCCTGCCCATCCCTCTCCACCAAAGGCGCAGCTCCTCGTTGCAATAGAGAGAGCAATCGGCACCAAAGAAGCCCAGGTCGATGAGATACAGACAGGCCGCACCAACTAGCACACACACAAGCTGCAAGCAACTCTCTTCCCCTCCCACCCCTCCCACCCCTTCCACCCTTCCCAGCCGAGACGCAATTCCTCGTTGTAGTAGAGCGAGCAGTCGGCGCCAAAGAAGCCGGCCTGGCATTGGGAGACAGACAGCACCAGCAAGCACCCCACAAGCTGCAACCCTGTTACCACCCCTCCCTCCTCTTACCTCAGACACATCTCCTCGTTGTAGTAGAGCGAGCAGTCGGCGCCAAAAAAGCCAGCCTGGCACTGACAGACAGACAGTACCGACTTGCACACACAAGCTGCGACTGCAGCCAACTCTTTTCCACCCCTCTCAAACTTCCCACACCTCCCACCTTAGCCGCAGCTCTTCATTATAGTAAAGCGAGCAGTCGGCGCCAAAGAAGCCGGCCTGGCACTGGCACACGCCGCCCTCACAGTCGCCCCGCTGCGAGCAGTCGTTGAGACACGCCACTGAGAAGCTCTCGTCCTCGCACGCACTGCCGTCGTGGTACCAGGGACACCTGGGAGGGAAGGGAGAGACAAAGGAAGGCGAATGGACAGAGGGAGGGGAGGAGAGGGAGGGGCAAGGAGGGATGAGGCGAGCAGTGGGAGCCAAAGAAGCCGGCCTGGCTTTTGAAGGGTGCTTTTGGGTATTCTCAACACCACTGGCACACACCGCCCTCACAGTCGCAATCGTTGAGACACACCACTGAGAAGCTCTCGTCCTCACATGCACTGCCGTCGTGATACCAGGGGCACCTGAGAAAGGGTTGTGGAAGGGTGTGGAGGGGTTTGAAGGGGTTGCGAGTGGTGTGGAGGGTTGTGGAGGGTTGTGGAGGAGAGTGGAGATGTGTGGGGGGATGGGGCCCACATGTGTAAGTGGGTTGAGTTGAGACACGCCACTGAGAAGCTCTCGTCCCCGCACGCACTGCCGTCGTGGTACCAGGGGCACCTGAGGGATGTGGAGCGGTATTGAGGAGGTGAGTGAATGAGCCACATGTGTAGGTGAGTGAATGAGTTCAGGTCAGGCAGGCCACTGAGAAGCTCTCGCCCTCACATGCACTGCCATCGTGGTACCAGGGACACCTGTGTGAGGGGGTGTTGAGGGGTGTGGAGGGATGTGGAGGGATGTGGAAGGGTGCAGCCCACATGTGTAAGTGAGTTTAGCGGGGGTCCAGCGCGTACGTTTATAGCTACTATACAGTTCATTCGTCGTGGTTTGAGAAGATATCAGGCGGTGCACAACGGTTTTAAAATTGCACCGTTTTGGACCGTGACGCAGTACAGATTACCGCACTGGATGAACTGTAATGTACGGAAAACGTACGCGCTGGACCCGCCCTCAGGCACGCCACTGAAAAAGCTTTCGTCCTCACATGCACTGCCGCCGTCGTGGTACCAGGGGCACCTGGCAGGGAAGGGGTGTGATGTGGAGGGTTGTTGAAGGGAGTGGCCCACAGGAGTACGTGTGATCAGACACGCATGCCATTGAGTAACCCTTGCCCTCACGCGCACTACCAGTGACCCAACCCCCCCATCCCTCTCCTCATCCTCTCCTACCTGCACTCCCAGTAGGTGGCATCGCATAGCCCACGCCCAGAGCAGTAGTTGGGGCAGTTGTTGAGCGGAACAAGCCACGGGAAGGGGTGCGGTGGGAGGAGGGGCGTGGATGGGAACGCATGTGCAGGTGAGTTTTATGCACGCATTTGAGTAGCTCTCATACCTGCACTCCCAGTAGGTGGCGTCGCAGAGCCCACGCCCGGAGCAGTAGTTGGGGCAGTTGTTGAGCGGAACGAGCCATGGGAAGGGGTGCGGTGGGAGGGGCGTGGAGGGGAACAGCAGTGGGGACGCTGTAACCGCCGCTGCAGCTACAGCAGCTGCTGCTGCTTGTGATGCTTTTGATGATCCTTGATTGCTGGAAGCGCCGTTGCTGCTGCTGCTGTGGGTGTCACCGGGTGTGCCTATACTGAAGGGTTCTCTAGGCCCCGTTTCAGTGCCGTTGCCGTCTGTCTGCAGGCGCAGCGGCATGCGCGTTATGATGGCTCCTATCGTACGCTCCTTCCAGAAGGTGCCTGCGGAGAGAAGGGGAGGAACGAGGAACGAGGGGAGGACAGGAAACGGGATGGTGAGGGATTCTGCGGCGAGGGTGGAAGGAGAGCAGTGGAAGAGGGGGAATATTCTCAAAGTTTGGGGCAGTGGCAATGACTAGGTTGACTACAATTGTACCTTTCTCAAGCTGGTTGTTTAGAACTCTGTCACTTACCATTATTGGGGAAGCAGTACTCGTCATGGGGTAAAAAGAAGCGCTCGCACTCGAGCGCACAGTCACAGGACGACGGCAGGAAGCACGGCATCTCCACTCCCCACGCGTACCGGCACGAGGGTAACCCCAACTCCGTGCAGTCCACCCCCGTGTACCCGGGTAAACAGTCGCATCTACCCGCCTCCTCGTTGCACGAGCCGTGGCGCGAGCAGGCGGGCGGGCAGCGCGAGGGGAGGAAGGAGAGACCGTCGGGGGGAGGGGGGATGACGGAGAAGGGGGAGTGGAAGCGTTTGGGCCATTTGGGGAGGGGCGCGAGGAGGAGGAAGAGGGAGAAGAGGATAAGCGCGAGGAGGAGCTTCGGAAGGGAGATGGAACGAGGGGAGCAGGAGAAGGGGAGGGGGAAGGGGAGGCGGAAGGGGAGGGAGGAGGGGGAAGAGTGGGAGGGACGTGAGGGGAAGGAGGAGTGGGAAGCGGGATGGAAGGCGGCGCGAGGGGAGGAGGTGAAGGGCCAGAGTAAGCGTGAGTAGGAGGGGGACCAGGAGGGGAATGAGAAGGGCGAGTGGAGTTGGGGGAATGAGGGGAGCGAGAAGGAGGAGGATTTGGACGGGGTTGCAAAGAACGGCCGCGAACGGAAGGTGGCGGCCGGGCGAGCGGTTGACGAGGTGGCGAAAGAGGATCCGATGTTCAGGCTAGGCGGGTTACCACTCGGCTTCATCGCTCGTACACCCGCGCCGCGGGGAGTTCGGAGTGGGGTTCGGGAGTGGGGATTGGGGGAGGGGGAGGCGCGGAGAGGGGAGTTTGAAGCGAGGAGTGGTAAGTGGGGAGGGCGGGGAGGCGGACCCGCCGACGAGTGGAAGAGAACGGATCTGGCTGTAGGGAGTGCAGGCGTCACGCTCCGTTGATAATTACGCGCGAATTCCTGACGGAATGATGACGGAATGACGGCCGGACGATCCCCTCACCCTCGTCCGGATTTTCTTGAGAATTCTAAAGAAAAATCGCCTCCTTTCGTTCTCCGATCGTGTTATAGTACGAAACGCTTTGCACGCTGTGAGGTTTGCTGTTAATTCTTCAACACGTCGCGAAAAAGGACGAGCAGCGATTATTGGGAGGCTGCGTAATTGCCATCCGCGGATCGAGCGACCTGCACGATGAGGCAATTATGACGTCGCCCCACGCGTGCCTAAGAAAACCACGGCGAGAAATAAGAATCTCTCAAATAAAGTGCCAGGATTGAAATGCCGTAACAGAGGGAGCCGTTGTCTGCTTCGACGTTGCCTGCTGTCCTTCGAGCCGCTCGTTGCTTGTCCCGGCCCCTACTCGCGCGCACTGCAGGCCAGCGTGACGCGATTACCAAATGACGTCAGCGCCCGGCAGCGATAGGGCATTCTGTACATGGCGAATACCCGCAGAAGCCAAGCTTGTCGACGCAGAAGCAGCAGCAGCAGCAGCAGATTAGTTTGTCACGAAATGGCATTGCATATTGTATTATTGATTATTGAACCGTTGAGGGCCTCGAAAGAAGGGTGGATTTGATGCTCGAGCCGACCGACGACAGTCGTAAAAATAATCTCGAGGTCGAGTATTCCGGAAAATGCGTGGATGCGGCAGCAGCGTGTGACTGTATCAGTGAAAGTGAAAAGGATGGCAAGATCGGTGTTGAGGTGGTGCCTGTTACTCGATTGTGGATGTTTCGATACGTCACCAGTACAGTGAGCTGTGGAGCCAGTGTTCAGGGAATTTAGATATGAGTAAGATCTATACAGATCTACAACTTACGACGAACACAATCTACGATGCCACGAGGCATGAACTGGAAGTGATTTACCTCCATACTCTTTTCTCTCAGTTGACTCTGACGCAGCGCCAATCGCGTCATCATTAGTCAAACCAATTTAGGACTCGAAGTGATTCAGTTGCGAATTAGGACGCAGATCTTAGACAAGTAAATGGAGGGCTGCGGATTGCTAGTTTGATATTCGATTTTACGCAGGTCGCAGTCTCATGAGACTCGCAGCTTCCATCCATTGTCATGGCTATCCCCAATCAATAGCTAGTGCACGATCCGAGCTCGCTTTTAGTTTTTGTCTCGCTGACGCCTTGCTGACTCCTCGTGCATGGTGGTGCGCTTCAATAATACAGCCCCATCATTATTGTAACCTAATGTTTTTCTAGGATACGTGATTGCGCCAGTCGAGTGTTGAGCAGGGAAGCCTAGCCATGGCTCCTTCTTCCACGTCGTCAGGCTTTGTCAGCACCGTCCGATTCAAATATGCGACGGAGCAGCAGGTTCAGCGATGGCGCACGTCGTCGGATCCGATCGCCGCGACGACAGCCGTCGATTCGCCTCTGCGATTCATTTACGAGCTGTGCTGGACGGTGGTGAGTGATAGACTTCTATACCCTAATGAAGTCAAGTAGTATAGCTGATGGCTACGGATCACGTACTCATGCATGTTAAATGCCGTTACGGGGTTTGAGCTCACGAAACGACATTCGCGTAATCCTCGTGTACAGTGGATTGAGCAAGAAACGAGCGTTCGAAACAAAAAACCTGATCGTAATGAACCAGCTATAGTCGTCAGTGAAAGCAGAGCCGACACATTTCGATCCGACCGTTGACTGGGAGCCGAGTCGACCACCGGATTCCGTTTCCCTAAACCGCCACTTGCATGCCCTTCCTCTGCCTAGCCTGCTGTCGCACGGCCTTAGCGATATCTCCGGCTCAAATTAATTCGTCCGTGGCTACTCGTCGCGCTGCTAAGATCAACAAGGCTGAGACTCAGCGCCATGTGCGACGATGCCTGTGCTTGGCGTAGAATCCCTGCGGTTTTAGAATAGAGGTTCTTGTGAGAGCCTTTTTTTTTGTGTTTACCCACTCCACAGGATTAGGGTTTCATGCTCGACCAATCACTGTCGTTGCGAAGAAAAAGACCGCAGTAGTCACCGCATGCACACATATCCCAACCAGGACCGCGAAACACGGGCCGTTAGATTGTCGCGAGTGAAACCCTAATTCATCAGCAATGCATTTTCTGCATCCACAGCACAAGCAAATGCTGTCCCGCTTTAACCGCCTGTTTTCCCGCCTCCCTACACTCCAGGTGCACGGCGACCTGCCACCCCCGCGAATCCCAGCCGCCCTGCAGTCCGCAGGCCTGCCCCTTCCGCCCTCCGCCTCCCCCGACGCGGGCGCAGTACCTTCCGCGGACCAGCGTGCGGCAAATGATCAGTCCCCGCCTACCCCAGATGTGCCCTCCCTCCTGGCGGACACAGTGGCTCAGCTGGCGTTCGAGGTACACTACGCTACGCTGGAATGTAGAAATTTTGACATTAAACACATTTCAACATGTAAACCCGGTCCCAGATGTGCCCTCCCTTCTGGAGGACACACGGTGGCTCAGCTGGCGTTTGAGGTACGTTGAGTTGAACTGGACTGACTCTTGAGGATTCTCACAAGTCAGGCTTGCTCAAAGTTGGGATGAAAGCCGCTGCTGTTTTGTTCACCTCTGCATTGCCTCACCTTTCCCTTCGCGCTTGTGCCCACTTACGGTGTTTGGCTGTAATGCCCTTTGCTTCCATCCACTAGTGGAGGGCTGCATGGTAAGTTCTGCATGCATCCCTGCAAGTGGTTTGTTGTTTCACATGCAGCATTCTCGCCTTTGCCTGAACCTTGTTGCTAGCAGCTGCTTGAAATTGGATAGAATAGCTCTGTCTGCCAATCAATCCCGGCGTTGTTTCGTTCTAAGGCTTGGTTCCAGAGCTCTGCCAACCAATCCCTTTGTGAATGCACCCTGCTTTTCGCTTGGCTCACTCACTCACTCACTCACAGGTGTCCGGTCAGACTGACCTGCGTCGACGACTGGTGGAGCTGGTGCGTGCGGTGTGGTGTGGTGAAACAGTGAGATGAAATGAAATTGTGAGCGAGATGATGTGACACATGGAGATGACGTGAAAGAGTGAGATGAGACGAAAGGCTGAGAGATTCCACATTTGGAGCTGCGAGGTAAATCGGCGGCAGGAGGAGCTGTGAATGAGTTGATGAAAAGGGCAGCAGAGTGTGTCATGGCGGCAGAAAGTTTGATTTGAGCGGGATGAATCTGCGGCAGAGGGAGATTGAAGTGAAATGAAGGGTGGAAATAGGAGGAAATTGTTCATGAGAGCGATGGCAGCACTCTCTGTGAAATGGCGTAATGTGCATGCGCTGGCTCGCGTGTTTCTGTGAGTCATTTTTCTTCCATGCTTATTTCGTACCCCCTCCCCGACTCGTCCCAATTCCATCTTCCTTTTCCTTCCCTCTCTACTATGCATCTGCCCACCGTGTCTTGAACAGACTAAGTGGCTGGCGTCCAATGGACTCGTGACACCTCGCATGCTGCTAGATCGCTGTGAGGCAAGTACACCCTCTTAGCAGCAGCAGCAGCAGCAGACCTTTCAGTTCTTACTCTGGTAGAGGAGTCTTCTCTCAATTTAGTCCAATCACCCACCTTGCCGGCTCGCCCCCCACCTTCCCTCCTCGTTCTACTTCCCCCTCGCCTACCCTCCCCTTGCCACCTCCTTCCCCCCCACATACTCACTCCTCACTGCCTCGCCCCCACCCACCTCTACCTACTCCGCGCCAACAGGAGGAGCTGCTGTGGGAGGCGGAGCTGATCAAGATGGAGCCCTCGGAGCTCAAGAAGGCGTGCTGCGTGCATACGCCCCCACCGCCAATGCTCTCACCTCTTGCCTGCTTCTGTCTCTCCCCATGCCACCCTGCTTTGCTTTCTCCGCGCCAACAGGAGGAGCTGCTGTGGGAGGCGGAGCTGATCAAGATGGAGCCAGCAGAGCTCAAGAAGAAATGCGTAAGCCGTCATTGCCAATCCATCCGCCCCCCCCCCCTCCGTTCCGTGCCTGCTTCTGGGCCTGCCTGCACGCCCGTTCCCTGGTTGTTTGCTTGCTTGCTGTCACTGCCCTGCTCTGCTCTGCCCTTTATGAATAAATAAAACAAGGTAGATTTTGCATCGACCTCCTGTGCGTCTCTGCCTGCCTTCCTGGTATCTTTCAGGTGCGAGTGGACCCTCACTCACTTGGTGCGTACACGCACATCCATTTTTTAGTGATTCAAAAGCCGTCTTTCTTCCGGCTGTGCTCCCCTCTCTCTGTGCGCTGCCTGCCCCATTCACCTGGCAGGTGCGAGTGAACACGCGGCTGGTGTACACACAGACCAAGTTCAATTTGCTCCGAGAGGACTCCGAGGGATATGCAAAACTGGTAAGGGAGAGGTCTACGAGGAGAGGAGAGGAGACCATGTGATGAATGAATGCTCCCCCAACCCCACCGCACAATGAGATGAGGAGGAGGGGGGAAGGAGAAATGAGATGAGATGAGAAATGTGGACTTGATCAATCAGTCTTTGAGAGGGTGAAACGCCACACCAAATTACTCTGTGAGTGGTGTTTCTATTTGAGGCTTTCAAGGATTGGAGGCTTTCAAGGACTTGAGTCAGTTGGTTCTGTGATTCTATATGTGTCGTGTGAAGCACCAATCTTGGTGATCTACCTCGATGATACGTAATCTCCCGCTCGTCGTTCCATACTGGCAGATCACCATACTGAGTCAGAAGGGCCCGCTGGGACTCAACTCACGATCAGCGAGCGCTGTGGTGGATGCTGTAAAGGTGAATGAGTGGCTGTTGACGACTTTTGAGACGTCTCAAAAACTCACTTATATCATGAGACGTCTCAAAAGTCAGCGAGCGCTGTGGTGGTCGCTGTAAAGGTGAATGAGTGGCTGTTATTACTTTTGTGGCGGATGGCTGAAAACGATTTGCACTAGTTGCTGGTGGATGCAGACGCTTGCAGACAAAACACTCGCTCGTGCAACCATTGCTTACTGTTGTGCTCTCTCTCGCTCTCTCCCTAACAGTCACTCATCAGCCCCTTTAAGTTCGACCTTAACCATGTGTCTCACATTGTCCTCGATGCTCCTCTCCTCTCCTTTCTCCCCACCCCGCCCCTCTCTCCTGTGTGTCTCCCCATCCATAACAGTCACTCATCGGTCTGTTCGACCTGGACCCAAACCGCGTGTTTGACATTGTGAGAATAACACCACTGGCCTATGTTATCAGACGCACAGAAACGAGGATGTGCCATGCCATGCTCATCATGCCATTGCATGCCATTCGTTCACATGCCATGCCATGCCATGCCATGCTCACCACATGTCATCATGCTCAGCTCACCACATGTCATCCCTGTTCACTGCTCTCCCTCTCTGCTCCTCCCTGTCTGCTCTCCCTCTCTGCTCCTCCCTGTCTGCTCTCCCTCTCTGCTCCTCCCTGTCTGCTCTCCCTCTCTGCTTCTCCCTGTCTGCTCTCCCTCTCTGCTCCTCCCTGTCTGCTCTCCCTCTCTGCTTCTCCCTGTCTGCTCTCCCTCTCTGCTCCTCCCTGTCTGCTCTCCCTCTCTGCTCCTCCCTGTCTGCTCTCCCTCTCTGCCTCTCTTTCGCCCCATGCCTCTCTCACACCAGGTGCTCGACTGCTACGAGATGCAGCCCACCAACTCTGCCTTCCTCCACCTCGTCAAGCTCTTCCCCGAGGTGCGTGCTGCTGCTGTGCTGTGGGGGGCTGGGCTGTGCGGTGCTGTGCGGTGCTGAGCTGTGCTGTGCTGTGCTGAGTTGTGCTGTGCCGTGCTGTGCTGTGCTGTGCTGTGCGGTGCGGTGCTGTGCTGCAAACGCCACTGTGGCCCCTCTACCTGCTTAATTTGCCGGCTTGAAGCAAGCCACACCCTTCCGTCTCCCGCTCCCCACTTGCTCCCCTGCTCTCCTGCACCCCTGCTCTGCTCCCCCCAGTCGCACGCGCCCCAGATTCTCGGGTTCAAGTTCAGCCACTACCACCGCCTCATTGCCACCGCTGCTGCCGCTGCAGCGGGGCTAACCCGTCACGCCCTTCCATCTCCCCCCTCCCCCCTCCTTCTCCCCTGCTCCCCTGCTCCCTGCTCCCCTCAGTCGCACGCGCCCCAGATTCTCGGGTTCAAGTTCAGCCACTACCACCGCCTCACCGCCACCGCTGCTGCTGCTGCTGCTGCTGGGGGAGGCAAAGGGGGGAAGGAGGGCGGAGGGAACAGCAAGGGGGGTGCAGGGGTGGAGAAAGGAAGTGCAGGGAAAGCTGTGGCAGGGGGAGCAGGTGGTGATGGTGAGGGAGGAGAGAAGGGGGAGGGTGGCAGTGGGGCGGAGGGGCGCATTCCAGACAGCCTGTTTGTGCTGGCGGCTAACTGCCTCAAGAGCAACGTCGTGCAGCTCGCTGCCCTGTGAGTCATGTGCTTGTGGCTTGTGGTACTGCTAGCATTCTGTGTCTGAGAGTAGGGCTGCTCACAGCATTCGAGACAGCCTGTTTGTGCTGGCGGCTAACTGCCTCAAGAGCAACCTGGTTCAGCTCTCTGCCTTATGTCGCGTGCTTGTGGCTTGTGGTATTGCCAGCATTCTCTGTGTCTGAAAGGGCTGCTCACAGCATATCGGGCAACCTGTTTGTTTGTGCTCGCGGCTAACTGAAATGGAGTGGTGCATCAAGTGCCACATGGCACATGGTGCAGGTCACCGCACTGCACTGCACTTCACTGCACTGCATTGCACTGCACTGCATTGCACTGCACTGCATTGCAAGACTGCAAGTCACATGTGTTGCAAAGCTGTTTGTTTTCCTTCTCTGTGTGATCTTGTCCCGTGTGTGTGTGGCAGGTACCCGTTCTTGGACCCTCCAGACGAGGAGGCAGAGGCACGCAGCAAGGAGATAAACGCTCAGAGAATAGCGGACGTGAGTTGTTTGAATGCTGGCCCACAGTGCAGGCTATTTGTGCGCTGCTTGTCCCCAACCCGCTTCCCCACCCCCTCCTTCCCCGCCGAATCGCCACTTCCACCGTTTGCTGCCTCACCTCCCCCGCTCTCCAACCCCCTCGCCACCCCGCTTCCCTCGTCACCGTCTGCTTGCGTCCTCACTTCTTTGCATTCTCCATGTCGCCTCCCCAATCCTCAGGTGAACCGCATAGGAAAGATCAACCTGGCAGCGACGGGGCGGGACCTGACAGACGACCCGCAGCCAGCAGACGTGTCGATCGACCTGTACGGGGCGGTGGACGGGCAGGAGAGCGCCCAGTTCCCATCCCAACGACCCCCCTTTCCCCCCGCCAACCCCCCTTTGTTTTTCCCGACCCCTCCCCCCATTCGCCCCGGTTCTCCCCCGTTCCCCACCGCTCCGCCTCTTCATGCATTAGGTGAACCGCATAGGCAAGATCAACCTGACAGCGACGGGGCGGGACGTGACAGACGACCCGCAGCCAGCAGAGGAGAGCAATGGAGCACTCCCGTTTCCCTCTCACTCCCCTTTTCATGCCCCAGGTGAACCGCATAGGAAAGATCAACCTGGCAGCAACAGGGCGGGACCTGACAGACGACCCGCAGCCAGCAGACGTGACGATCGACCTGTACGGGGCGGTGGACGGGCAGGAGAGCACTGCTGCCAAGGAGTGGGGCGAGGCGGAGAGCAACGATAAGATGCACCTGCTCAAGGCGCTGCTGCTGGTGGACGACTGGTGAGTTGATGATGCTTGCCTTGTGCTTGCTTCTCGCGTTGAGAATCTCGCGTTGAGTCAACTTTTGAGGTGCCTCAAGAGGCGGAGGGCAATGATAAGATGCGCCTGCTCAAGGCGCTGCTGCTCGTGGACGACTGGTGAGTTTGTTCTCTTTCTTCTAACAGTCTTCTTTGTTGTGTGTGTTTGCATGTGTGTGTGTGTGTGTGTGTGCGTGCGTGCGTGCGTGCGTGCGTGCGTGCATGCGTCCGTGCGTGTGTGTGTGGTTTCTCGTCTTTGCGTAAGCTGACTGCTTGGATGATAGTTGTGCTTCGACAGCCTCGATGCTTTTGAGGCGATTCACACTCCTTGCGTCCATCCACTCCTCTAACACCTGAAGCCGCCCCGCCCTTCCTCCCCCGCACACAGCAGGCCCCATGCGCAGCAGCTGCTGGCTGGAGCACCTGAGCCAAAAGGGGTTGAGTGCCTCACCTCACCACATTTTGGAAAATATGACTCTGAGTCCTCCACCCTTTCTCCCACCCACCCACCCACCCACCCATCCACCCATCCATCATCCCACCCACCAGGCCCCATGCGCGGCAGCTGCTGGAGCACCTGAGGCCGCTGCACCCCGTCGCCCACCCGCCCATCTGCACCGCGCTCTGCTCGTATGTCTCCACCGCCCCCGTGCCCTGTGCGCTCATGTGTGTGTGCCCATGCATGCAATGCAACGCCCTGTGCCATGTGTGCCCATGCATGCAATTGCCTCATCCCGTTATCATGCACATGTATGCCACCACGACTGCATGTATACCCTGCTGTTGCGCAGCACTGGAGTGATTGGGACAATGCATTTGTGTGAATGCCAACTCTCGTTGCTCGTGTCACTTCTGTGTTGTCACCTTGAATTGAACATGCCGTCGTAACTCGTCTCAGGGTTGCACCTTTTCATCTAACATGTGCCAATCAAGTGTTAATACTAATAATAATAATGATAATAATGATAATAATGATAATAATGATAATAATGATAATAATGATAATGATAATAATAATAATAATAATAATAATAATAATATAATATATACATATATATATATATATATAAAAACTCATGTCATTCCGATCTCTCTCTCCTTCCCCTACTTCCCCCCCCATCCCCCACACCACCACCACCCCTTCAACCAGCCTCAGATCTCCAAGATGCCTTAACTCGTGTCAGTCGATCGCCTGATAACCAATGTTTGCCAATAAATTTTGAATCATCAAAACCCATGTCATTCTGCTCTCTCCTCTTCCCCTTCCCTCTCCTCCACCCCCCTACACCACCACCCCTCCAACCAGCCTCATATCCCGCTCCATCGCCCCTGCCGATCATAAATAGAACTTGTCGTTCTCCTCTCTCTCCTTCCCGTACCCCCGCTCCCCTCCATCCAACCAGCCTCATATCTCGTGCTATCGCCCCGGCCTACCATGCAGTCCGCCCAGCCTACCTTCTCAACCTCAGATCCCAACCTTCGGCCGATGCTACCTCGTCACCGAACCTGCCTTTCAGCCTTGGTGCCTCCCGAGCCTCGGATGGAGATGTGGATATGGCTGAAGCCGGCCCGGTGGATGGAGTGGCAGGGGGCAGGAGGAAAGGGGAGAGGGCGAGGGGTGACGAGGAGGATGGAGAGGGAGAGGGGGAGAAAGACAGAGGAGTGGGAAAGGAGGTGGTGGAGAGCAGGACAGGGGGGGCGCGGGTGCCCGGGAGGGTGTTTGAGATGCTTCGCTTCCTGGGGGCTTTTCTCTACCAAGACACCATTCTTCTGCAGAAGGTGAGGCTGGGTGAATGACTGTCTTGCAGGGTGGTGGTGCGGTGTGGTGTGGTGCAGTCGGTGAAGTGGGTGCTTCATGCATATCTGGTGCAACCGCCCTTGTGCGCCAGTGCAGTTGTGCAAAGCAACAAAACGTGTGCAGTTGTCTTTGGATTGCTGTTACCAATAATTATTATGTACAACATACAGTACATAATGTAGTAACATTTCTATATCACATTATATATATACCACCTGGGCTGCATGTTTCCACCACCATGTCCACCTGTCATCTGCATGCCAACCTCTGAACTCACCTCTCACCAAACCTTTTTATCATTTTTTCTCGCTCTCGCTTTCCACTCTGCTCCCGATTCCTGCTGGTTTGCATGCCGTGCCACACATCTCCTCACCGCACCACACCAACCCGTATCACATCACCCACGCCATTTGCACCGCACCACACTCCCGTGTCTCACAACGACACACCCCAGCTGTGCAAGGTGCTCAAGGCAGACCTCCTCCAAGCCCGCGCCGCTGCTGCCACAGCCACTGCTTCTGCAGCCTCCTCCGCTCCTGCAGCTCTCTGTAATGGCCCTTCTCTTGGCGCTCTCACACCAGCAGCAACAGCCAACGGCCCAGTTTCTCCTGAACCCGACTCTTTGCTCGCTGCCCCTGACACTCCGGCTGCTACTGCAGCATCAGCAGCAGCAGAGACAGCAGCAGCGGCAGCGAGGGAGGTAGAGGGGCGGGTGGTGGAAGCACTAGAGGCGTCGCTGCTGCCGGCGCTGCAGGCGGTGGTGGCGAGTCCGCCGGTGTGCATGAAGCTGTGGGAGGTGCTCGCATGCCTGCCCTTCCAGGAGCGCTACCGGCTGTATGGCGAGTGGGAGAAGGAGACCGAGACCAACCCCCTGGTGCTCGCTGCCAGGCAGATTGCCAGGGTGAGTGATAGGAGTTCAGTTCAGGGTAGTGAGTGAGTGGGTACTGTACTGGGGTGATAGAATTGAGTGGGTAACCCAGCAGCGCTGAAATTGGCCGCTGGCTTTGCTGGTGAAGGTGCTTGGAGGGATAAAGGCTCTGTTCTCTTAGGGTGTGTGGGTAGGTGAAGAAGACGCGGTTCGCACACAGATGCACGTCTTTTTCCTCCCTCGCCTTCTCCGCTTACTCCCCTCCTCCCCACCGCCCTCTCCCAACCCTCCTCTCCCAATTCCCACATATATATTTTTTCTTTGTACCCGTTCCTCCCCCCATGCCCAGCCCCCCCTTTTCATCCCCTCTCCCGCCCTCCCCCCATTTAGCTGGGCATGCGGTGCACGCTGAGGCGGCTGGCGAAAGAGAATCTGAAGGCCACACTCTGAGCATCACGTGCCTTTTCCAATGAACCTGTTCCTCTCCCCACCCGATACAAGTTGGGTTTCGAGACGCCTCAGAACTATACGTGGGCAACGAGTGTAGGGTTTTTGCTCTACTCGTTCGAAATGCTCGTTGGGGGCCTAGTGTCGAGCATATTTTTTTTGCAGAATTACTCGTCCGAGTCGAGCCGAGGAATGCTCGCCGAGCTTTTCATACTCGTCACATGCTCGTGCGCGAAGACGAGCATTTTCGTGCTCGGTTTATGCTCGGCGAGTTTTGTTTTGCTCGTCGAGCATGAAAAACTCGTCGCGTTGAATTTTGCTGGGGTCAAATTTTCCCGCCAAATTTGACCCCAGATCTGAACCCCGCAAATGTTCCAAACCACTTTGCGTATAGGTTCGACAACGTTTGCACAATCAAACCGACAATTGATGGATGTTTCCCATCACTTTCAAAGGCTCAATGCCTAGTCGTCACCCTACCCACGCAACTCTAAGCTTAGCCCGCGCCATGTTAGCAGCGCCATTGGCTTGTTAATATAGGCCGCGTTTGGTTCCGTGAGGTTTTGTACTACTGTTAAGTTAAGTTGGTTGGAGTTTAGTTTATTCTGACGTTTCTCACCTACGCGCATCTCACCACAAGAGTTTCGTTTACAATGCCTACCGCTCGCGATAAAGTCTTGGCGTCCAAGAACAGGCTTGTGTCAGCTGGTACATAGAAGGGCAACATGTGCAGGTACATAGGGGCGAGTCGAGTATTTCAGTGCTCGGGCGAGTATTCTCACATACTCGCCCGAGCATACCCTAAATCAACGAGTCTAGAGTATGGCAAAAGTACGAAAACGCTCGCCAGAGCATTGCTCGGCTCGAGACAAATGCTCGGCGAGCATGCCCTCTGACGAGCCGAGTATTACTCGGCTCGTCACTTTGCCCATGTATACTCAGAACCCAACTTTTATGATGTGGTGGTGAAAGAGAATCTGAAGGCCACACAGTCTGAGCATCACGTGCCTTTTCCAACGCACCCGTTCACGGTTCACCCCTCCTTACCCCCCACTGCCCACACCGCCAGCTGGACACGCGGAGAACACTGAAGCGGCTGGCGAAGGAGAATCTGAAGCCGACGGGGCGCATGGTGGCGAAGCTGGCTCACTCCAACCCGCTCACCGTGCTCAGGACCATCGTGGTGCAGGTGGGTGCTGCTGCTGCCCTGTGCACTGCACAGTAACAGGCAGCGAAATTAGCTGTGATGGTAAGCGGTTCAGTTCAGGTATGGTTTAACAGCTGGCGCACTCCAACCCACTCGCCGTGCTCAGGACCATCGTGGTGCAGGTGGGTGCTGTTGTGGTGCAGGTGGGTGCTGCTGTGGTGCAGGTGGGTGCTGCTGTGGTGCAGGTGGGTGCTGCTGTGGTGCAGGTGGGTGCTGTTGTGGTGCAGGTGGGTGGGTGGTGCTGCTGCGTGGTGCATTGCACAGTGGTGCAGTGTGCAGATGGACTCGCCCAACGATATGATTCTGGCTGTCATTATTGCCTTCTAATACCCAACCCTTCACACATCTCACATCCCAACCCTCTCCCCCACCACAATTTCCCTGAACCTCCCTCCCCCCTCTCTTCCTGTCCCACGGCTGGCAGGTGGAGGCATACAAGGAAATGATTCCGCCTGTCGTTGATGCCTTCAAGTACTTCAACCAGGTCAGTGCTCCACGCCCCACCCCACACCACCCTGCCCCACTCCACCCCACTCCGCCCCACCCAGCCCCACCCACCCCCCCCCCCCCGCCCCTCCCCCCCCCTCTCTTGGCCCCTCGTTCGTCTGCTTCTTCTTTCTGCCTTTTGAGTCGTGCCAGCTGCGGTGTCACTGACATGCTCTGGAGCACCTGGTCCTGCTTTTGAGAATTCTCAAAAGTCAGGTGTCACTGACATGCTCTGGAGCACCTGGTCCTGCTTCTACTACCTGGTGGTAAAGCCGTGAAAACTGCTCTCCTCCTACCACCACCCTCCCCCGTTCGCTCGCCCTAAACCAGCTGGAGTTTGACATTCTCGAATACGTGGTGATAGAGCGACTAGCCCTGCTGGAACAGCCGCTTGATGCTCTCTCACACCTCCCACCTCCCCCCACCTCTTCCCGACTCGCCCTCCCTCGCCCTCCCCAGCTGGAGTTTGACATTCTGGAGTACGTGGTGATAGAGCGCCTGGCCCTGCCGCGCAGCACCATCAAGGAGGACGGACTCAACATCGCCGACTGGCTGCAGTGCCTCGCCTCCTTCTGGGGCTCCGTGTACGCGCCCTCCACCCCTGCCCTCCCTCCTTCCCTCCCTTCCCTTGCTTCTGGCATACGAGCTGTACTGCTCTGTGCACGTTCCCTCCCAGGCTTGTGTTGCCTTTTGGGGTTCCGTGGCCTGGGCTATGGAGCTCTGTGCGTGTGGCAATGCCGTTTGGTCTTCCTTTTTTTGTTTGCCATGTGTGGCCGGTCTCGTCTCCTTTTGGGGCTCTGTGTATGTTTCTCCATCCTTCCCTTGCTGCTGAGCATAAGGCCACCGGAAGCATGGTTTTGCAGCCTATTTTTTGGAGCTCTCTACTCTCTGCTCTCTGCTCTCTGCTCTCTGCTCTCTACTCTCTGCTCTCTGCTCTCTGCTCTCTACTCTCTGCTCTCTGCTCTCTACTCTCTGCTCTCTGCTCTCTGCTCTCTGCTCTCTACTCTCTGCTCTCTGCTCTCTGCTCTCTACTCTCTGCTCTCTGCTCTCTGCTGTCTACTCTCTGCTCTCTGCTCTCTGCTCCGTGTGCATGTGTTGTTGCCTTGTGTGGCTGTGTACGTCCCTTCCTTGTTCCGTTTCCTCAAGCTATGTGGTTCATACATAGCCTGGCTGGCTTTATGAGGGGACGCAGTGGGGCTTCACACTGAGATTGAATGCATCGGTTCGCGTCGCCCCCTCCCCCTTTCTTTTCTTATCAGCTGCAAGAAGTACCCTCTGGTGGAGCTGCGGGGGCTGCTCAGCTACTTAGTGAACCGGCTGCACCAAGGCGAGGCGGTGGAGCTGGTGTTGCTGCAGGAGCTGATGGAGCAGATGGCTGGCATTGAGTCCAATGAGAACCTCGCGGAGGAGCAGCTCGAGGCGCTGGCTGGCGGGGAGACGCTCAGGCAGTTGACCGCCAGCTTTGGCCAGGCCAAGAACAACAAGGTGCGCTGTTTGTGTGGCTTGCCGTGGCAGGGGTGGGTGGGGGTGGGGAAGAGCCTAAGGGGGCTGGCAGGGGATTGGGGCATCGCAGAATCACCTGGTTGCACGGCGGGGAGCTGGTGTTTCTGCAGGAGCTGATGGAGCATATGGCTGGCATTGAGACGATTGAGAAACTGGTGAAAAGGAAGAATTGTATTGATGTCGAGCTCAAACAAGTGAGCCAAGGTTTACAGCCAAGCCAAGGTATACATAGGTGGAGGAATTGGTAATGGATGAGCTTGGCCAACAATTATTGGAGGCCCCAATAATTGTTGGTTTTGTTGGACCAACATTATTGGGGCTCCAATCATTGTTGGGTGGATTTGAACCAACATTATTGGAGGTCATAAGATTGTTAGAAACCCAACCATTCCTCAACCACAAATTTTAATTGAAGGTACACTCAACAACCCTACACCTTTTCTATCATATGCATGTTTGTTAGAAAATACTACAACACAACCCCCCAACATGCATAAGGCTAGAAAAAACGGGAGGGGTGAGCCCAAGGAGGCCTTGGTGAAGATATCCGCAAGATTGGCCGCCAAGTCAATCTTGCCAAGTTTCATGTGTTCGTCCTGATCGAGGTTACGAATGAAGTAATGGCGGAGCTCAATATGCGTAGAATGTCCATGAAACACATTGTCATTGGTGAGATGAATGGTGCTGGCATTGTCACACCATATGGTGGGACAGCGCTGAGGAGCACCAAGCTCCTCAAGTAGAAAAGTGTGCCCTCGAGCCTCTTGCGTGGTTATGGTGGCGACATACAGCTCCGCCTCGCAGGAGGAGAGAGCGATGGCGGAGGAGCGGGTGGAACGCAAGCTGATAAGACCGCTACCAAATGTGAAAGTCATAGCCCTAAGAGGAGCGACGTTCCGGCCGAGAATCGGCCCAGGAGGAGTCACTGTAGCCGGTGTAGACCAGACCACGACCAGGACCCCTACCCCCAGGCCCATTGCGCCGCGAGCGACGTCCACCAGCTCCAGCTGACTGAGGCCGCTGCGGGTAGACATGAGCAGGGGGGCGAACGCATGTTTGGTTCGCCCGAATATGTTCGGGTGCGAACTGAACATGCTTTTTTTCTAGCCAACCCGAACATGTTCGGGCGTTCGCGGCACGCATAGGAGAAATGCTCAAACAATGAACATGTTCGGGATGTTCGCGGAATAACCAGCGCGACAAATGACGCGCTAGTTGGGTTTGAAGCCTACGAAATCAACAGATCGAGCTCATTGAGAGCTCGATCTACCTTTTTAGGTCAAGACTATCCTGTCCGCACCCAATACTTCATTCCTAAGCTAAAGCGCCCATGTTAACCTTAGTTAGGCACACATGTCCTTTTGAGCCCGTTTTTTAGGGTAAGGCCATCCTATCCGCCTCCTATACTTCATTCCTCCAGTTCACCGCAATAAAAACACATGTTTTTTATGCATGTATCTAGAATCAGTGGGCGAACATCGTACATGGTGTCCGGGCGAACGTGTAAAATGTTCGGCCACGGTTGACATGTTCTTTTGGGTGGGCGAACACCGAACACCAAATTTTACAAAAAAAAAAAAAGTGTTCGGGCGAACCAAACATGTTTGGATCGCCTTGTAAAGGTGTTCGTGTATGTTCGGGCGAACACGTTCGGTATTCGCCCGTTGCTCATGTCTAGCTGTGGGCTTGAGCAGGGCTGAGGAGTAGGGCGATGATGACGCGGTAGAAGTTAATGTGGTTGTTAGGACGATGACAAAGAGAAAAAAAAAAAGGCACAGAGGGCATGGCTGGCGGAGTGTAAAAGGTATTATGAGGAGGTTGTCTCGCCGAAGAGAGGCATGAACGGTGTGACAGTGAGGTGAGAGGATGTGGAGATGCTAAAACCAGGAAAGTTTTTTAACAACACGCTCATTGACTTCTTCCTCAAGTGAGTAGGTTGGTCCTACAAAGAACAGCTAATGTTTTTACATTCGTCACCTTCCTCTACGGTTGATTTCCTCTTTTGTGGAAAAGGTGGGAGGTGGCGCAGAGGAGGGTGATGAATGTGAAAACATTAGCTGTTCTCCATTGGAGCAACCTACTTTCTTGAGAAAGTAGTCAATGAGCGTGTCGTTTAGAAACTTTCCTGGTTTCAGCATCTCCACATCCTCCCACCTCACTGTCACACTGTCCATGCCCATTTTCGGGAACACAACCTCCTTATAATACTTCTTACACTCCGCCAGCCACTCCGTCTGTGTCTTTTTCTTTTTCTCTCCTTCCTTGCCCTTCTTGCTCTTCTTCCTGCCATTTCTTTCAACGACTCAAGATCCGGCACCATAGCGTGAGTCCCCGGCCCCCACCTTCACCTCGTGTGGGTGTAGTGATATTTTCAGCAAGGCTCTCCGTTTGAAGCCCTGTGTCGCCTACCACCGCCTGCCAGTGAGGAGAGGAGCAGCTCAAGGCGCTGGTTGGGGGGGAGACTCTCAGGCAGTTGACTGCTAGCTTCCTTTGGTCAGGCCAAGAACAGCAATGTGCGTTGCATGGCTTGAAATAGGTGAGGCTGCTGGGAGATTGAGTGAGCGCGAAGAAAGGTAGAAGATGAAAGAGCTCTGCTTTACGACCCCGCAACGCAAATGTCCTAACTTGCCCTCCTCCCCAGTGCCAACCCCATCCACCCGCTTCCCCACTGAGACAGGCCATGGCACGGTCCATGAGGCAGCTTAACGACACTCGGCTTTGAGATGTGTCAAAAAACCCCTCCACCAACCCCATCCAACAACCCCATCGACCACACTCACATTCTCCAAACCCACCCCTTCCCGTTCTTTCCGCACCGGTACTGCTGGCAGGCCATGGCACGGTCCATGGGGCGGCTGAAAGACGCGACCCCACCACCTTCCATCACCCCCACCCCCGCACCTCACCCCCATCCCCTTGGGTACCTGGGCAGGCCATGGCTCGGTCAAGGCACCTGCTGCCAGGCAAGGGCGAGCTGAACAGGTGTTCACCATGGTGCTCATGCCGACACCAACCCCACCTCTTCCACCCCCACCCCACCCTATCTGGGCAGGCCATGGCGCGGTCCATGGGGCGGCTCAAGGACGCTCTGCTTTAAAATTGTCAACACCCCGTTCACCACCCCCCTCTTCCCCCCCCCCCCCTCTTTCCCCCCCCCCTCTTTCCCCCTACCCTCTTTCTCCCCACCTTCTTCCCCCCCCCCTCTTCCCCCCCCCCTCTTTCCCCCCACCCTCTTTCCCCCCACCCTCTCCGTTACCGTGGCAGGCCATGGCGCGGTCCATGGGGCGGCTCAAGGACGCTCTGCTGCCAGGCAAGGGCGAGCCGAACCTGGCTGTGCCGCTGCTGGTGCTCATTGCCCGGCAACGATCCAAGTGAGTGCTCGTGGTGATTCCTTGACACATTTTGGCGCACCAATGCATTTGCTGCCACGTCATCCTTGCTTGTCGTGCTGCTCCCGCCCCTCACACTCGCCCATACTCTCTGCTCACGCATTTTGAAATCACCCTCTCTTCCCCACCCAACCCCCCCACACGCACTGTGCTCTCTCTATGCCTCTCCCCCTTCCAGTGTCGTGTTTGAAACTCCTCAACGAACGTTTTAGCAGTTGCCTCTTCCTTCAAACGGTCCTTTGTCTCTTGTGTCCCCTGTGGTGTGGTGTACATTTCGAATCCAACAGGCCCAACCCTCTTCGTTCTATCTCCCTTTCTCTTCCAGCCCCAAGCATTCCGTTTGAGGCAGAGCAATCGCACAGTAGTCACGCTGTTGGTTAAGTCCCTTCCTCCTTTCCTTTCGCCATTCTCCACCCTTCTCCACCCTTCTCCACCCTCTCCCAGTATCGTATTTGAGGCGGAGGGGTCGCACATCAAGCTGCTGAGCGAGCACTTCGACCGCTGCCACCTCATCATGCTACAGTACGCGCAGTTCCTCTCCGCCGCCCTCTCGCCGCCCACCTCGTACGCCGCCTTCATGCCGACCCTGCACACTCTCTCCCAGGGCTTCCACATGCCGCCCGAAGCTGCATTCCTGTTCTACCGCCCGGTGCTGCGCCTCTTCAAGCCCAGCGCTGATTCCCCCGTCTCCTGGCCTGCCCTCGCTGCTGCGAGTGGTGCGGGTGGGAGTGGTGGGAGGGGAGGGGAGAAGGAGAAGAGGCAACAGCAGCAGGGGGGGAGGAAGGGGGCAGGGGATGGGGTGGCAATGGATGGGGTAGTGGAGGATGGGGTGGAGGGGGAGGGGGATGGGGAATCAGAGGAGGACTTGGTGTTGTGCCTGGGAGATGCAGCAGCTACAGCTGCATCTGCTGGTACTGCTGCTGCTGCTGTTTCCACTAGTGCTGCTGCTGCTGCTGCTGCAGGTGCTGCTGGCGCCGATGCCACTGACAGCCCCGTGCACTGGCGGGACGTGGTGGAGTGGGTCCGAAACATGCCGCCCGCAGCAGCGTGGCGGGGCTTGTCGCCGCCCTTCTATCTGCTCTTCTGGGGGCTGTCTCTCTGCGACCTGCATGTGCCACGGCAGCGCTACGAGGCCGAGATGGCCAAGCAGAGAGCGCTGCTGCGGTCGCTTGAAGACATTGGGGATTCATCAGGGTCGGCCATCCAGGTGAGGCGCATGTGGGTGGGTTCTCGCTCTCTCCTTTCTCTCTCGCTCTTCCTCCGCGACCTGTGGTGTTGGACCGGCTCTCATGTTTCTCTCCCCTCTCGTTCCCTTTTCGTGCCTTTCCCCATCTACTCTTTCCTATAATGTCTCCTCCCACCCACCGCAGAAGCGCAAGAAGGAGAAGGAGCGCGTGCAGGAGGTGTTGGGCCGGCTCCCTCATCTGACTTCTCTCGTGTTCCCTCTTCTTGCGTTTCCTCCATCCACTCTTCCCCATCATGTCTACACGCCCACCCACCACCGCAGAAGCGCAAGAAGGAGAAGGAGCGAGTGCAGGAGGTGCTGGACCGGCTCATATCATTCCCCTCTTGTTCCCTCTTTCCCGTAATGTCTCCCCCACCCTCTCCCTCCCCACCCACCGCAGAAGCGCAAGAAGGAGAAGGAGCGCGTGCAGGAGGTGCTGGACCGGCTCTCAGCCGAGCTGGCCCGGCAGCAGGCTCGGGTCGAGGCTGTGCAGCGGCGGCTGGTTCGGGACCGCGCGCACTGGCTGAGCCCGGCTGCCGTGCCGGACAGCTGGCGCATCGTGCCTTGCTTCCTGCACCACTGCGTCATCCCGAGGGTTTTGATGAGCCCAGAGGATGCGGTCTACTGTGCCAAGTGAGTGGGGAGGCTGGGGGTGCAAGGGATACCTTGGGCTTGGGCTGTGCCGGACAGCTGGCGCATCGTGCCTTGTTTCCTGCACCACTGCGTCATTCCACGGGTGCTCATGAGCCCAGAGGATGCAGTCTACTGTGCCAAGTGAGTGGATTCTAGGAGGGAGTTGGGGTGCAAGCATTGTCTTGGGCAGCCGTGCCGGACAGCTGGCGCATCGTGCCGTGCTTCTTGCACCACTGTGTTATCCCACGCGCGCTTGCTCATGAGCCATGAGGACGCTGTTTACTGCGCCAAGTGAGTGACTTGGATCAAGTCAGTGCCTGGTGACACCTGGCGCTTTGTCTTGCCATCCCATGGGCGCTCATGAGCGGCTGTGCATGCATGCATGCATGCAGGGAAGTGCTGCAGTGTAGCACTGTGCATGCATGCATGCATGCAGGGCGGTGCTGCAGTGTAGCACTGTGCATGCATGCATGCATGCAGGGCGGTGCTGCAGTGTAGCACTGGGTGGACTGTGCTACCCATTCTCTTCCCTCCCCCTCTCTCTGTCCCTGCCTTTCTGGGTTCATACTCTGCATGCATGCGGCCGCCACGCCCCAGTTCTGCACGTTTCATATGGTGGACGCCTTTGTGTGCAAGAGCTTCCACCCGCTGCTCGCCTCTGAAGCCAAACCCCCCCACCTCCCTCTCCCTGCTACCAGCCACCCCTCCAAGTTTATACTGCGCATGCATGCGGCCGCCACCCCCCAGTTCTGCACGTTTCAGATTGTGGACGCGTTTGTGTGCAAGAGCCTCCACCCGATCATCTCCCTCTCTCTGGCCCCTACCCACACAGGTTCATACTGCGCATGCACGCGGCCGCCACCCCGCAGTTCTGCACGTTTCAGATGGTGGACGCTTTTGTGTGCAAGAGCTTCCACCCGCTGCTCGCTAGCTCTTCTGAAGCCGAGGCGGGTCGCCTGGGCCGGTTTGTGCTGGAGATCCTGCAGGCCATCTACCGCTGGAAGGTGCGGTGCAGAGGGAGCGGGAAGGGGGGTGGGTATGGGTGGATGGAAGGTGAGAGTCGGAGGTGGGGAGGGCTACTGGGCCGCCTGGGGAGCTTCGTGCTGGAGATTCTGCAGGCCATCTACCGCTGGAAGGTGAGGGGCAAGGGGGAGGGAGGTGGGAGGCGGAGGGAGGTGAGAGTGGAGGTGGCGAGAGGGTAGGGGGAGTATGGGTGATGAGAGGTGGGGGGGTAAAGGTGGTGAGGGTAGGGCTGCGAAGAATAAAGGGGCCCTCGAGGAGGGCTGAGACGGCACAGCTTTGAGTGTAAAAAAACCCTTTACTTTTGCTGCCCTCACTTCCCCCCCAACCCCTTTTGATCCCTCCACCCTCACTTCCCATCCCTGCTGCGTTTGTCTTCCTTCATCCCCCTCTACGCTCTTTAATGCGTGGCAGAGCGACTCATCAGTGTACAATGCGGAGTGCCTGGATCACGCTCCTCACTCACACCGTACTTCTACTCTCCCTCACTCCTTCCAACTAACCCCCTCCTCTTCATCCTCCCCCTTCCCTACCTTTGCTGTCGGTACATGGCAGAGCGACGCATCAGTGTACAATGCGGAGTGCCTGGACCACCCCGGGTCGTCCAAGAGTGTGATGAAGAAGCCCAACAACAACATGACTCTCGACCAGTTCCGCACGGTAAGGCTGTGTTGACTGTGTTGACTGTGTTGACTGTGTTGACTGCGTATACTTGACTGTGTTGACCCTGTTTGACCACGTTGACAAGAGTGTTATGAAGAAGCCCAACAATTAATGAAGAAGCGCAACAACAGCAACAGCATGACACTGGTTTTGAGACATCTCAACGCTTGACCAGTTCCGCACGGTGTGGGTCGTTCATGCTAGTGTTGACTGTGCTGTTCACCCCACACCACACACACTGCAAGTTCATACCAAGTAAATCGATTTTTGTAGTCGGCTCAAATCGTGTTGACTGTGCTGTTCACTCCAAACTGCAAGCGAATACCAAGTGGAACGCCAAGAGTTGAGATGTCTCAAAACCACATGCACACCTGCCTGCCCCACTGCACCCTCACGCTGCTCCCGTCTTCCATCCCTCTCCTCCCCGCCTTGTGCTGTCAGATCAACTGGAAGTGGAACGCGAAGCTGGTGAAGGTCCTATCGACCCTGCTCGAGCCCACAGAGTACATGCACATCCGCAACGCCCTCACTATGCTCCCCTCTGCCCTCTCCCCTCTCTATCCTGCCACATCCCCGTTCCATCTTCCCCCTTATTGCTGCGTCCGCCCATGGGCAGATCAACTGGAAGTGGAACGCCAAGCTAGTGAAGGTGCTGTCGACCCTCCTCGAGTCCACTGATTACATGCACATCTCCCCACTGCATGCATCTCACATGCTGCTCCCCTCTTCCGTCTCCCACACCCCCCTTCCTGTGCCACCAGATCAACTGGAAGTGGAACGCCAAGCTGGTGAAGGTGCTATCGACCCTGCTGGAGTCAACAGAGTACATGCACATCCGCAACGCCCTCACGCTGCTCTCCCGCGTTGCCGCTGTCTTCCCCGTCACCAAGCGCGGGGGGCTTGTTCTCGAACGCAAGGTGGGAGTGCCATGCCGCTGCTGTTGCTGCTGAACCTGTGGTGCGGCTCCGGTTGCCGCTGCTGCCTGCTGCTACCGTCACCCCGCCGCCGCCGCTGTATCATCAACCCGTTACCCTGTTGTCGAAAATTGTGTGCTGAAATTTTTTGCAGCGTCTCATCCTCTCATCGTGCCAGCATGCCATCATGGCCAGCATGCCATCATGGCCTCGGCTCATCATCGGGCCATAATCTTATGATACCATCATGCCATGCCACCATGGTCATCAGGTGAACCTGAATCGTCTCAAGGCGGAGGAGCGGCAGGATCTAAAGCTCATGGCTACCAGTGAAGGTGCCTCTGTTGTGGACTCAATACCCACCATCTCATGATCTCATTGTGCCATCGTGTCATGCAACCCACCATGGCCATCAGGTGAATCGCCTTAAGGCGGAGGAGCGGCAGGATCTGAAGCTCATGGCTACCAGTGAAGGTGCCTCTTTTGTGGACTCATTACCCTCCATCTCATGATCTCATTGTGCCATCGTGCCATGCAACCCACCATCACCATCAGGTGAATCGCCTCAAGGCGGAGGAGCGGCAAGATCTGAAGCTCATGGCTACCAGCGTGTCGGCTGCACTCAACGCCAAAAAGGTACGGCTTTAGTGGGGGAGAAGATGGTTTGAGTGTGAGTGAGTGGAGAAAGGGCGAGCCACATGAAGGATCGTTCGTTCGGTCGGTGCCGTGCGCCGTCGCTCTCGTCGTCTAAAGCCTTGTCAAAACAAGTCTTGAAAGTCGAATGTTTGATTATTGATTATCCTTTGTGTCTTCCTATGTTCTCACTGTCTCTCTTTGCAGCAATCGTGGGTGACGGATGAGGAGTTTGGAGGGGCACCAGCTCCCTCCGCCACTCCCCGCGCTGCCTCCCCTGCCCCTCTCGCTGCTGCTCCTGCTGCCCCCGTTACCGCCATCGCTGCTGCTGCCTCCACGGCTGCTGCTCCTGCCACTGTCCCTGCTGCTAATGCCAAACCGTTTGTGGCTGATGCTGCTTCGGCTGCTGCTGCTGCTGGTGGGATCGGCAAGGCAGCTGCTGCCATCCCTGCTGCTGCTGCTCCCTCTGCTCCGTCCAGTCGCCACCCCACGCCCCCACCCTCGCGCCGTTCCTCCATGCCTCCCCCTTCCCCCGAACGCCCTGCCTCTAAGTCTCCCCTAATTCATGGTGGAATGGGGGAGGAGAGCGAGGGGGAGAAGGTAAGGGGCAGGGTGATGGAAAAGGAAAAGGAGAGAGTGACGATGGTTAAAGGAGAGGAGGGTGCTTCTAATGGTGCTGCTGCTGGTGTTGCTGCTGCTGCTGCTGAAATTCCTATAAAGGAGGAGCCAGTAATGACATTGGGGCAAACGGAAGGGAAAAGGGAGGAGAGATGGGAGGAGGGGGAGCAAGCACCACCTGCGAAGCACAGGAAGGTGGAAGGAGGAGAGGGAGAGGGAGGGGGACGGGGAGGAGGAGGGGAGGTTGGAAGAGGAGGGGGAAGGGCAGGCAGCAAACTCTCCCCTGATGCTCCCCCCTTTGTGCCCTCTGCACTAAGAGGGGCAGGGGGTGGGGAGGATGGGGGGAGGGGGAGGGATGAAGAGATGGAGGTGAAGGGAGGGAGGCGAGATGAGGAAGGGAGGGAGGGGAAGGAGAGGGAGAGGGAGAGGGAAAGGAGGGGGTCGGGTGGGGGTGGTAGGCACGAGGAAAGGGCAGGGAGGGAGAGAGGAGAGGAAAGGGGGGGATTTGATGCAGGCAACGGGAAGGGTGGGAAGTTGGGGTTGGGGGGTGAGGGATCAAACCACAGGGAGGGCTTGGGTGCAGGTGGGTCTGGTAAGAGAGCGTATGAGGAGAAAGAGGAGCATGAGGCTGGGGAGGTGAGGGGGGAGGTGAGGGGGGAGGGCAGAGGGGAGGACAGGTGGGAGGGCAGGGGAGGGCATAAGAGGGGGAGTGATGGGGCGGAGAGAGAGGGGGTGAGAGATGTGGGTGAGAGGGGGAAGAGAGGAGAGTGGGAGGATGGGGAGCAGGATGTGCGCGGTGGGAGGGATGGGAGGAGTGAGAAGGTTGAGAAGGAGGAGATGAAGAGTAGGGAGAAGGAGAGGGAGGAGAGGGACAAAGATAAGTCAAGGGTGTTAGATAGAGAAAGGGAGGCGGAGACAGGGAAGGGGAAAGAGAGAGAATTGAGAGATAGGGAGAGGGAGAGGGAGAGGGGGAAGGAGAGGGAGAGGGAGAGGGAGGACAAGGGACGGGACAGGGGGCGAGGGGAGAGGGAGAAGGATCGTGAAGTGGAGAGGGGGGAGGTGAAGGAAGGGCGGGAGAGGGACAAGGGACGTGAGAGGAACCATGAGGAGGAAAGGGGGGAGAAGGAGAGGGAAAGGGAGAAGGAGAGGGAGAAGGAGAAGGAGAAGGAGAAGGAGAAGGAGAGAGAGCGGGTGCAGGAGGAGAAGATGAGGGAGGAGAGGGAGAGGCTGAGGGCTCGGCTTGAGGAAGATATGATGGTGAGGGAGAAGGAGAAGGAGAGGGAGAAGGAGAAGGAGAGGGAAAGGGAGAGAGAGAAGGAAAGGGAGAGGGAGAAGGAGCGAGAGAGGGAGAGGGAGCGGGGCGCAGGGAAGGATAAGGGAAGGGAGCGAAGCAAGGCTGCTGCGGCAGCAGCTGTGGCTGCAGCTGCTGCTGCCACTGCTGGCCGAATCTCCGGAGGGGTTGTGGGAGGAGGAGAGGGGGGTGGTGGAGGGGGAGGAGAGCGAGGGCCAAGCGTGGCAGCAAGTCCTGCTAGAGTGACAGGAGGGGGAGCAGGAGGGGGAGGCGCATTTGGTGTGAAGAGTCCGAAGGAAATAGAAGGGGTGGAGGAGGGAGGGAAGGGTAGGGGAGGGAAGAGGAGTGTGAGCTCGTCAGAAGATGGGGGAGGAGGGGCGGTGGCGGGCGGTAGTGGGGAGCGGGGAGTGAAGCGAGCGGGGAGGGGCGATGGGGACGTGGAGAGGGAGAGAGGCAGGGAGGAGAGGAGGAGGGAGAAGGAGAGGGAGCGGGAGCGGGAGCGGGGTGAAGAGACGCCGAGAGCTGATGAGCGGGAAGGGAGAGGGGAAGGGAGAGGAGGGGAGCGGGGGAGTGGGGGTCGGGGAGGGGAGAAAGGGGAGTGGAGTGAGAGAGGGAGTGTGGAGCGGGGAAGGGGGAGAGAGGTGGATGATTCAGGGCTTGGGGCAGATGGGCGTGGGGATGTGCATGAGTGGGGAGAGAGAGGTGGTGTGCGCGAGAAAAGAGTGTCTGATCGCAAAGGGGACAGGGAGAGGGAGAAGGTGAGGGAGAGAGAGCGAGGACAGGTTGATAGTACACCAGAGAGGGAGGTGAAGGAGGAGAGGGGTGGGGGGCGTGAGAGGGAGACAGAGCACCTGAAGGAGAGAGAGAGGGAGCATGAGCGTGCAATGGTGAAGGAGAGACTGGGTGAGCGCAGCAGGGGTGGGAGGGAGAGGGGAGAGAGAGGAGAGAGGGTGGGTGGCAAGGAGGAGGAGCGGGGAGTGGAGCAGGAGCGTGTGTATGAGAAGGAGCGTGGGGAGAGGGAGCGTGGTGAGAAGGGTGAGAAGGAGCGCGGAATCTTTCCAGAGCGGAGCATTGAGAGGGGAGGGGGGATTCGTGTGGTGGTGCGGGATGTGGGCGAGGAGGGGAGGGAGGAGGGGCATGCGCCGAGGCATGGGGCAGGGCAGGGGCTTCGTCACTCGCTTGTGGTCGGAGCAACTCCACCTGCTCCTGCTGGAAGAATCATTCATGAGGTACATCTCTTGAATCGAATCTACCCATTGTTTTATTCAAATATACATATGTATCCATGAACCTCTCAACGGGTCACCCATTAATCCCTGTTTGAGACTGCAAGCCTCTTCCTTATCAACTCCTTTTCCTTTCCATGCTGCTCTCACGCTGTTCCTCCCCACCTCATCCTCCCCCAGCCACGAGAGCGGGACCGCGACTGGGATCGCGAGCACGATTATGAGCGTGACGAGCGAGACAGGGACAGGGATCGAGACAGGGACCGCGAGCACCCACGAGACCGGGAGCCTTATCGGGAGCGGGATCGCTCGCCACGAGAGAGCAAGTTCTCCTCTGCGCCGCCTCCCAGGGACCTCCAGCCCATTTCCCCGCTTCCACCGCAGGCTCTCTCTCTGCCTGCGCAGCTCGCTCCTACCAGCTCCTCAGCTGCTCTCCCTGCAAAGCGCAGGAAAATCAAGCGGGATCAGAGCCTCATGCAGCCGCATGGAGATGCTATGCATTCTCCGGGCGGTGCTGGGTTGCCTGTGGCTGGCATTCCAGCAGGCGGGCCGTCAGCTATGCCAATGCCCCTTGCTCCGCCGTTCCACTCGGGTGGGGTTCATCCGTCGTCTCGGTCCCCTGCTGTGGTTATGGCGGCTGGAGGTGGGCACCGTGGTGGGCCGATGCTTCATGTAACATCAACTCTTGATGACCGTGCGGACAGACGGTGGATTACTGACGCTGGTGGTGGTGGCGGAGGTGGGAGCAGGAGAAGCGGCGAGGTTGAGCTGCCGCCGCCTTCACGAGGCGCAGGGCCTGCTAGGAGCTCCAGACTAGCTGGCAGGCTTGGAGAGCAGGATGGTGGAGTGGGGGGGGGCTATGATCGTAGCGGTCCTGGTCAAGGAGGTGGAGTGCGAGATGAGGCGTGGGACGGTGACAAGGCGCGACGGGATGGTCGCATGAGCAACAGACGCCATTGAGCAAGGTCCCAGCCATTCACATGAACAGAAGGTCGAACATGCTGATGCCGGTATCTTGTTAGAACCAGCATGACACGAATATGGCATAACTCAATTGATGCTTGTCCAAGCTGGATACATAGTAGTGAATCTTCAGAATTGAGATACTAGTCACATTATGGAAGAATAAACTTAAAGATGGAATGCTACTGTATTGGGACCAAGAGTTCAGCTGCTTTATAGCCTGAGAAGATGAGAGATTGAGAGAACACCCATCTATAAGATACACCCGTTTTAAAGATACCCCCTGTCTTCAATTCGACCTTGTCTTATATCCCGGCGATGACGGTAGCAAATTCCACACTGCTTTACTCAGGTCTGCGAAGCTTGGTATGCAACGGTGGCTCCTTGTAGCTCATAAGAGTTCGGGCACGAAGGGCACGCTTTGGTGGCTCTGAAGCTTCCTTGACCTCATCGACTGTTTCACGAGCGAAAGAAGCTGAACGGTTGCTGAATCTGCCAACAGAGTTGTCTGTGTGGCTATGTGGATGCCTGCTCGTGGGGTTGTGTGTTTGGACCCTAGTGGGCCTGGAGTTAAAGTTGTTTGAGCTGCAACTCTCTGCATCAGACTCTGAGTCTTCGCGTTCCACCTGACCCACTGGCTGCACCTTAGGTGGCTTGGGATTGTAGGTGCGTGGCCGCACACGGGATACGGTGGAATGTTCCTGCTCTTCGCGTTCTTTGACGGTCCCTGGCATCCTGTGAAGAAGATTAGAACCTGAAAACTACTAATACTGGGAACATCACGATGACCTACCTGGATGGAGGTCTAATAATCTTCCTCGTTCGGGCTCTGGTCAGTCCTGCATGTCCTGCCATTGGAGGATCTTGCTGACGATTGTCGTCGCGCTTCTGAAAATGTCGGGCAGAAAGTATGAATCACCGGGCTTGACTGTTACTGTTAACAACGTCAACAAACAAACTTGCATCTTCAATGTCACACCTTCGGTGATTCCTTCTTTGTTGCAAGAAATTGTAGCTCCTGCATGTCCATTTCATTATTATTTGGTTAGCATACTAATGTTTTAAATCGCAGAGAATGTCGTGTACCTCAAGGTTGTTCAGTCTGTCTTGCAATCTTGCATTCTCTTCCTTCGCCTTTTCAAGCAACCTCTCTGCTTCCTGCAGCTGAATGTCATTGAACTGTGGTATGGTAAGCAAGCAACCACAAAGCTCTCACTAGCCTCACCTCCTTTTCACTCTTCAATACTTTGATCAGCACCCTTTGCTGAATACTTTCATTGCGAAGCAGCTCAATCTACAAAGAAAATTAAGATCAGAATCTTAAGTTTGAATAAACGGGACTGAACCAATCTTACCTGAGCTTGCTGGTGCATCATTTCCTGAAGATGAAAACAATCAGGCAGATCAGGCGTACCGCTCACGATGTCTGAACGGGTGGTCGTGACAAGCGTTTCCGTACCTTTTGCAAAGAAGCATTTCTCTGTATGATGTCATTGTTCAGCAAAGAATGTCGTTGCATCATTGCCTTCACCGCCTCCTGCGTGGTGCGAATCTGCTCACTGGAAAAACTAAGTCAGCAACGCAGCTAAGTTCAGGCCGTCTAAAATATATAATTTAAAAGTTCACGTATAAACTCAGCATTTTTTCTTACTCTCTTTCAGCCACAACCTTTTTCCACATGTCATTGACCTGAAAGGATGGGAGAAGTGCTTAGACAGGACGTTAAAAGACCACATTCTGGCTATTTTACGCACTACACCTTTTCGATTTCCACAAGGTTGTTGGCCAGGTTGTTGCTCAAAGGTCCTGTTGTCCCAACATAACTTCTGTGGTTGGCCAAACCTCGAAGCGGACCGTTTTGTCTCAAAATAGGGGTCAGCGGCATGGTGCTTACGGCAGAACGACAACCCACGACACGATGTCAAGCTTACGCGTGACAATCAATCTGCACGACAATCTTTCTGACTTCCCGACGTCTATATTTGACAAGGTTTGCTGCCTCTACGATACAAGTAGGTTGCCGCGAAGGCAACAAAAGCATGAAGTGATGGCTCTGGTGTGGATGCAAGAGTGGTTTCGAGAATGTCGAGAACTTTTCTGAGGGCGTGTCATGCAAATGAAATTACTTTCGCTCCTCGCGTCGGTTACCTGTTTTATTCTGTAATTGTTGCACATTAGAAACTCGGCCTGCAATTCTGCCTGACAAATTTGGAACCGGACAGGGTTCGTGTGGCGCGTGCCTTGCACTTGAGTGCAAAAACGCAGCTCACGGAGTTCGTGTCTCGGAAAGGTGTTACACAAATTCCGAAATTCGCGAGGTGTATACTCGCGAGAATAGCAAGGGACGCTCAATGTCCAGGAATTTGAAATCACGAACTCCGAAATTCGCGAGATGTTACATGGCCGGGCCAGTTCATTAGGTGGTGGAGATCAGTTCCTGACCCTCATCGCTTGCGATTTATCCCGGAAGAAAAGAGGATGAATGCCCAGTGCAAGGGACTGGGCCCCTGAGTGGATGGAGTCTTGGGGAATGAGCAGCTTGTGAAGGGTTTGTAGCAGTGGTGGGGTGGGGTGGGTGAAGGCAAAATACATATATTTATTTCATCAATGGGTTTGTGCCCATTGGTTTATTTTTTATCTTTGGGATGAGGTTTGTGAGGGAGTGTAGAGGAATTGATGTATAATGGTTGACACTCATGTCAACAACACAGCGCATTTCTCTACGCATGTATATAGTATGTGTAATTTCATGAATGACATGCTTGTGCAGCATGCTAAGGTTGGCTAACGTCAGTCGCTCAATCGCGTACAGCTGGGTGAGGCAACCTCGAGGTTGGATGGGATGGTCTCCGGGCGTATGTCCTCACCACCACCCTCGCCGCCATCTCCTCATCGACAAGTGCTCGCTTCTGTTACGATGACGGGACGGGGACGGAACGACCGTCATAGTCTAGGAAGTCACGCATGGACAGTTATCGTTGTGTCCCCCTTATTGACACAGCTGCTCAATTGATACCTGTAGGCAATCGCGAACCGTTCGTCAGAGCCCAACTGCTTGGGCTATCTACAGCGACGCGTATGTGCCAGAAAATTTTCGCTTCGTCGTCACCGAGATAGGATAAAACTGTTGGAAACTGTGGTTGCATCGCCTCGCACCTTATGTCGAAGAATAATATAACAGAGTTTCGATCTTAAAGAAACACGGAGTTTTTTTATTGTGCATATATTGAATTGTTCTGTACATATGGAGGCGAAGCAGACATAGTCGTAAGACAACGATCGCATTTCGGGGCGGAGAGCATGGCGGTCGGCGCGGGGGGGTTGTGGCATCCCGCGGAGGTGCGGCGAGACGAGCTGAAGGCGGGCGACCATATCTTCTCGTGGCGCATCGGCATGTCCTACTCTCACCATGGTGACCGCTGTGTAGACTCATGCCTGTCCCACTCTCACCATGGTAGCTTGTGTGTTATCGTAACTCTATCCATTCTGATGATTGCATGTGATGTGACCCTGAGATTGCCTTGAGACGAGACGAGCTGAAGCCTGGTGACCACATCTTCTCGTGGCGTATCTGCATGTCTTATTCTCACCATGGTAACTCGTGCGTAAAGCGGAATTTCAACTCACCCTCTACCCCGTGAGTGTACGTGGATGCATATGAAGCCAACTGCAGCAGTACGACGAGCCTTTACACAAATCCGTCCCCTCTCGTCTCGCCCACCGCTTGTCTGTTCCAGGGGTGTACGTGGGAGCGGACGAGGTGATTCACTTCACGCGCCAGCAGGCAGACGAGATCGGCTCCATATGGAGCCATCTCCACCAGTGCGACGTGTCTTTACGTGAACCTCCTCCCTGCTCGTCTCCCCCACCGCTTGTCTACCGCAGGAGTGTACGTGGGAGCGGACGAGGTGATTCACTTCACGCGCCAGCAGGCAGACGAGATCGGCTCCAACGCCCTCCTAGACTACGCTGCTTCCGTCTCCCCCGCCCTTCAGCGCACCACCACAACCAGCGGTGAAGGTTCGGGGCCGTGCCGAGCCTGTGGCACGGAGGGCAGCAGCCACGGCGTGATCTCGTCGTGCCTGCGGTGCTTCCTGCACGGCGGCGCGCTATTCAGATTCGACTACGGCGTGTCGGTGGGGAGCTTTTGCTTGCAGATGCGAGGCGGCACGTGCAGCATGGCTGTGCCTGATGCCCCGCATGCTGTGGTGCAGAGGTAGAACTTAGTGTGTTTGTACAGAGGTAGGACTGAGTGTGTTTGTAGCGAGGCATGTCATGACAAACAGACGGTGGGGGGCTTTTCCTGCAGATGCGAGGCGGCATGTGCAGCATGGCTGTGTCTGATGCTCCGCATGCTGTGGTGCAGCGGTAGAACTGAACGTGTTTGTACAGAGGTAGGACTGAGTGTGCTTGTAGAAAGGTAGGACTGAGTGTGCTTGTGGAGAGGTAGGTCTGAGTGTGCTTGTAGAGAGGTAGGACTGAGTGTGCTTGTAGAGAGGCAGGACTGAGTGTGCTTGTAGAGGGGTAGGACTGAGTGTGCTTGTAGAGAGGATACACATTTCTTAGCAATCCGATTCCCACTCTTTGCTCTCCTGCAGAGCACGGTTGCTCCTGACAGAGGGTTTTGGGCGATACCACGTGCTGGACAACAACTGCGAGGACTTCGCCGTGTACTACAAGAGCCGCACCCTTATTGTGACTTGTGCTGATTCTTTTGTGCTTCGATTGCCACTCTCTGCTCTCCTGCAGGGCACTTTTGCTCCTAAAAGAGGGCTTTGGGCGCTACCACGTGCTGGACAACAATTGTGAGGACTTCGCCGTCTACTGCAAGACGCGTGCGCTAGTGGTCGATAAGACTCGTGTGGGCACCAGCGGCCAGTCCGCTGCTTTCTTCGGGTTCAACTTTGCATCTGCCACCGCTGCTGTGCCCCTGCTGCTCGTAGGGCCCCTGGCTGCTGCTGCTGTGTTTGCCGGTGAGATGGGAGGGGGTGGGAGGGGATGGTGAGGGGGAGGGAGGGGTTGGGAACAGGTGGGCGGGAATGGGAAGGTGTGGGAGGGGATGAGACCTCTGCTACTGGTGCTATTCCGATAGTGCTGATTGGCACCCTAGAAGCTAGAGATTGCTAGTGAAATGGGTGCTGGCATGGTGAGAAGGTGGTGAGATGGTGCACATGGTGCTGGCCTGGCTGGTGCGTGTATGTGCTCGCAACCGACTTGACTGAGGTAGCTCCTTTCCCAATGCTCCCACGTCTCGCATGCATGTCTCTTGCGCTGCTGGTCGGCGGTGGTTGGCATTGTGTGGTGTGTTCGTGTCTGTATGTCTGGTCTGGAGTGTGTGCTCGTGTGCTTGTGTGAGTGTGTGTGTCTGTGTGTTCTGTGGGGGTGCAGGGTCGTACAGCTTGAGCCGAGTGGCGCTGGACGTGGGGGTGAGGAGGGACGTGGTGAGGGTGGAGGGGGAGGAGTTGGTGGCAAGTCTCAAGGGTAGGGAAAGGGTGTGCGGGGATGGGACTGGAGGAAGGAGGGCGAAGGACGGGGTGGAGTTGGTGGTTGCGAGGATGAGAGGGGGTGTACATATGCAAGTGGAGGTGTGCCCGCAACTGCTGTAACTAGATGTGCTGTAGTCCTTAGCTCGCGTGGTGTTATGCAAGTGCTCTATATTAATAGGTGGTGATTTTGATGTGCGCTTCAGTGTTATACATTGTGTAATTTACCGTAGTCTTTCTTCTTTAGTTTGACTCTTTATTTAGAGTTTCTGGCGGCGTTTTAATGACATTTCAAAAGGCGGAAGCGTAGTTGTATTTACGAAGTAAGCGCATCGTTCAATGTAATGTACAGATGTGGTTGTGATTTGACTATTGGTGAAGCTCGTGCCACGTTTGCCGTTGCCTCACGTCGCATTTCGAGGTCCTTGCTGCCTCGTCAGATCAGCGAAAGCTGTCGTCAGCTTTGTGGTTCGTGCCACGCCACGACGAATGTTGACTCAACACTGAAGTGTATGGCTACCGACGAATGTCAACTCAATGAACTCATTCTGAGCTACCCGAATGTCTGCCCGTCCTAATGTTTCATGCATTCTCCCGGCAAGGCAAACCCGCGAGGGTCTGGGTCGTGGAAGTGGTCAGTGCTGCCTCACAGAGATCTGTTGCAGACGGGACACATATTTCTCAAATGCAGTCGCGGGTGTGGTTGTGTGTTCTACCAGATAGCCCTCAAAATCACAGCCAAATACACTGTTTGCCACTTTGCAAGGGAGAGATGGCATGTATATTTATTATTCTTGAACCTCCAAGCCTCTTCTATCCACACTCTACATTCACTGCATCCACCTAGCTCACTCATGCAGTTCAAAACGATTTGTTCACCTCTTGTCACACATTCATTTAGCAATTTGTGGTCTTCGTGTGGTGTTTCTGTTTCACCTTCTCTTGCTAGTCATTTCCCTCTGCTTTCCACGTCTCTACAATGGCTGCTGCCACCGCGATTCGTGCCCTAGCCATCCCTGGGTCACTTCAAAGGCAGGCGATGTCCGCAGGAGCCAGCAGCTCTGCTGATTCTTCGTCAATGAAGTTACCACTTCGCCGGATTCCGTCCGTTCGTGCACGCTCTCAGGTCCAGTCGCAATCTGACAGTTCTGCGAAGGACGGAGCTGCCTGGAAAAACGAAGTCGCGAGATTGGCGAAGGAATCTGCGAAACTCGTCGTCGCTACGTCTGCGAGCGTCGCCGTTGCTTTGTCAGCAGGTAATTCCTTCGCCAATCCCGTCACTCAAGCTGAAATGTATACGACAAGAGGAATTTTCAAACTCGAAGAGAGATTTAGACTGGCGGTGGCTGAATGCCGCATTTGTCGCCACAACCAAGCAGCATCCCTGGTTGTCTCGGCAATCCCAAAGTCGCGGCACGTTCGTCCGCCAACCATCAACACATGCGAGACATCATTTTGAGGAATCACAAGTTGTCTTCGTGTGGCATTCACTACGTACGAACCCACTCAAAACTACCATTTCGAGGTGCATTTACCTGCCCCCTTGCGCAGACATGAAGACCCGTCATCGTAACATTGTCTGTGGCATTTTTTTTAACGCCCTAAGGTTGGCTACATCGTTCGCTACATTTACCCCAACCTAAACCTGGGGTCTCTTTATCCCCCATACTAGCCTTCGCGCTGCCGTTAATCCAACCGCACCCCGCCTGTTTCCTCCCAACATTTTGCTAATCGCGATTCCGGCAGGCCTAGGGATTGCCGAGGCGCGGCCGGAGGGGGTGAACAAGCCGGAGCTGCTGCCCAAGGAGTTCACCACCGTCATCGACGTCGCCGACTTCCTCTCCGCCGGCCAGGTAAGCCAGACGGCTAGCCGTCCGGGATGGGCGATGTTGAGTGTTGGTGCGATGCTGTGCGAAACCAGGCCACCACCGTCATCTACGTCGCAGGGTTCCTCTCCGCCGCCCAGGTAAGCCAGACGGCTAGCCGTCCGGGAGTGTGGTGCTCACGTGTTGGAGTGAGAGTGCGAGAGAGGGTGAGATTGTGTAAGAGAGTAGAGAGTGTGTGAGAGAGGGTGAGAGAGTGTGCGGGATAGTGAGAGAGTGTGCGGGATAGTGAGAGGGTGTGCGAGATAGTGAGAGGGTGTGCGAGATAGTGAGAGGGTGTGCGAGATAGTGAGAGGGTGTGAGAGAGGGTGAGAGGGTGAGTGCGTGTGCAAGAGGGTGAGGGTGAGTGCCAGCTGGCTGCATCGCGGGAACAGTCATATGCGCATCGCTCTGACTTACCAGAGTCTATTCAGTCCTGTTCAAAATCCAGCCATCTTGGAAAACCAACTAAACTTGGATTCTGCATTTGGTGTAAGTGCCAAGTCAGCGATGGTCGGTCTTCCTCTTTCTCAAATTCTCCTCTCCTGCTTCTCCCTGTCTGTGCGCGCAGGAGGCACGTTTGGCAAAGGACGTGGAGAGATTGGAGCAGGACACGGGGTATAAACTGAGGATACTGGCGCAAAACTACCCTAACACTCCGGGTAAATCGCAAATAGATAGCAACATTGTACATACTAGAGTTGCTGCTACACGTCGCGTCATTTCAGTAATAATTTCCACCGGCGTCCCCCTCTCTCCTGCTCCTTCCTCTCATCCACCACTCTAACGCGTTCTCTCCTGCTGCTGTGCTGCCGCCCTCCCGTGCTGTGCGCGTGTGGCAGGGTTGGCCATTCGGGATTACTGGGGGGTGGACGACGAAACTGTGGTGTTCGTGGCTGACCCCAACATGGGTGAGTGCATCTCAGCCGTTGATCGATGTGTCAGCGAGCAGGGGCGTGCATGGGCATGAGTGTGGTGGGCGCATGGCAGGGTTGGCAATTTGGGACTACTGGGGGGTGGATGATGAGACTGTGGTGTTCGTTGCTGAACCCAACATGGGTGAATGCATTTCCGGCATGGTTATGCTGCATGGCTAATGGGCATGGTGCATGGTGGATGGGCATGGTGCATGGTGGATGGGCATGGTCTGTGACCCACTCTTTCTCGCCCCAATGTCGCATCTTCTACCACCCTCCCTTTCTCCCGGGCTCCTTCAACTCAGGCAACCTCCTGAACTTCAACGTTGGCGCAACCGTGGACCTGTCGGTTCCTAGAAGCTTCTGGAGCCGGCTAGCAGGCAAGTACGGCAATGTATTCTACTGGCGGGAGAAGGGCGAGGATGCAGCGATCGAGGCTGCTGTGATTGCCATCGATAACTGCCTCCGAGAGGACCCTGGGCCAAGGCAGTGCGCTGAGATCAAGTAGATGCTGATGCGCAGCTGCGATGATGTGACGTGTGCAGCGCGTACATGCAGTCAGTCTATTCTGTGGAGTGGACAGTAGGGTAGAGCTACAGTATATCGAGATGAATTTTATTGGTTTTACCGTAATATATATTGAAAATCCTACTGGAGACTCCTGTGACAGCTGTTGATCTTGTCTCTGGGAGGACCAGAAACAGGACTCATCAGTCTCTATGTGAAGTGCTAAGGGGACTATACAACACATGCTTCTGCTGTTCAGAATCTGTTATGCTGTTGTGAGAGAAGAGAAGGGAAGGGAAGGGTAAGGATGTGCGGTAGAGGCTGCTGTGCTCTGATGGCTATAGACCACTGCATGCAACACGATGCAAAGTGGTTTAAGGAGTTGTGCGGTACCAACTTATTCTCCGCAAGTGGGCGCATGTGCACTCTGATAAGTGCATTCTAGTACGTGCATTTCTCTAAATTCTGATGTGGTTGTACCGTAAGAATGCGTGTAACGATGGAAAGCTAATGCTACAAAAATGGGACATGTATGTATATACATTCTTCCATAATTACGGTACATACGTACCAACACATAGACTCGCAAGCAGAGCGGGTGCTTGCTTACCTCAGCAGCTACCAATACTTGTTGGTACGGTTCTATAACCAGATACCCCAGTCATAAAGGAATCAAACAGTTTCTCCATGCTCCCTCACCACTGTGCTCCCCATCTCTCCATGCCTCCATATTGAACCACTGGGTGCACAAAATAAGGCCGTTGCCAGCTAGAAGAATGGCGTTGCCGTACAGTACTTGGCATCTTCCAATGACCATGCGCAGTGCAGCAAGGCCTATCATCAGCTGCTGTGCTGACTCTCCAGAGACACCACCCTCCCACTCCTTTGCAGCAAATGCATGCTCCTCAATAACAACTGCTCCACCGGGCCAGCCATGGCAAGGCTGACATCAGCAGCAGCCAACACTGACATCAGCAGCACCCAACACTGACATCAGCAGCAGCCAACACTGACATCAGCAGCTGCGGCTGCCATCCCCCAGAGCCTTGATGAAGTCCCTGATCACATCCTTGCCCTTGATGAGGTGGCTCCATCCCAGCCGTTCGTTCTGCCACACGTCAAAGAGTTACGGAGGGTGTAAATAGGGGTTCAGGGTTTAGAGGAGGAAGAAGGAAAGATAGGGTTGCCTACCACCCAAATCACACCCCTGTCTAATTCGGGTGGAAGGCAAAACCACACATCTGAAGCAAATTCATTCCTGAAGAGAGTAGCCACGCACCTAAAGCAAGCAAACTGCCATCTGTCGCAAGCAACCACCTGAAAAAACATTGTGATCCACCTGGAGCAAACGACCGTCTGTTGTAACCACCTGAGAAGCAGCCTGAGGCCCACCTGGAGCGCGCTGCCGTCGGTGGCCTGGCTGATGGGAATCTTGATGGCCGGCGCTCCCAAGGCTGCCTCCAAGAAAGGCACCACCGGCATTGTGCCGCCCTCCCTGATGTACCTGTGGGGGGTGGGGGTGGAGTAAGGGGATAACCAAGGAAAGACTCGAGGCTGATTCCAGAAATGGTACCACCGGCATTGTGCCGCCCTCCCTGATGTACCTGTGGGGGGTGGGGGTGGAGTAAGGGGATAACCAAGGAAAGACTCGAGGCTGATTCCAGAAATGGTACCACCGGCATTGTGCCGCCCTCCCTGATGTACCTGTGGGGGGTGGGGGTGGAGTAAGGGGATAACCAAGGAAAGACTCGAGGCTGATTCCAGAAATGGTACCACCGGCATTGTGCCGCCCTCCCTGATGTACCTGTGGGGGGTGGGGGTGGAGGAAGGGGGTGATCAGCTGATCAAGAAGACAGCACTACCAGGATTGTGCTGAACTACCTGATGTACCTGCGGGGGGTGGTGATAAGGAGGGGATAAGATGGGTAGGGCAGCGCCTTTCAGACCCCTCATACTGGACTCTCATCAATGTTCCTGAGATGGATGAGGTTGGGTGGGTGGGTGAGGGGAATGGGAAAACAGGATGCATTGACAGCTTTTGAGACACGGGAGACGCTGCCTCTTGATTTACTAATTTCTGAATTGAAATCCCTATTGGCTCATACCTCACGTTCTGAGATGCATAGATGTTTGTTTTTTAGCCGCATTCCTCACATCCCCAAATCCTTTCAAGAGGATGTAGCTTTTGCTCTCTCTCAAAAAACATACTGACATGGCTTGTTGTGATGCGACATGGAGCACACACCCGAAGCACACCACCTATTTGGTGACTACAGGTTGACAATTGTGAAAAGGTATGCAGAGGAATACCACTGGAAACAGTGGCAGTGCAGGGGTTTAAGACTCACATGGGCGGCATGTCCCAGTGGCTCTGAATGCACTTCTCTGCGAGCTGGTAGAAGGAGCAGGAGGGGTCTGCCAACCACCTGAAGGAGAGGGGTGTGCAAACAATGGAGGATGCACGGACATGGAATGAAGGGCACTTGAACGTGCACTACGAAAATGGGCATCAGTTAATCTAGAAGGATGCACACGTGCACACATGCATATGTGCACTTTTCTGCAAGCTGATAGAAGGAGCAGGGAAGGTCCGCCAACCACCTGCATTTGTTAGTTTGGTCAGTATGTGCACCTGCAGTGGGCGTATCAGGAAACGTTAAGACGCTCAAAATCTTGCAAACTACGTAGAATCAAAGGATAATTCTTGGTGATAATGTTGAAATTGGACTGATTTAGTTGACCAGCAAAAACGGCATCTAATGCATCCGTACAGAGAAATTGATGCATTCGTCAGCTTAGTCAGGATGCACACCTGCACTAAACATACCAAACAGAGTTGAGGCGCTCAAATCTTGCAAAATACATGGATTGAAGTGTGTGTGTATGTGTGTGTGTGTGTGTGTGTGTATGTATGTTTGTGTGTGTGTGTGTGTGTGTGTGAGTGTACGTACGTGTATGTATGTGTGTATGTGTATGTGTATGTGTGTGTGTCGGGGGAGAGAGTGTGTGTGTATGTGTTTGGGGGGAGGGGTGGAGGGGACGTGTGTGTGTATGTCTCCACCACATGCCGCTCACCAATTGGCCATGTGCGACAATGACAGCCACCATGTATGTAGTACATACGTAAGTTTGCATGTATGTATGAATGTATGTATGTATGTATGTATGTATGTATGTATGTATGTATGTATGTATGTATGTATGTATGTATGTATGTATGTATGTATGTATGTATGTATGTATGTATGTAAGTATGTATGTATGTATGTATGTATGTATGTATGTATGTATGTATGTATGTATGTCTGTGTGTGTGTGTGTGTGTGTGTGTGTGTGTGTGTGTGTGTGTGTGTGTATGTATGTATGTATGTATGCATGCATGCATGTATGTATGTATGTATGTATGTACGTATGTATGTATGTATGTATGTATGCGCACGTGTGGATGCGTGCGTGTATGTGTGTGTGTCCCCACTCACACCACCAGTCACCCATGTCCCAATCACGAATGTGCCTGTGTGTGTGTACACCACCGCTTACCAGTCACCCACATGGCACTCACCACACCAATCACCCATGTGGCACTCACCACACCAATCACCCACGTGACTCGCCAGTCGCCCACGTCCAGTCACCAGTGTGTCTGTGTGCGTGTGCATCATTCACGTGGCACTCACCAGTCGCCCACGTGCTCCACAGTGACAGCCACGGAGTTGCCAGCAGACCGCAGCTTGGCAAACTCATGAGCCACGTGCGCCCGGAAGCGATGCACCAGGCGGTCAGGATTCTGGTTTGGCACGTGCCGGATCACCACCTACAATGCGGAGTTAAAGTGGCGAAGGGGAAATAATAACATTCAACAAGGAATCGGTTCTGGATTGGCATGTGCCGGATAAGCACCTGGGCATGAAGAAGGAAGGACCAGAGGGGACGAACTAAAGATGACAGAAAAGGAAGAAGATGACAGAAAGTTTCGGTTAACCATGTCCTGGATGAGTGCATTACATAACCTTGTGTTTCGTATCTGGTAGAAGGTACTAAGTGCGTTACTTAATCATATATTTAAGTACATAGTGTATGTATGCTGGTTACCAATATGTTTGACATTGAGTATAGGTGTGTTACGTAAATATTACCTTACGGAGTGTGAATGAATTCATTCTATGTTTGGTGCTAAGAGTAGTTGCATCACATACCATGGTGTTTGGCAAATACGAAGAATCAAGGAAGGAAAGACGAAGTATGGCTCGAAAAGAAGAGAGCAGGGGAGCAAGGGTGGAAGTCGACTCTCGAAAAAAAAAAAGAGCAGGGGGGAAAGCACGGACTGCACTTGTCCGCAAATCCATAGAAACTGCCTTTTGGAATAGCGTCGGGATAGAGTTATGGAACAAATCTCTCTGGTCGTTGTGGTCTCTACTTGAGCAAACGAGAAGAGGGCTAACGGAAATTGTATGGTGGCAGGGATTGACTTGTGCATGGCGGAGGCAGCTGAAGCAAGGGAGGAGCGGGAGGGGGGGTTCAGGAACCTACCCTAGCGGAGGCAGCTTTGGGGAGAGAGGACCAGGAGGGCGCGCAGGAGGGCGAGGTGGAGACGCCCAGCACGCTCAGCGACGGGCTGCGCCAGCAGCTCTGCAGCACCTCCCGTGCTGTGCCCCCCGTCACTGCCGCCAGCCCGTTGCGTGCCTGCCGTGGAGGGATGAGGGGGAGAGGAAGGGGGGGGGTAGAGGAGAGGACAGAGGGGCCGAGGCTTTTTGCTGTTTCTTTTTCGTTCCCTGATTTTTTCTTGTTTTTTTTTCCCACATTTTCACCTTTTTTATTCCAGCACTGAGAATTGCGCTGCCCACTCCCAGCTGGCCACACCCACCCAACCACCTTGTACTCCACCACACCACACCACACCACACCACACCACACCCACCTTGTACTCCACCACACCACACCACACCACACCCACCCACCTTGTACTCGTCCACTCGGAAGTGCAGCCCCTGGTACAGCGCCTCCTCCTCCTCATCCAATGGCTTCACATCGTCGTAGAACCCTGCCAACATGCATACAAAGATTTTGAATAAAGAGAACAATAAAGAAAGACATTGAACGCTTAAGAATTTGGTTCTGCATGGATGCAAAACTGTTGGAATCACATTCACCTGACACCAAAAGACTTAGTAAAACATTCCATCTGAACCCAAACTGTGTGTTGTCTTGACCTTAGATGATGATCATGTTGTTGGATTCACCTGGGATGAGGATCATGTTGTTGGATTCACCTGGGATGAGGATCATGTTGTTGGATTCACCTGGGATGAGGATCATGTTGTTGGATTCACCTGGGATGAGGATCACGTTGTTAAATTCACCTGGAATAAGAATCATGTTGTTGGAGTCGACGAGGTTGGAGAGCACAGTGACAAGGTCGTTGAGAGGCTCGTTGAAGCTGCCCCCGTGTGTGCCCGAGTGCAAGTCCTTGAGCGGCCCCGTCACCGCCACCGTCAGACAGATCAGCCCCCGCATGCCGTATATCAGACACGGGTGCTGGTCGCTGGAGGGAGGGAGGGGAGGACGGGAGAATGGAGGGGTGGTGAAGGAGAGAACTTGCATCTAACAACACCGCCACCGTCAGGCAGATCAACCCCCGCATGCCGTATATCAGACACGGGTGCTGGTCGCTGGGGGAAGGAAAGGAAGAAGGGTGGCGGAACGAGGGGGGTTGGGGGGTAAGAAATCAAGCAGGATGAGAGACGCCCGGCCACAGATGACGCCCGGCCACAGATGACGCCCGGCCACAGATGACGCCCGGCCACAGATGACGCCCGGCCACAGATGACGCCCGGCCACAGATGACGCCCGGCCACAGATGACGCCCGGCCACAGATGACGCCCGGCCACAGATGACGCCCGGCCACAGATGACGCCCGGCCACAGATGACGCCCGGCCACAGATGACGCCCGGCCACAGATGACGCCCGGCCACAGATGACGCCCGGCCACAGATGACGCCCGGCCACAGATGACGCCCGGCCACAGATGACGCCCGGCCACAGATGACGCCCGGCCACAGATGACACACGGGTGGCGGTCAAGAGGGGGAGCAAGGCAGGCAGAATGAGAAAGAGAGAAGCCGGCCCTTGAGTGGTCTGCTCTGCTGTGCGTTGTGATGCTACTGCTGTGAGTCTGCGAGGCACACGAAACCGCATGTTCTCTGTTATCGTAGAGGAGGCACGGCTAGTAGTCATGGGAACCTCAGCTGGTCCCTAACTCTGTGCTGCGGCCCCACCTAAAACTTACTGCAGCTTAATAGATCCATGGCTGCACCTAGTCCCCACCTGATCCACGCGCCATCGCTGCTGAGAATGAGCCCCGTGCCCTCAAACCAGTCCAGGTTGGCATACACCGCCTCCTTGAAACCCTGAGCGGGGAAGGCGGAAAAGAGTTCGGACAGACGGGAGAAATCAGGGTTTCAAACCAGTCCAGATAGGTTAGCCCAATTAAAGCCTGGCGGAAAGGGGTAGGGGCGAGAGGGGCCATACACCGCATTGCGTCTTGTCCCACGCCACACTCACCTCGCACCCAATCTCCTGCATGCTACACCGCATTGCACCATTCTCTGGAACACCCCACTCACCTTGCACACGTTATCCTCCATTCCACACCACATTACACAGATCTGCACCACACCCCACTCACCTTGCATCCGTTCTCCTGCATGCCACACCACAATGCACAACTCTGTACCACGCCCCACTCACCTTGCACCCATTCTCCTGCATGCTACACCTGAATCGTACCACTCTGTACCACACCCCACTCACCTTGCACCCGTTCTCCTGCATGCCGTCGATCACAAACACAATGTTGATTGCCAGCTCGCCCCGACACACCAGATCCTGCCAGCATGGTGCAAGGGAAGAGTATCGAGGGGAAAGCAATATTTCTGTGTGTGAGTCTGTGAGATCAGCACACCAGATACTGCCAGCATGGTGACGCAACAAGATGATGGATGGGAAGGAAAGGAGGGAAGGTATTGAACAGAAAAGGGTTGAAGCGGAGGTTGGTACCGGCTGATACTGAGACAACTCAAAACGAGGACAGATATGGAACGAGTCGAGAGGTCTGAGGAAAGGGCGAGGCAAGCAGAGGGGGGTTGTTGGTGAAGACCACTTGGTGACTCGGGCCTCGGCTCGGCACACAAGAGTGCGAAACCATGCGTTGAAACGCTCTTACAGACAAAAGAATCACTTTTGAAAATTCTCAAAGGTGAAGACCACTCGGGCCTCGGCTCGGCACACAAGAGTGCGGAACCATGCGTTGAAACGCTCCTACAGACGCATGTCCCAGTCTTCTATTGCCACATTCATCACTTAACTGTGATCCCACCAGCTTCAGCAGCAGCAGCTGCGCACCTTGATGGCAAAGAGGGAGGCAATCAGCGGGCCCTTGCTGCTGGACACCCCTCGCCCAATGAGAAAGCCGTCCTGAGCCGTCAGATCAAAGGGGTCGCTCATCCAACCGTCCACGTCGCCTGCACCCGTGACATCGTAATGCCCGCATATGCACACGGTGAGACGACTGGGGTCCTGCGGAACCGAAGGGGGGTTTGTGGGAGAAGGAAAAGCGGGAGTGGGAGGAGCAGCCATCCCAAGACATCTTAATGCCCGCATATGCACATCGTGAGACGACTGGGGTCCTGTGGAAAGGGAGGGAAGAGGGCGGTTCGCAGGGAGGAGGAGTGGGAGGGTGAGCGAGCACCAAATACGCTTAAAAAAAAATCTCGATAACTGACTCCAATGAGGAGGAGTGGGAGGGTGGGCCCCATGTGCACACTGTGAGGTGCCCGCTCTTAACGCATCATGGAGGTGGCATTTTCCGATTGTCAGAGGGGTGGTGGTAGGAAGGAGGACTGGGAGAGTAGGCCCCATTTCCACACTGCACGCTGCGAGGTTATTTTTGAGGCGCCTCAAAAAAAAAAAAAAAAAAACGCTTTTAAGGTGCCTCAAAAGCAGGAAGGAGGTCTGGGAGAGTGGGCCCCATTTCCACACTGCACGCTGCGAGGTGCCCACGCCTTAAGGCGTCATAAGGCCCACCTGTTGAGACTTGTGCGGTGGCTGGGGATATGAGGAAATGGCAGGGAGGAATCCAGGACCACAGACTGAAACGACCTCAGCTTACAGCACACCCTGCATGCGCGTGCATGATGCAGCCAACACCTGCAAAACACAGGCAACCGCACAGCACCTACACGATACGGCCAAGCACAGCACGACTGCACTGCCTCATCTCACAACAAACCCACACCTGCACGATGCGGCCGAACACAACAGGGCTGGTCCCATCCACGGCCACCACTAGCTTGGCTTCCGCCCCTATGTCCTCCAGCAACCCCATCACCACGTTTGCCGCCCTCCACATCTGCCATGAGCAAAGGGGTGGAGATGGAACAGGACGGGGAGAATCAGGGAAGTGAGGAGCAGAGGAAGAGGGGAGTGCAGCAGCCCCATCCCCACGTTGGCCGCCCGCCACATCTGCCATGAGAAAAGGGAGGGATAGGGTAGTGAACACAGCAACACAAGCGAAACTCAAGCGGACCACAAGCTCCCAACCAAATAGAATTCAAGCTCTAGCTTAGCAGTGAGCCCCGAGAGAGGCAGTGTGAGACGGGATCGGCGGAATACAATAGAATTATCCACCACATAGGATCCATACAATCACCTCCTGTGCAGCGTGGCGGGAGGCGCATGTGCTGACGGCCCCTCTCGATGCTCAACCTGGATGCCCCTCACCTCCTGTGCAGCGAGGCGGGACGTGCATGTGCTGACGGTCCTCATGCGCACCAGCAGCAGTGGGTGGTATAAGTGCATCAAGCGGGCCCCTCTCACTCACCTCCTGTGCAGCGAGGCGGGACGTGCATGTGCTGACGGTCCTCATGCGCACCAGCTGCAGTGGGTGGTATAAGTGCATCAAGCGGGCCCCTCTCACTCACCTCCTGTGCAGCGAGGCGGGACGTGCATGTGCTGACGGTCCTCATGCGCACCAGCAGCAGTGGGTGGTATAAGTGCATCAAGCGGGCCCCTCTCACTCACCTCCTGTGCAGCGAGGCGGGACGTGCATGTGCTGACGGTCCTCATGCGCACCAGCTGCAGTGGGTGGTATAAGTGCATCAAGCGGGTCCCTCTCACTCACCTCCTGTGCAGCGAGGCGGGACGTGCATGTGCTGACGGTCCTCATGCGCACCAGCAGCAGTGGGTGGTATAAGTGCATCAAGCGGGCCCCTCTCACTCACCTCCTGTGCAGCGAGGCGGGACGTGCATGTGCTGACGGTCCTCATGCGCACCAGCTGCAGTGGGTGGTATAAGTGCATCAAGCGGGCCCCTCTCACTCACCTCCTGTGCAGCGAGGCGGGACGTGCATGTGCTGACGGTCCTCATGCGCACCAGCAGCAGTGGGTGGTATAAGTGCATCAAGCGGGCCCCTCTCACTCACCTCCTGTGCAGCGAGGCGGGACGTGCATGTGCTGACGGTCCTCATGCGCACCAGCAGCAGTGGGTGGTATAAGTGCATCAAGCGGGCCCCTCTCACTCACCTCCTGTGCAGCGAGGCGGGACGTGCATGTGCTGACGGTCCTCATGCGCACCAGCTGCCTCAGTGTGTCCTCCATCAGCCTCTGCTCCGCCGCCACTGACTCGTTCTGCCATGCACGCATGCATGCACAAACACACATGGACACATGCACACATACATACATACATACATACACACATACACACACACACATGCACAGATACACACATACACACATGCACACACATACACATGCACAGATACACACATACACACACACAGATACACACACACACACACACACACACACACACACACACACACACATACACACACACATGCACAGACACATGCACAGACACATGCACAAACACATGCACAGATACACACATACACACATACACGCACACACACACGCATGCACAGATACAAACATGCACAGATACACAGATACACACATACACACATGAGTGCGGGATTTTTTAGGCAACCAGGCCCCATTAGACGCTAATCAGACCAGGTCAGACGCGAGTGCAACAAAATAGAGATCATGGAGTAGGAGCCAACATGTGGACAGGCAAGCGCGGATAGGCATGAATTATGAACATGTGAACCGAACAGGTTGCGTCACAAACCTGTGGTGGGATGTGGACTGAGGTTGGGTCGACCCAACGTGACCCATGCTTGGCCTGGGTCGGGCTGGCCTGGGTTGGGACATGTCAGCTCGTTGCTCATGTCGAAGGAGGTGGTACCTTAAGACTGAATATCGGCACGGAATGGGGGAGGTGGTACCTTAAGACTGAATCTCGGAAAGGAATGGGGGAGGTGGTACCTTGAGACTGAATCTTGGCGTGGAGTGGGGGAGGGGGTACCTGGAGCTTGAAGCTTGGAGTGGAATGCGGGAGGTGGTGCGAGTGGGAGGCGGTGGGAAGCCCCTTGCTGTCCTCCGTGGCGGACTGTGATTGGTCCACGCTGGCAGAGTCCACCTCCCAGTACCGCACTACACCGTCGCTGTGAGAATGGTGAAAGGGGGAGGCCAGCGAGGGGGGAGCATGAAGGGACAGAGAAAGGAAAGTGAAGGGTAGAGAGAAGCGCAACACTGGAACGGTCAGAGGAACATAAAATTCAGAGAAATCTGGGGTCCATGTGAAGCAAAATTCTTCTGCAGCTGAGCTTATGGCTTGTGAGAACGTGAGAGGCCATGTAGTGCGAGCCCTCAGGCAGCTATACTGTTGGCCTTACTGAACCACACGCCACCTACCCCAACCCACCTGGAGCCGGTGACGACCCCAGCCCATCCTTGAAAAGAGAAAGAGGGTTATTGTTCTGACCCACCTGGAGCCGGTGACAACCCCGGTGGGCGTGCATGCAATGGAGAGGAAGATGGAACCCTCCTGAAGGAACACTCGCTCGCACTCATATGTCACCATGCTCCACACCCTGGGGGGGATAGGGGGGTTACAGGGGCCCAGAACATGAGGGTGTGGTGCACCGAGGTGAGGAGGGGGAGGATGGAAGGCACATGCAGGCAAAGCACAGAACCAGGGCAGTCCAGGAGCAGAGGTGAGTACCTGATGGTGTGATCCACGGACGCACTGAAGAGACGGTTGTTAGGGCCTGCAGCATCATGGGCGGCGAGGGAAGGGAAATGGGATGGACAGAGTGACAAATGGGATGGACAGACAGAGCGACAGATGGTATGGAAATAGAGACTTTTTCAACATCGCTAGCAGTGCCGGCGATGTCGTAGATAATCAGGAAATTGTGAGGAGCAAGAGTGTATTATCAAGAAGAACATATTCACAGCATCAACCCTAGGACCATCCCCAACAGCAGCTGCACGAGCTAGTGCAGCAACAACCCGAGCTAGTGCAGAAGCAGCCGCTGCTGCAGCAATAGCAAAACCAGCAAAGCTGTCAGGCATTCATATTGATGATTATTACAAGATTTATGCAGTTGTGAACTTGTCAAAGCAGTTGATACCTGCGGGGGAATTTCAAACGCAGGTGGAAGGGAGTACTTGGTCCGGCATAACACAGGTGCTCCACACGAACGAGCCAACACCTGCTGGAACCATGGCGAGGATGGTTTCAATGGTGCGGCACGTTCTAGATAACGGGAAAATAGAGTTTATACGGAGCAATAGAGAAGCGATGATGAGATGGTGGAATGAGATGAAGAGTGCGGATTTGCAGTCAAGGGGGGACTTGGGTGCTAGCGGCAGATTCCTGCCGAGCGTTTGGGCGCGTGTTCAAACTGCAAGGGCGCTGGAGCTGGCGGGTCTTACGATCTGGCGACGGCCGCAGCAAAAGCAGCAAAAGTAGAAGCTGCAGCTGTGGCGACAGAAGAAGCCGCAGCTGCACCAGAAGCAATGACAGCCGCAGCCGCAAATGGCAGTTGAAGTCTGCCATTGCATCTAGTGCAGCTGCAGCTTCTTCTGCTTCCGCTGCCTTTGGCTGCGGCCTTTGCAGTCGCCAGATCGTTAGAACCCGCCAGCTCCAGCGCCCTTGCAATTTGAACACAAGTCCAAACGTCCGGCATGAATCTGCCGCTAGCACCCAATTCCCCACTTTACTGCAAATTTGCACCGTTCATCTCATTCCACCACCTCATCATCGCTTGTTTATTGCTTCGTACAAACCCTATTCTCCCATTGCTTAGAAAGTGCCGCACCATCAAAACCATCCTCGTTATGGTTCCAGCAGGTGCCGGCTCGCTCGTGTAGAGCACACGTGTTATGTCAGACCAAGTACTCCCCTCCACCTGCGTCTAAAACTCCCCCGCAGGTATCCGCTGTTTGACAAGTTCACAAGCGCATAAATTTTGCCATAATCATCAGTATGAATGTCTGGCAGGTTAGCTCGTTTTGCTGTTGCTGCAATTCTGGCTGCTGCTACACTAGCTCGGGCTGTTGCTGCACTAGCTCATGCAGCTGCTGTTGGGGCTGGTCCTGGGGTTGGTGGTGCTGCTGCTGTTAATGCTGTGAACAAGATGAAAAAGGTGAGGGCAGAGTACCAGTGGCGAGCCCCACGACGTAGTCGGTGAATGAAAATGAGAAGGGGATTTATGGTAATGGGCATGATAAGTGTATTGGTGGTGAGCCCTACGGCATCGTCGGTGAATGAGGGTGAGAAGGAGAGGAAGAATGACTATGGAGGGCAAGCGACAGAACGCTGTACCAGTGGCGAGCCCCACAACATCGTCGGTGTGGCCGGTGAGGGTGGTGATGCAGAGCAGCGATGAGAGGTCCCACACCCTGATCGTGTTGTCCCTTGACCCTGGGGAGGGGGGAAGAAGGGCAGGAGGGGAAATATGGTGGTGCATCAGTAAAGAAAAGAGAGGTCCCACACCCTCATCGTGGTGTCCCGTGAACCTGGAGAGAAAGCGGACAGGGGCACGAGGGCAAGAAGAACAAGGGGATTGGAAAGTGATCTGCATGGGCCAGCAGTAGTGATAAGCATGTGTGAGTCAATGGGATTCAGTGATGGGAGATTAGGAGGAGTTGTGACTGCAAGGAACAGCCGCATCAGCTGAGTGCATGGGCTCTTCACTCGATGGCCGACCAATCACAGGGTGGGCCGGCGTGAGCGAGCAGAGGTGCAAGCAGACAGATTGCTGACATGCGGGTAAGCTACAAGGTTGAATGAGCAGCCCATAGACTGAGCAGCAGCCCAATAGAGCGAGCAGCAGCCCGAAGGCTTTCACACTTCCTTTGAAAAAATACAGGGCACAATCATTGAAAGCACACGCACCGCTGAAGAGGCGCCACAGAGGCTTGGACGCGCGGGGCGGCGGCGCATGGTGAGGCTTGGAAGGGCCGAGAAGGTTGGGAGCAGAGGAGGAGGAGCGGTGGGAAGAGTCAGCTGCTGCATCGGCTGTAGCGAGCGCCATGACTCCCCCTTTGTGGCCGTGCAGCGTTGCCACCCACTCGCCCGTCACCAGCGACCACACCTGGCCGTGTCAATGCAGTGGAAGGGAGATTGAAGTTGAAGAGTAGGATAGATAGATGGTGTTGAGAAGAGGGTAGCTAGAAAGGCGAATCGGAGGATCCTGTGCAGCTCTGCCATCCACTCGCCTATCAGTAACCATCACAAATGAGAGGGAACAGGATGGGACGGGTTGAAGAAGGGACAGATTAAGTGGAGGTTTGGACAGGTGGACCAGAGTGGGCTGGATGAGTAGGTGGAAAGGGTTGGGACAGAGTGCAGTGCCACCTCCATGCTTTGAGGACAGGGTTGCCACAGCACTTTTGAAATCACGTTTGACAATCAGGCCCAGCACCCACCTTGACAAAGGTGTCTCCGGCGCCGCTACAGATGAGGGGGTGCGCTACAGCGAGAGCATAGACGCGGCTGCAGTGGCCATTCTTGTTCGAATCCGTCAGCACCAGCGCTGCCTCCGTGGAGTTGCACACCGTGCGCACCCCTCCCCCCCCTCCTGCCCCACACCCAGCTCCACTGCTTGCCCCTCCCACACCTCCTCCTCCTCCTCCCCCTCCTGCTGCCCCTCCACAGCCACCACCACCACCCACACTGCCTGCTTCACTGCAACCACCACCCACCACTGTTCCTCCCAGCCCCCCTCCACCTCCTCCTTCACATGGTTTAGTCCCTCCTCCTAGAAGCTGTTCCTGCTGCTCCGCTGCCTGTGAGTGCTGCTGTGGCTGCAGGCCATTCACCTGACCATTCACCTGACTGAACACCTGACCATTCGCTTGACCGTTCATAACTACATTCTGGTTATCTGGTAACCTGCCAATCACCTCCTGATGCCACCCTTGCACTCTCACCTCCTCTCTCTGCCCATCACAGTACCCACCTGACCCCACCCCACTCCCACCATTCCCTTCCGTACCCCTCCTCCCTCCAACCTCCTCATCCTCCTCCTCCTCCCCCTCACCTACCACTGTCATATACGAACCTCCAGACCTCCCTGCTGAGCCACGTAACGAGCCTGCTGCCGACCCTCCACCAGACCTCGCCCCTTCCAGGTAGCTGTATAAGTGAGCTTCGGGTGAGAGCGATTGAGCCAGATCACCGAACCCAACCCGAACCACATGCCCACCAGACCCCACTGCTGTAGAACCACCGTCCAGACCCGAGCCTGGGCCTTTGGTTCGGGCTCGAGCCTGAGGTATGGCAACAGGAGCAGCAGCAGTGACGGCAACAGCAGTGCCAGCACTGCGAGGTTGGGTAGCAAGTGCTGAAGCTGGGGGCCAAAGGGTTTCTTCAGAAGAGAGTGATTCCCACATAGACCCACCTGCTGCCCCTGCTGCTGCTGCTGCTGCTGCCACTCTTCCTCCCCCTGACGCTGTTTCAGTGCTGATGCTGCTGTTGCTGTTTCCTCCACTGGCTGATAACTGAGGGTCTTTTATCTGTGACGAACCGCGACCAGTGGAAGAAACTGCACCCTCCCCTCCTGCTGCCACTGCAGCTGCAGCAGCCGCCGCCGCTGCCATGGCAGCTGGCGACCTGTGATTCGCTGCCGCAGGCGAAGGAGAGAATGCACCAGCAGAGGAAGCAGCAGCAGAAGCAGCAGCACCAGCAGCAGCAGTAGAACCAGATGGTTGTGACACAGAAGCTTCCAGCACGGCCGAGGCATCGGGAAAGGAGGAACCTGAGGGGATCACGAAATGCTGCAAGCTGTGCAGATGCTTCAGCTGCTTCTGCCCACCCCCCTGCCCCTCCCCATTCCCCTTAGCAACGGCAGCAGCAGCAGCGGCTGACGCCCTGGTGCAGCGAACAATGGAGGTGCCTGCAGGGCCGGCCACGGACCTTCCAAGCGCAAGAGCGAGCGCGAACACATCCCCATCGGAGTATCGAAGAGTGGAGAGGAGGCGGAAGGTCTTGGTGTCCCAGATCTTGACAACGCGGGTGGAGGAGCTGTAGAGGCGGTCGTGGTGCACAGAGAGGGAGAAGATGGTCTGGCTGTGCCCCGCCAGCGTGCACACGCACCGGAAGTCCCGCAGCTCGTACAGCGTGATCAGCCCGTCCTGCGACCCCGCAAACACGCGGTTACCATCCACTGCCAGCGCCAGCACCGGCTGCCGGTGCTTCGCCATCGCGTGCCGCGGCCTGTCCGTCAGCGGAATGCCCTCTGGCGGGAGAACTGTCGTTGTTGTATGCCTCCTCCTGCTGCCACCACTTCTGGCGCTGCTGCTGCTGTTGACGCCGTTGCTGCTGATGCCACCATTCCAGGACTGGCTGCTGGGATACCCGTAAATCTCCTCGTCCCCATCAAAATCATCTTCATCGTCCTCCTCCTCGTCCCCTGTGGTATCCCTCCCGTCCTGATCGCTGACCAGGTCTCGCAAACCCTCCTTCCAGCTGCCCGCTCCTCCTGCTGCCCCACCTGCTGGTAGCACCGCCGGTGATCCACTGCCTGCCGCAGCTGCAGCCGGAGAAGCAGCAGCAGACGCAGAAGCAGGAAGAGGAGGTGGAGTCGTTGCAGCAGAGAACGCTGCTTGAGATGAGGTGTTGGAAACTGGAGACTGCCCCACCTGCTGCTGCTGAGCCTCAGCAGACACCCGTCGCCTCCTGGCCTGTGGTCGCCTGGGGCGTCTGAGGGAGACCTTGAGGGAGGTGGGCGGGCAGCTGGCGAGGGCCTTGAAGGCGCGCGAGATGTCGCGAGCCACGGAGGGGGGCGGGTTGATGGGCACCAGCAGCACATCCACGAACTCGCCCTTGAACCGCGTCATCACCACCGCCGTGTTGCGCGGCACCTGATGGGGAGAGGGGTTGGGGGTACAGGGATTCAGAAGCAGCACATCCACGAACTCGCCCTTGAACCGCGTCATCACCACCGCTGTGTTGCGCGGGACCTAAAGGGGAGAGGGGTTGGGGGTTCAGGGATTCAGAAGCAGCACATCCACGAACTCGCCCTTGAACCGCGTCATCACCACCGCTGTGTTGCGCGGCACCTGAGGGGCAAGGGGAGAGGAACAGAAAGGAGAGGAGAGGAATGCGTTGGCACTCTCATCCGTGAACGGCTCTACCCTTGCGCCCCATTACTCCTCCTCACCTCGTTCCAGTCGGCGCTCTCATCCGTGAGCGGCTCGCTGGCCACAATCCCACCCACCCTCTCCCCCAGCCCAGCTTCCTCTACCCCCCTTTCCCCTCTACCACTTCTCACTTGGATCCAGTCCGCACTCTATTACTATCCCCATCACCCCCCTTTACCCCGCCATCTCTCCTCACCTGGATCCAGTCCGCGCTCTCATCAGTGAGCGGCTCACTGGCCACAATCCCCAGCATCAATCCACCCACCCTGTCCCCTCTTTCTCCGCCCCCTCCCCCCACCTCTCCCTCACCTGGATCCAGTCAGCGCTCTCATCAGTGAGCGGCTCGCTGGAATTTCTTCCCCCTTCCTCCCACCCCCATCGCTCCTCTTACCTGAATCCAGTCCGCACTCTCATCAGTGAGCGGCTCGCTGGCAACGATCCCCAGCAGCCCGCGGCGGTCGGCGTGGCGCACCAAGTAATCATTGCTGCTGCCGTCCAGCGCCTCAAACCGGCTGCCACTCGCGTAGTACAGCGTCGCACACTCCTCGTGGGGAAGATTGCAGTACCTGCTGGGTGGGAGGGCGGAAGGAGAAGGAGGGGGGAATATGGCATGAAAAGCAGAGGCATGTACGCCCCTTCTCCAAACACTCCATGCGGCGCTACGCACTCCTTCGGTGTCTGCAGCAGAGGAGGGAGAGAGGAGAAGGAAGGACTGACCTCAATCGGTGCGGTGGCAACCAGCGAACTAGTTAATGAACATAATGAATCACCAGCACTGAATTAAACTCACTGGGTGGCCAGCACCAAACTGAACTCACTTGGTGGCAACCACCGTTCGGCCGTCGGAGACAACGAAGTTGAGCAGAGAGAGCTCGTCTGGTGGCAATGACCATCGGAGTAAACTCACTTGGTGGCAACCACCGTTCGGCCGTCGGAGACAACGAAGTTGAGCAGAGAGAGCTCGTCTGGTGGCAATGACCATGGGAGTAAACTCACTTGGTGCCAACCACCGTGCGGCCGTCGGAGACAACGAAGTTGAGCAGAGAGAGCTCGTCTGGTGGCAATGACCATTGGAGTAAACTCACTTGGTGGCAACCACCGTTCGGCCGTCGGAGACAACGAAGTTGAGCAGAGAGAGCTCGTCTGGTGGGAATGACCATCGGAGTAAACTCACTTGGTGGCAACCACCGTTCGGCCGTCGGAAACAACGAAGTTGAGCAGAGAGAGCTCGTCTGGTGGCAATGACCATTGGAGTAAACTCACTTGGTGGCAACCACCGTGCGGCCGTCGGAGACAACGAAGTTGAGCAGAGTGAAGTAAAGTGAGCTAATGGAAGCAATGAAGTAAACTCACTTGGTGGCCACCACCGTGCGGCCGTCGGAAACAACGAAGTTGAGCAGAGAGAGCTCGTCTGCCACCCCCGCCTCGCCACACAGCCGGTTCACCTCGTTGATCGTCGCCTCCATCTTTGCCACCAGCTCCTCTGCATGCACAGCAGCAGACAAGATGGGAGGTCACAACACAATGCACACACATGTGTGTATGAGGCTGCGCTTGGTTCACCTCATTGGTCGTCGCCTCCATCCGAGGCACTAGCTCCTCTGCGTGCACGGCAGGCACAATGGGAGGTCAAGTCACAATGCACACACATGCATGTATGAGGCTGCGCTTCGTTCACCTCGTCCACCGTCGCCTCCATCCGAACCACCAGCTCCTCTGCACCGATGGGAGGTCAAGGAGATGTTATGCATATGAATTGACGCATGAAGCTGAGTTTGGTTCCGCGAAGACGATGAGACGTGTAAACGAGTCGTCATGATTCCAGCCACGAAATTTTAGGAAGTCCTCTGAAACCCGTGGCGCGAGCAGCTGGACAAAGCAAAACAAAGATGAACAAACGAATACCTGGAGCGAGCTGCTGCATGGGGTCTTGGATCTGGTTGAGGAAGAGAGCAAAGCAGATGGCTGAATCAGACTCGAAGGAGGGGCACTGCTGGTACACGTCGTCCCGCAGCGACTCCAGCAGCTTCCTCCGCACCTTGTGGAACCCTCCCACCCCGCCGTTGTGCATCCATATGTATCGCCCGCACACGAACGGCTGGAGGACGTGGAAGGGATAGAGAAGCACTATTTGTGAGCAGAAAAGGTTACCTTTGTAGGCACGTTGTGGAAGCCCCTGATCCCTTCCTTGTGCATCCAGAGGAACCACAGGATGGACATGCAGGCTGAGAGACGGAAGGAGGACATAGGGGGACGTGGGTAATTTTGAGTCCAACACCCAAATAAGCCAGTTTGAAACGCTTTTGCCCTGGCCGTTGTGTCTGCAGACATGCCACAGGGTGAACACGACGGTTGAGAGGGGAGACGGAGGGAGGAAAGAGAAGGCAATCATCGAAAAGGAAGACCTTCTCACAATCATTCGTTAAACGCCTTAAACATTGTAGAAGAAGGGAGACGTTTGTATGTCCTGCCTGCATGGCACAGGAGAGACAGCAACGACTGCGATTCCTGAGGCGCATGAGAACAGGAGACGCATCAACGACTGCGCACAGCATTCATCTTAATTAACTAAGAACGTTCCCCATCACCCAACGCTCCAACGGTTTTTGCTAACGGAGTGCACGACGACGCTTCCTTGCAAGCAGTAAGGGATCGGATTCCCGATGTACGTAACACGGCATCATCGGACCTGGCAGTTGGAGTCATTGACGGGGATTCCCGGATACGCCGCGCGAACGTGAGCGAAGATGAGTGGCGAAATGATCTTATTCGCCAACCGCTTGAGGTTACCATTGTTCCAGGCTGGCTGAATGGAGGAGAAAACGCAAGGCGTCGGATCCTCGATCGCTAAAGGACCTTGGCCTTCGGGTGAGTACCACCCGATCCCAAATCCGTCCCCGTTAAGGTATCCATGACCCGTTAAACGTTCCTTAGCGTCGTAAGACTGGCGCGTTAGCGATCTAGACGGTTTGGTAACCAAGTCGGCTAGTAGGCATGGCGTGCCTAAATACACCATCAGCCGACACATGGCGCTAGCTGAACGGGGCGAGACGCCCCAATACAGCACGTAGCAGCTTAGCACTGCAATACATACGACTCTATGTCCTGATTTCAGGTAAAACTGCTAATCTACTAAGTCTGACGGATATACATTTTAGGACACAGTCACGCTCAACCAAGGGGACCACGAGGAGGCGTGGCATTATGACGCAGTACACATTCGAGAAAACCCAACTGAGCGCGAACCGAGTGCTTGGGTTGTCACGAGAACGAGGCTGTTCTCACCCTCGCGAAGCAGCGTGGAGGCCCAAATCGTAAAGGGTAACCGGGTTTTCTTGACATTCAAAAGTTGAGACTGCACTCAGTTTACTTTTCTGGTGTTTTAGACGATCCAGCTATGCAATGGCGACACCAACAGATGTCGCGACGTTCGTGTATGGAGAACATGTTGTGACGACCAGTTCGAAGCCGGAAAACTGCATGTGAAAGGAGATAGCCGTTGGCCGGACACCACACCAATCTCAAGGGTGTCAGACCAATGTCGGCGACGAACGAATTTCGCCACAACTTTCCTTGTTGGCAAGGTTCGTTGAACAACCGGTTCCAGGCATAGGTAGGCCCGCGCTTCGGTTTATACACCTGTTACACTTCGCAGGCTCAAAATCCAGCATACAAGCATTTGTATTGGACTGGTATTTGACTGGACAACATACCTTGCTCCCCCAGGTAAACTCGTCCCCACAGGACAAGCCCCTAGAACGATCACTGGTGAGGGGCGATAAGGCATTTTCCTATTATTATCCCCACCCTCTTTCAAAACAGAGAAGAACTTGATTGTAACATATTTGACAATACTATCCAGAATACAACACACTACACTGCTGCCAAACACATTGCCGAGCACCTTGGCCTTGTCCCATTCCTCCATCTGTGCCAGCATGCGTTTCACCCTCCCTGCCAGCCCCACACACTCCCCCCTCTGCCCCACACACTCCTCCCTCTGCCCTACACACTCCTCCCTCTGCCCCTCCGCTGCACTTATGAGGTGTCTCAAAAGTCGAAGCTACAGTGCCTCCTTGATACCAAACACCTTGCCCAGCGCCCTGGCCTTATCCATTTCCTCCATCTGCACCAGCATGCGCTTCAGCCTCCTCGCCAGCCCCACACACTCCTCTCTCTGCCCCTCCACTGCACTCCGACTCTCTACAGACCGCCCCAGCGTTTCAATATAAGCCACCAGTTGTGATAGAGGAGACCTGGGACTGCAAGGGTTTCGGGTTGAACATTTTGGGTCAAAAGAGAGGAAGGCACACCCAGAATGATGGACAAGAAATAAGTGAGGGCATTCGGTGAGAGCACATGCACATGGTGGGAAGAGAATGCATCAGCATCACTCACGTGCAAAGTGAGATAACAATGCAGAGAAGCATCCAAGAAAACAACAGGAACTAGCTTGACATGGTGCTTCCACCTGTTCCTTGGGTCTGATTTAGAGAAGCAAGGCGCTGCTGCTGCCAGTGCCCACCCACTTGCAGTCACACGGCACCCAAACGAGTGTCGTGTGGTAGCCTCAATGAATCATTCTATATGGGTACAACTCGAGCAGCCAGCTCACCTGTTCCTGGGTTCCGCCAAAGGAGGCAAGTCGTTACTGCTGCCAGCACCAGTCACACAGCATGCAAACGAATCACTCTATGGTGAGTGGCACAACTCGAGCTGCCAGCTCACCTGTTCCTGGGTTCTGCCGAAGGAGGCAAGGAGCTGCCACTGCCCGTGCCGGCCCACTTGCCATCACACAGCACACAAACGAGTCGCTCTGTACGGGGTACAGCGTCGTGCAGCGCCGGGGCAAGAGCACGCAGATGTGGCAGCAGCTGATTGGCCAGGAGAGACTGCAGCACGAGGCGGTCTAGAAGCGACTGGGACACCACCTCTCGCATCCTGGTGTGACGTGAACGGGAGTGGTGGGGGATAGTGTAAGGTGGCAGAGAAATCAACAGTGTAAGGATGTGGCGGCAGCAGCTAATTGGCCAGGAAGGACTGCAGCACGAGTCTATCTAGGAGTGGCTGAGACACCACGTCTTGCAGCCTGGTGACGTGGCAGGGAGCTTGGGGGGGAGCGGGGGATGGAAGGGAGGAGGGGAGAGTCCAGGCGGGAGGCGGGTGGAAGGGAGGAGGGGAGAGTCCAGGCGGGAGGCGGGTGGAAGGGAGGAGGGGAGAGGGGAGATGGTTAGGGTGTTTCTTGAGGAACAATCCTTCCCACCCTCGAAGCAGCAAAAAATTAATGGAGCAAAGCAGCGAGTGCAGCATGAGGCATTCTAGGAGCGTTCGAGACACCACGTCCAGCAACAGGAGCGTCAACAGGAGCGTCCTAGCGAGTCCACAACGTCCCGCAACCTGGTGACGAGGAGCGGAGCGGTGACAGGTGGTGGGATGGTGATTGTCAGACCCATCAACAGAGTGCCGCATTAACAGGGATGTGATGCATCACCAAACTCCCACCCAACCACACGTGTTACCAATGAGACACAGCACCTCGTATATATATGGAGGTGCCTCGGAACACATTTACCCTCCGAGATGATGCACCAAGGGCCTTACTGCAGCCATCTCCTGATACCTGCAACCCTGAACCTTGCAACGAGGTGACTTTCGAGTCGACTCAGAAGGCTTTGAGTCGACTTAAAAGCAGCCATCTCCTACTTCCTACAACCCTGAACCTTGCACGCACCTAGGGAGTGAACCCACCTGCCCAGGTTGTGAATGAGGCGCAGCGCCTGTCCGAATCTCTGCGCCGCGAATCGAGCAGCAGCGGGGCATGCAGCGAGCACAGGGGGCGGCCACGCTGGTAGCTGCGAGCAACAGCAAGGGAGGGCAGAGGAGGCGAGACGAAAGGCAAGACATGGGTAGGTGATTAGCATGACGTTGACCTTCTTCCCTCCCAGCCCATGCCCCACTGTGATCCTTGTAACCTGCCCATCCACCCCAGTGCACAAGAAACCACTGCCAGGACAGGACCTCCCGCCTCCTCAGCTGGCAAACATACACCCCTCCCTCCCAGTGATTGCCATGCCCCACCCATCCACGCACCCACCACCTCACATGCATCTCCGCAACTGCCCCTTCCATGCATCCCTCTACGGCCTTCACCATCTCCACCACCGCCAGAGCCCCCGCCTCCGCATACACCCAATCCTCCTTCCCAGTGTTTGCCCCCATTCCCCCCCACCCTCACCAGCATCTCCCCAAAAGCATTCTCAATGCGCCCCTCCACGGCTTTCACCATCTCAACCACCGTGGGCGCCCTCGCCTCAACATACACCAGCACCTCCACAGCTGCAATACACCCCTCCCTTTCCCCCCCGTTTGCCACGCCCCACCCACCCGCTACCTCACCTACGGGCAACAGCTCCTCCTCATCTCACCTGCATCTCTGCAACTGCCCCTTCCATCCTCCCCTCCACCGCTTTCACCATCTCCACCACCGCGGGAGCCCCCGCCTCAACATACACCAGCACCTCCTCCACAGCTGTCGCCGCGCGATTGGTCGCGGCGCGGTCCAGCGGGTCCCAGCAGTGCTGCAGCGCGTGGTGCAGGATCGGCAGCCCCACCTTCTCCACGAGCCTCGGCACCAGGTTCGTGTCCGGGTCGTCCGGGGCAGGCTCGGAACCGTCGGTTGGGAGGCCGTAGTCAAAGAGGACAGAGTACCTGGTGGGGGAGGGTTGGGGGATGGAGGGCGGTGGACGATGGTTGGTGGCGGTGGAGGAGGGGTATGACATGTCTTGACTTCTGAACCCATCGGTTGGGAGGCCGTAGTCAAAGAGGAGTGAATACCTGGTGGGGGGGGGGGGGTGGGGGGTGGTTGGGGGGGTAGGGTGGAGAAGCAGAGTAGTAGAGAAGAGATGGAGCGGCAAATTTGGTCAGGATTCAATAATCAATCTGTCGATTGCAAGCCCGTAATAAAAAAAACAGAGGCTTGCCGTCAGACTGACTGACTGACCCGATCACTCCCTCGCTCACTCACTCACTCACTCACTCACTCACTCACTCACTCACTCGCTCACTCACTGACTCACTCACTCGCTCACTCACTGACTCACTCGCTCACTCACTGACTCACTGACTTACTCGCTCACTCACTGACTGACTCACTCACTGACTCACTCGCTCACTCACTCACTGACTCAGTCACTCACTCACTGACTGACTCACCAGTGCATGGAGTCAAAGGCACCACCTCCAAACAGCGGGTCCCATCGGAGCAGCTCCAGGCGCACAAAGGGAGCAAAGAGGGCCGGCGCTGACATTCACCCATCTCACGCATTCACCCCCTCACTCACTCATTCACCCCCTCACTCATTCACACCCCCTCACTCACTAACTCACTCACTCACTCACTCCCTCACCAGTGCATGGAGTCAAAGGCACCACCTCCAAACAGCGGGTCCCATCGCAGCAGCTCCAGGCGCACAAAGGGAGCAGAGAGGGCCGGCGCTGACATTCACCCATCTCACGCATTCACCCCCTCACTCACTCATTCACCCCCTCACTCATTCACACCCCCTCACTCACTAACTCACTCACTCACTCACTCCCTCACCAGTGCATGGAGTCAAAGGCACCACCTCCAAACAGCGGGTCCCATTGCAGCAGCTCCAGGCGCACAAAGGGAGCAAAGAGGGCCGGCGCTGACATGCTGGCATAGGCATCCCTGTACGCGGAGGGGTGCTGCTGCTTCCACCGCTCCATGCGCTCCTTCACGCGCTCTATCCTGCTGTAGTCCTCTGCTGCATCCGCAAACACCGCATCTGCAGCGAGCAACAAGGGGTGGGAGAGTGGAATTCGCTTGCTGATAGGTCAAGGGGTTTAGGGTAGTGGTGCTTCCATGCCCTCCTTCACGCGCTCTATCCTGCTGTACTCCTCCGCTGCATCCGCAAACACCGCATCTGGGGGGAGCAGAAGGGTTCGAGGAGGGATGGAGAGCGTGGAATCGGTTGCTGGCAGACCAAGGGGTTTAGGGTGATGCTGCTGCTTCCACCGCTCCATTCGCTCCTTCACTCGAACCAGCAGGGGAGGAGGGGAGGAGTGGTGGAGGGAGAGGGCAGAGAGATGGTCGGGTGGGATAGGCGAAAGCAGGGGAAAACGAGGAGGAGGAAAACGAACGCGAGAAAGAAGGGAGCAGGGAGAGGGAGGGAGCCAGGGTGCAGTGCCTGCCAGTCAGATGAAAAAAACATCAGGGAGGAGGGAGCGGGAGGAGTGTGGATTATCGAACATCAGCAGGAGGCTGATGCTGCTCGAGAACCATGATGTTGATTTGATTTGATTTGATTTGATGGCGCACAAAACAGGATTGCAGCGACATACATCTCAGAGTAGCTAAAGTAGCTCATAAGAATGACCAGGGGCAATCTAGCAAAGGCATCTGAACGAGTGTGTAGGATGCGAGAAAAAGGAGGGAGGTTGCTCACCAGCAGCAGTGAGTATTTCCTGCACTCTCCAGTTTTGAGACGTCTCAAAAGGGGAAAGGTAGTGGGAGCTCACCAGCAGCAGTGAGTATTTCCTGCCTGCCAGAGCTGTACGCACTCCTCTCATCATCACTCTCATCACTGCTCCACTCCCCCTCCACCCTCCCCACACCACCTCCTCCACCTCCTCCCCCCCCTTCTGCTTCGCCCCGCCCAGCCCTCCTGGCCTCAGCCTTGGCGTGCCGCCGCTCCCGCGCTGCCACTCGCCTCTGGAACTCCAACCTGCACACGGGGTTCAGGGTTGGGGTGTTAAGAGGTTCGTAAGGATGTTCTCCAGGTTGTAAGGTTTACGAGGAGTTTTGGGTCCGTGCAAGGGGCTGGGCAACGAGGGACGGGGACGGCAGCAGGGGGAAAGAGAGGGAGTGGCCGCCGCGAATCATAGTTGTTAGGCTGTTACTGTGTAGGGGACCAAGAACTCATCCGCACAAAAGAAAAAGCAAGATCCATCCATACTCCACTGGCACACTCCACTTATACCCGTCCTTTCCAAACCGTAATTTCACAAACTAGACCCGTACACACCCTCTCCAATCCTGCAGGTTCACGTCTCTTCCAAACTCATCCTCTCCACCCGCCCTCCCACACTCACGTACACCTATCCACGCCTACCCACACGTATACCCTCCCACCCACTCCTACCGTAACCCACCCAGCCTCGCCAATCCTGCAGGTTCACGTCTCTTCCAAACTCATCCAGTTCCACCCGCTCTCCCGCCGCCCCTCCCCCTTCCACCACCGCCTCTGCTGCCGCTGCTGCAGCCGCCGCCGCCGCCGCCGCCGTCACCAACACTCTCACCGCACACACGCTTAGTCACATCTACTCACACCTACTCGTACCTACTCGCATCTAACTATAACTGCCCACAGAGCTCTCACCGCTTCTGCAGGTTTGCATCTCGCCCAAACTCATCCAGCTCCCTCCGCCCTTCCACACCTGCCCACACCTGCCCACACCTGCCCACACCTGCCCACACCTGCCCACACTAATCCACAACTATACGCTTCCACCCACTCCCACCGCAACCCACCCAGCCTCACCGCTTCTGCAGGTTCACGTCTCTTCCAAACTCATCTAACTCCACCCGCCCTCCCGCCGCCCCTCCCCCTTCCACCACCGCCTCTACCGCTGCTGCCGCCGCTGCCGCTGCCGTCACCGTCCCGGCACCTTGTGCCATCGCTGCTGCTGCCGCTGACGTGGCAGCCTCTGCTTGCGCCAGCTCATCCGCCAGGTCAGCGCGTCGACGGTCGAACGCTGCGTTGGCACGCTCCTCCTGCAGCTGCTGCAGCGACTCCTCCAGCTCCTCTATCAGCGCCGCCTTGTCCTGATGAGGGACAGCGGGTGGAAACAGGTAAAAAGGGGGTGGCATTTGGTGTCTGAGTTAGGAGGATGGTGCATTCAAGCAGCTTCTGCAGCGACTCCTCCAGCTCCTCTATCAATGCCGCCTTGTCCTGATGAGAGAGGGGGGGGAGGAAAGATAGTGAAATAGTCAGGGCCATACACAGCTCGAGGTGCGTATATCTAAGGACGTGACATGTGAATCGCCACTCTACGGCAGCTAATGCTGCAGCGACTCCTCCAGCTACTCTTTCACGTTGCCCTGATGTGACAAGGGAGACCGAGACGGCCCTGATGTGACAAGGGAGACGGGGCGTTTGGGAGGAGGAGGGCTTGCGAGGGAGTGCATTCAAGGACTAACCTACTGATCACCTTACTGCTGCCCCGCAGTGCCCTCGTATTTTTGAGACGTCTCGAACAATACTCTCGCTTCACGTGTCCTTACTGCTGCCCCGCAGTGCCCTCGAAACTCACAATCGCACAAGTCATACAGCACGACGACGTGCTACGGCATGCCCTGCACGAAGTTGCTCTCAGAGCTGTCAGGAGCCACAAAGAGCCAACCAACCTCACCTTGAGGAAGTCGCACAGCACGGCCACGTATTGCCGCAGGTCCTGCACGAAGCGGTACTTGCTCTCAGCGCTCCCTCCCAACCCAGGACCCACCAGGAGCCACCAGGAGCCACCAGGAGCCAGCATCATTACCTTGAGGAAGTCACACAGCACGGCCACGTATTGCCGCAGGTCCTGCACGAAGCGGTACTTGCTCTCAGCGCCCTTCATCGCCCTCTCCAACTCCAACACCTCCTCTGCCGCCGCCACCAGCCGATCCTCCGCCTCCCGAGCCTCCCGCTCAGCCTTGGACTGCGAGGCCTGGGGAGGGAGGAAGGGGGTGGCGTGGGGTGGCGTGGAGTGGTGGAGCGGTGTGGAGTGGTGTGGAGTGGGTTGATGGATGGTGGTACAGTGAGGGATGCTGCAGCGAGGTGCAGATGTGGTGGGGGGGAGTGACGCTGGGGAATAAACAGCAGGTAGATAACAAGCTGTTCAAATCACAATCGCTGAAAACCCAATTGTAAAGAAAATCGGTTAGAGCATTCACTTACTCACGATCGTTAAGAGCACTTGAACGCACCTGCAGTCTCGCAAGACCCTCTCTCAGAAATTTCATCACCTCATCCCCTTTTGAGGCGCCTCAAGACTTTTGAGGTGACTTTTGAGGCGCCTCAAAACTCACTGTCGTTCAGAGCCCTTTCCTTATGAGCACTTGAACGCACCTGCAGTCTCGCAAGGCCCTCCCGCAAGAACTTCATCACTTCATCCCCTTCCGCCACTATCGATCCTGCCCCACCCATCCCCCCTGCGCCCCCCGCTGCCCCCCCATACCCCCACGCGCCTGCCCTCATCCCCCCTGAAAACACCTCCCTTGCACTCCGCCCTCCCTCCTCTCCCCCTCCCCCCATCCCCCCCACACCGCCCCCATTTCCCCCCCCTGTTTTCGCCCCCACTCCCCCGTCCTTCCCCCCTGTAGCTCCTGGCATCGACACCATTCGACCCACTCCCTTACGCAACTGCTCCTCCTCCCACCTCCTCTCCTCCTCATCCTCCTCCGCCTCTTTCTCCTTCTCTTCCTCCTCCAATTCCTCCTCCTCCAGCATCCCCCGCGCTCTCCGATCCCCGTTCACCTCTCCACTTCCTCCCCTCCCCTTCCCTCCCCTCCCTCGCCCACTCCCCCTATCCCCCCCCAACACCCCCCCGAGCGCCACTCTTCCCCCCAAAGCCTCCTCCTCATCTTCACTCGACTGCTCCCCCTTCCCTTTCTCCCCCTCCTCCTCCCCCATCTCGTCTTCCACCCCCCTCATACTCCCTAGCCCGGCCATATCAGATCTGTCAGACCCTGGAAGGGGGATAAAATCTGGTGCTGCTTTGGCCTGTCTTAGTCTCTCTCTCTTTGCCTTTGCCGCTGCTATAGCAGCAGCGTCTGGGATGAAAGTACCGCCAATATAACTACCCCCTGCCTTTCTTAGGCTTGTTCCTAGGCCTCCTCCCAAACCTCCCAATCCTCCCATTCCTGCTGCAGCACCTGCCGAACCTGATGCACCGGAACCGCTAGCTCCGGCCTCTGCTTCGGCGGCGGCTGAGCCTGCGGGTTTGAGCGATCCCCGAAGCACGATGAGAGGTTCGGAGAGGGAGGGCGGGGTGACAGTGGAGGAGGGGGCCGCGGAGGCGGAGAGGGCTGCGCCTGCTGCAGCGATAGAGGCGGAAGGGGGAGGGGGGGTGCGCCTGGAGGCGGACGAAGGCGCTGCAATGCGCATGGTGTTGCGCTGTTGGGAGGGGTGGCGGGGGTGGCGGGGGTGGTGGGGGGAAGGGGGGGAAGGTGGAGGGGGGAAGAGAAGGGGAAGGTGGGAGGGAGCACCCAGAACACAGTGGGGTAGTGAGAGGAGTGGGATGGAGATGGAGGAAGGACACGGTGGAGGGGCAAGGAGATGCAATGTGCGATTGTCCCAATAAGACGACAGAAATGAACTGAGGGTCTGCGGCGGCTCATGCATGCAGGCAGGCAGCAACTCATGCAGAAATCCACTGGACCGGGGGGGAGGAGGGGGGGAGGAGAGGGGGAGGGGGAGGCGAGGAGTGTGCATACCGCCAATTCCGCGAGTTTCTCCTTGGTGTATTCCCCCGATTGCGGCATCACGTTAAGCGCGCCGCCAGCGGACGGTCCCCCCACCACCACCCCGCCGCCGCCCTTCCCGCCCTCGCGCTTCTCCTCGCGCCCTTTCCGCTCCTCCCGGCCCTTCTTATCCCTGTTCACTCTATGCCCCTCCCCATGCCCCGTACCGAACCCCGCCGACCTAGATTTTGACTTGGATTCTTTCGAGCTAGGTTTTGGTCTCCCTCCCACGGCGATCGCCATGCCAAACGGCCCGCCATCGTCGCCCTCTCCCTCCTCGTCGGCTGCGAAGCTAAGCAGGCTCGACGGTGTCGCCTTAGTCGTCGCCGGAGCCGCCTTAGGTTTGTTACTGGTCGTCTTTAAGGCAACGGGCTTCGCGGCGGCGGTCCCGCCGTTTCGCGCATCGCCTTCGCCCCCACCGTCGCCATCGTCGTCGTCGTCCTGCCTGCGACGGAAATTCTTCTTCTTAAACATCGCAGAGAAATGGATCGGAACTTGCTAACTTGTCGTCAGACGAAGCCGAAAGCTTGTAACGCAAATCGCATATATTAGTGTCAGAGCACTCATTGCCATTATACGAGTAATCGACGTGATGTTGATCTACGATTCGCTCGGAGCGCTTTCAGTCGACATAAAATTCGATTTGCTGGCTGCCACGTGTCGCTGTAATTGCGGGACAAAGGTTCCAAATTCGATCGCTGCTGCCAGAGTGAGGAACGGTATTATCTATGTATGGCAAACTAACAGCGTGGCTGGACGAAACGAACGCGGGCTGTCATATCAACGCGACTGGACTTATAATCTGCGACTTAGTTCGACCCGATTCGCAAAATCGCGGCGGACGAAGCGGCGAAGATGTAGAACCCAATGAATATCCGCGTTTAAAACATGAACCAATGAAGATCGGTTGGAAAGCATAGACCTCTTTCCCAGTCTACTGTATTCTATGTCGGAGTTGAGTGCCACTTTATCCTACCAGCAATATTTTTTCTAAGGTTGCTATCCAACCCTCTAAGAATATTGCTGTGTAGTAAAAAAGGTCAGATGTTCAATTTTTCTTCTTCTCTTTTCAAATTGTGCTTAACTCTTGCTTATATGATTGCATAACTTCATTCCCAAAATTGTGCAAAATGTTCTTTACATGTTAATGTACACGTGTCGACTGACGTCTAAATTCGTCGAATCTTGGTGGCGGGCTGCCCGTGCGCCAGACCGCTCCTCTCCCTCGTGCTGCGCGGCTGCACATCGCAAGTGGTTTTGAAGCACCAAGTAGGTTGGAGGGTGGGTGTTTAAGTAGGTTCTAACCGTGGGGGGTGTAGGCAATTAGGATAAACATGAAGGCATTGGGATAAATGTGATGGCATGGGAATGGAGGATAAGGATAAACATTATGGCATGGTGAAGGCGGAAAGGATGATAACCCTGACAGCATGGGGATGGAGGAAAGGAGGATGAATGTGATGGCATCATGTTGATGCATCACATCCACAATCCATAGCATACATGACATATAGAACATGCACGGTCCACATGAACACATGCAGAGGGTTCAACGGGTCCCATACTTGTGAGGGAGGGTGAAAATGGTGCTGCTGCTGCATCTGTCCCTGGGAAACCTGCTGTTGGCCGTGCTGCTGCTGGCTGTGATGCGGCTGATTGTGCTGTTGCTGCTGCCCTTGATACCCCTGCTGCCCCTGCTGACTCCCCCCTGCCCCCTGCCCCCCACCCCTGCTCCCCCCACCACTGCCCACGGCACCTGCGCTCCCCTCCACTCCTCCTGACCCTGACCGGTGCAGCAGAGTAACATTCGCCATGCGCTGCCCAGGGGCTGATGGCTGTTGGGGGGAGGGATGGGGGATTGGAGGTGGGAATGGGGTCGGGGAAATGGACAACAAATGAGGACTTGGTTGGTGCTGACCGGTGCAGCAGAGTGACGTTGGCCATGCGCTGCCCTGGCGCTGATGGCTGTTGGGGGGAGGGTTGGGGGATGGGTTGTGGGGGGACGCGTGGGGGATGGGGTGTAGGGGAAGGGGTGGGGATGGGGGGGGTGGGTAATGTGGGGTGGGGAACGGACAACACACACACTAATGTGGCCATGCGCTGCCCTGGCGCTGATGGCTGTTTGGGGGGATGGGTGGGGGATGGGAGGTGGGGAATGGGGCATAGATGGCACAGGGCATGGATGGTATGGGGCATGGATGGTATGGGGCATGGATGGTATGGGGCATGATGGTATGGGGCATGATGGTATGCGGAATGGCGACACAGTGGCATGAAAACGCAATCTCCATACTTCCAGGCTTCAACGAGCCCATCCCTTCATGCATAACCACACTCGCACCCATGCACACCCATGCACACCCATGCACACCCATGCACACCCATGCACACCCATGCACACCCATGCACACCCATGCACACCCATGCACACCCACCCACCTGCTGATGGTGCCGATGGTGTTGCTGCTGCTGCTGTTGCTGCTGATGCTGCTGCTGCTGCTGATGCTGATGGTGCTGCTGCTGCTGATGCTGATGCTGGTGCTGGTGCTGCTGATGATGCTGCTGGTGCGGTGGAGGCATGGCAGAGAGGGCAGCGACATGGGAGGAGGCAGCAGCGGAGGAGAGGGTGGAGATGCCTTCGAAGTCAGTTGAGAGGTCTACTGGCCGCTTGGGATACACCACTGGGCGCTCCATGGGGTGGCCTGAGAAGAACGAGCTGTTGGCAGGGGTTGAGAGGGGTTGAGAGGGAAGTGGCATGGGCTTGGGATACACCACTGGGCGCTCCATGGGGTGGCCTGAGAAGAAAGAGCTGTTGGCAGGGGTTGAGAGGGGTTGAGAGGGAAGTGGCATGGGCTTGGGGTACACCACTGGGCGCTCCATGGGGTGGCCTGAGAAGAAAGAGCTGAGAGCGAGGGGGACAGAGGGGGGACGGATAAGGGGGGACAGGGTCAGGGTCACAGGGAACTGGCATGCGCTTTGGGTACACCACTGGGCGCTCCATGGGGTTGCCTGAGAAGAACGAGCTGAGAGCGAGGGGACAGAGGGGGGAAGGATAAGGGGGGACAGGGTCAGGGTCACAGGGAACTGGCATGCGCTTTGGGTACACCACTGGGCGCTCCATGGGGTTGCCTGAGAAGAACGAGCTGAGGGAGGGGAGAGGAGGAAAGGGTGAGAGAGGGAGAGGGGGAAGGGGAAGGGGTGAGGTGAGTGGGAGAAGGGAAGGCACTTGGGGATACCACTGGGCGCTCCATGGGGTGGCCTGAGAAGAACGAGCTGGGGGGGAATTGGGGGAGGGGGGAGGTGGAGAGGGGGTGGAGAGGAGAACAGGGAGGGTGGGAATGCAGGGGCTTGGACGCTTGGGGTACACCACTGGGCGCTCCATGGGGTGGTGGCCTGAGAAGAACGAGCTGGGGGGAGGGAAGAGGAGGAAAGGGGGCAGAGGAGAATGGGGAAGGCGTGAAGGGTGAGGGAAGAGGGTGAGGGAAGAGGGTGAGGGGAAAAGAGAACAAGGGACATCCAAGCAGGAGTGATGTGAAGGAACGCAAGGAATGGTGTGGTGGAGAAAAGGGGCGTGTGGAGGAGAGGGGCGTGGGGAGGAGAGGGGCGTGGGGAGGAGAGGGGCGTGTGGAGGAGAGGGGCGTGTGGAGGAGAGGGGCGTGTGGAGGAGAGGGGCGTGTGGAGGAGAGGGGCGTGTGGAGGAGAGGGGCGTGGGGAGGAGAGGGGCGTGTGGAGGAGAGGGGCGTGGGGAGGAGAGGGGCGTGGGGAGGAGAGGGGCGTGGGGAGGAGAGGGGCGTGTGGAGGAGAGTGGCGTGTGGAGGAGAGGGGCGTGTGGAGGAGAGGGGCGTGGGGAGGAGAGGGGCGTGGGGAGGAGAGGGGCGTGTGGAGGAGAGGGGCGTGGGGAGGAGAGGGGCGTGTGGAGGAGAGTGGCGTGTGGAGGAGAGGGGCGTGGGGAGGAGAGGGGCGTGTGGAGGAGAGGGGCGTGTGGAGGAGAGGGGCGTGTGGAGGAGAGGGGCGTGGGGAGGAGAGGGGCGTGGGGAGGAGAGGGGCGTGTGGAGGAGAGTGGCGTGTGGAGGAGAGGGGCGTGTGGAGGAGAGGGGCGTGGGGAGGAGAGGGGCGTGTGGAGGAGAGGGGCGTGTGGAGGAGAGGGGCGTGGGGAGGAGAGGGGCGTGTGGAGGAGAGGGGCGTGGGGAGGAGAGGGGCGTGTGGAGGAGAGGGGCGTGTGGAGGAGAGGGGCGTGGGGAGGAGAGGGGCGTGGGGAGGAGAGGGGCGTGGGGAGGAGAGTGGCGTGTGGAGGAGAGGGGCGTGTGGAGGAGAGGGGCGTGGGGAGGAGAGGGGCGTGTGGAGGAGAGGGGCGTGTAGAGGAGAGGGGCGTGGGGAGGAGAGGGGCATGTGGAGGAGAGGGGCGTGGGGACGAGAGGGGCGTGTGGAGGAGAGGGGCGTGGGGAGGAGAGGGGCGTGGGGAGGAGAGGGGCGTGTGGAGGAGAGTGGCGTGTGGAGGAGAGGGGCGTGTGGAGGAGAGGGGCGTGGGGAGGAGAGGGGCGTGTGGAGGAGAGTACTGACTTGCGGCCGGGAAGCGGGTCGATGCGGAAGTACCTGCAAGAGGGGTGAAGCAAGCGAGGCAAATGAAACCAATGAGGCGATTAAAACAAGAGAGACAGTGAGACAAGTGCGGCAAGTGAGGGTGGTCGAGTGAGGCATGAGGAAGGAGGAGAGAAGAGAGGAGGCGGGGGGAATAATAGAGGTACGCAGAAAGATATGAGCGTGGTGGAAATGAGGGAGGTCAGAAGAGGAAAAGGACAAAAGAATGACTGACGGAGCAAACTCAATTGAGCGTGAGGGTGCCGTGGGTGCGTTTGGTCTTTCCAGCTTGAGGCTCTCTGTAGCTGGGCCAAATAAACCAAATAAACCAAATAAAGGGCACTCACTCGTGCTCGAGTGCCTGCCCTGCTGTTATCCGCTTCTTGGGGTCATAGCTGCAAGAACGCAGGCAGGGCGTGGCAGGGGCAAGCGAGCGCAAAGAGATGCAACGTCTGTACTGGGATGGGAACACACGAGGACTTGTCAACAATGGACAGGTGGCCTGCAAAGTACAGGTCTGTGAAAACATAGAGATGCAACGTCTGTACTGGGAGCAAATGAGGAGACAGGATGTTGACACACGATTTTCCAGGGAAAACATGCATCGAGATGCAACGAGATGCAGTGAGATGCGAAGTTAAAGGGACGGAACGAAGTTGCCCAACAAGGGCGTACGCTCATAGTCATGTGAGCATGGTTTGCTTTTGAGTCGACTCAAAAGCACGTTCATAGCTATGTCGGTATGGTTTCTTCGGAAGAAGTTGAGGAGCGACGTGTTATTAGGAGCGTTTGTCGTGTCACATGCCGGGGCAACATGATTAAGACACAGTGCTGCAACACCATCCACAGTGCTGCAACACCATCCACAGTACTGCAACACCATCCACAGTACTGCAACACCATCCACAGTACTGCAACACCATCCACAGTGCTGCAACACCATCCACAGTGCTGCAACACCATCCACAGTGCTGCAACACCATCCACAGTGCTGCAACACCATCCACAGCACTGCAACACCATCCACAGTGCTGCAACACCATCCACAGTGCTGCAACACCATCCACTGGCATGTGCTTTTTGTGAGCGCGGCTTATGAACCCGGAGAACTGTGCGACTTTTGAGACGTCTCAAAAAAAGTTTTTTGTGAGCGCGGCTTATGAACCCGGAGAACTGTGCGGAGCCGATTCAACAGTCATCATGCTATGGTACTTGTGAGCGTGGGTTTTGAGCCGTTGGAGGCGCATGAAAAGAGAGGAGATGGGGCACGCAACGCACTCGAGCATGCGCAGCAGCAGGTTGACGGCATGCGAGTTGGGCGACCAGCTGTGCAGAATGCGGTAGAGCTCTGGCTGTGGGCTGTGGGGCGGGGTGAGGGGTAGGGGGAGGGGCACGTGCGAGCATAAACACGTGTGAGGACATGAGGGCATGAGGGCATGCGCAGCAGCAGTTGACGGCATGCGAGTTGGGCGACCAGCTGTGCAGAATGCGGTAGAGCACTGGCTGGGGGCTGTGGGGAGGGCGAGGGGCACATGAGAACATGAGAGCACGAGAGCATGGGAGCATGGGAGCATGGGAGCATGGGAGCATGGGAGCATGGGAGCATGGGAGCATGGGAGCATGGGAGCATGGGAGCATGGGAGCATGGGAGCATGGGAGCATGGGAGCATGGGAGCATGGGAGCATGGGAGCATGGGAGCATGGGAGCATGGGAGCATGGGAGCATGGGAGCATGGGAGCATGGGAGCATGGGAGCATGGGAGCATGGGAGCATGGGAGCATGGGAGCATGGGAGCATGGGAGCATGGGAGCATGGGAGCATGGGAGCATGGGAGCATGGGAGCATGGGAGCATGGGAGCATGGGAGCATGGGAGCATGGGAGCATGGGAGCATGGGAGCATGGGAGCATGGGAGCATGGGAGCATGGGAGCATGGGAGCATGGGAGCATGGGAGCATGGGAGCATGGGAGCATGGGAGCATGGGAGCATGGGAGCATGGGAGCATGGGAGCATGGGAGCATGGGAGCATGGGAGCATGGGAGCATGGGAGCATGGGAGCATGGGAGCATGGGAGCATGGGAGCATGGGAGCATGGGAGCATGGGAGCATGGGAGCATGGGAGCATGGGAGCATGGGAGCATGGGAGCATGGGAGCAGGGGAGCATGGGAGCATGGGAGCATGTTGGAGACAGCTGTGCAGAATGCGGCAAAGCTCCGGATAGGGGCTGTGAGATGGGAGGCCTGGCGAGAGAGGGAAGGGTGCAGGGAGAGGAGGAGCAGGGCCGTGGTGAGATCAAAGGAGGAGACGAGCATAAGGGCAAAAGGATAGGGGCGTACGGGCAGAAGAAGAGCATAACGGCATAAAGGCATACGAGCAGAGGCACACGGATGAGAGCATGAGAGAGCGGGTCCGCAGTAGGTCATTCACTGTGAATCTGCACTAAGTCACCCCCGACTCACTACTTCTTGTCTTGAATAAGCTGTCGGTTGGCCTGCCAGTGCGGTAGGTACTGCAGCATGGGCCACTTGTCCACTGTGGGGTGGCCTGATGGGTGTGGGAAGGGGTTGAGAGGGGTGAGCGACAGTTGAGAAGGAAAAATTTGAGGCTTGGGGTGGGTACTGCAGCATGGGTCACTTGTCTACTGTGGTTGGGATGATCTGATGCGGACCAAGGGGTTCAGAGGATTGAGATGCGGTGACAAGGAGTGAGCACCTCGCTTGGTACTGCAGCAGCATTGGGCCGGTTGTTGTGCACCTGTGGTCTGTTGGGTGTGGTACGGTTTGAATTGGTTGTATTTAAATTATGGTGACATTCTTTGATGATTTGTAATTGGTCATCAAACCACACAGCACACAGCAGGAAAATCGACACACCCAGCAGCACCCACCTAGTACTACCTATCATCACCTTGCACCACCTACCACCACCTCGCACCCACCCACCTAGCACTCTGAAGATCTTATCCAGCTGGTCTTTCTGCCATGCACGGGAGGGTGGGGTGTGCGAGAGGTGAGGGGGTATGAGGTGAGGAGATAAGGGTGAAGGAAAAGGGATGAGGGGAAGAGGGTGAAGGGTGAGGGGAAAGGGGTGAGGGGAAAGGGATGAGGGGAAAGGGTTGAGGGGAAAGAGTCGAGGCGAAAGGAGTGCGAGGTGTGACGGAGACAAGTATCAACCATGTTGTCTCAATGGCTAATGAAACAACACCAGCAGGAAGAGGAGCAGGAGCAGGAGCAGGGGCAGCGCACCTGGAAGGCTTTGGCAGAGGTCTTATCCTCGAGGCCTTAAAACAAGGGCTTGAGCGTGAGGAGCTCCACTTGTGCCATTTTTGAGAGTTCTCAGAAGTGACACAGGAGGGGGAGCAGGAGGCGGGGTGGGGGAGCAGGAGGCGGGGGGGGAGAGCAGGAGGCGGGGGGGGGGGAGCAGGAGGCGGGGGGGGGAGCAGAGGCAGCGCACCTGGAAGGCATTGGCGGAGGTCTTGTCTTCAAGTCCTTGGAACAAGGGCTTGAGCGTGAGGAGCTCTGCGAATATGCACCCCACCGCCCACATGTCTGGCGGTGCAGGGTGTTGCAATGGAAGAAAGCACAAGGTCGGGGGTAACGGGCAATGCAGCAGAGGGACAGAAGGAAGAAGAAACAGGCAGGGGAGGCTGAAGAAGCGTGACAGGCATGTACTCATATGAGATGAAGTAGACAACTTGTGAGACATCTGGAAAGTCTTTTGACCTTTGTACCCACCACAACAAGCTTTTGTAGGAGGATAGTATGCCAAATAGGGGAAGGACAGAAGAGTCGAACATACCAACAGCGCATGTATAATGCCGCGAGCCCAGCAGCAGCTCCGGGGATCGATACCAGATGGTTACCACGACCTGGGCGAGCCAAGGGGAATGAGGAGAGAATGATGGGGGGAATGAGTTTTTGAGATGCCAGAAGGTTACCACCACCTGCACAACAAGGGCAGTGATTGGATTGGATTGGATTGGATTGGATTGGAATGGATTGGATTGGATTGGATTGGATTGGATTGGATTGGATTGGATTGGATTGGATTGGATTGGATTGGATTGGATTGGATTGGATTGGATTGGTTTGGATTGGATTGGATTGGATTGGATTGGATTGGATTGGATTGGATTGGATTGGATTGGATTGGAATTACAGGCCGGAACTGACCCCGTTGTCGGAGAGCGGTCGAAGGGGCGACTGGAAGATGCGGGCGAGGCCAAAGTCGCCGATCTTGATCACCCCTTGCTCCTCGCCCTCGCCCATCACCTGGAGAGTGGGAGTGCATGTGGTTAAATGTGGTTGAAAATGGTTGATTGTGATTAACCCTATGTATGGGATTTTGAATATCCCTTGCTCCTCACCCTCGCCCATCACCTGGAGGGTATGAGCGGGTGAGTGTGAGTGAGCGCATGTGGTTGTTGTATGTGTTATTGAGTGAGTGTGCATGCGCGTGTGTGTGTGGTGCGGCCACCACCTGGAGGGGCTGCGGGTGTGTGCGTGTGACTATATTTTGCTAGTGACAGTGTGTGCGTGCACAAGCGTGCGCGTGTGTGTATTTGTTCATGCTTGCAGCACGAGCGAGCAGGTAAGCTAAGCAACGACAAATCGAACAGCAAAAGATGTGGGCAAATGGGACAGAACCCTCCATGCTGAAAGAAAAGAAAAGAAAGTAGCAATGGTGACAAGAAATACCTCAAATTCTATCCTAATGTTGGTTCTTCACAAGACTCACAAGCTGGCCCGCTTACCAAAATGTTGGAGGGCTTCAGATCCCGATGAATAATCCAATTGCTGCGTTACACAGTAGATAGAGAGGAAGAGTGTATCCAGCAAGCGATGAGGAGAGGACGGGACAATGCGTATCAGAGAAGCGATGAGCAGAGGGGAACTCAGCAGCAGCAGCAGAAGCGCAGCAGCACAATGGCAGGCGTCATGACACACACCTGTGCAGGTAGTGCAGCCCATTCAGGAGCTGCCAGAGCAGCGACTTGACCGTGTACTCGGAAAGAGGGCACCTCAGATGCTCAGTGAGTGCTTGCCATGTGCTTGCCTTGCCCACCCTCCTACCAACCTGTGCAGGTATTGCAGGCCATTCAGGAGCTGCCAGAGCAGCGACTTGACCGTGTACTCGGAGAGAGGGCGCTTCAGATGCTCGCGGTGAAAGCGGATGATCTCCTGAGGTGCGCGCATGGCATGACGTGTGATGGGGACGACATGGGCGGATTAGCATGGGGAGATGGCGTGTGCGGGGATTGTGTATGTGTGCACATGCACATGCACGAACGAATACCTCCAGCATGCCTAGTCTCGTAGATCACATGGTGGTGTGAGCTAGAGGTCGTGCTCACATAGAGGGCGTGCTCACATAGAGGTCGTGCTCACATAGAGGTCGTGCTCGCATAGAGGTCGTGCTCGCATAGAGGCCGTGCTCGCATAGAGATCAGCTGACAAAGAGATCGTGCTCGGCGTAGTCGAAGGCGAGAAAGAGGTGCTGTCATGAGGCCAGACATACCGTCTCACCTCCACATCAAGCATGGAACCAAGTATGCACGCTTAGGTCACAGCTCACATAGAGGTCATGCTCGGCATAGTCGAAGGCGAGAAAGAGCGACATGTCATTGTGGTTGATGTGCACGTTGAGCAGCTGCACTATGTTCTCGTGCTCACACTCCTGTAGTAGCTGGTGTGGGGAGGGGGGGATGCGAGAGCACACGAGGACAAGAGAGAGCAAAGGGGTGGCATGTGTGCGGGTTGATGTGCACGTTGAGTAGCTGCACTATGCTCTCATGCTCGCACTCCTGCAGTAGCTGGTGGAAAGGGGGACAGGGGAGAGGAGAGAGGTAGGCAGCGGGGGAACAGAGGGCAAGAGTGAGGAATGAGTGACAACTGACGTGCACGTGCGTTGAGTGGGTGCACTCTGTTCTCGTGCTCGCACGCCTGCAGTAGCTGGTGGGCGGACGGGACGCGCAGGGGAAGACGGCGAACAGGTGTGGGTGGCATGGCATGTGTGTGTGATGGCTGATGTGCGCACGTTGCGTTCAGCAGCAGTTGCACCATGTTCTCATGTTTTGAGTCGACTCAAAACACGTTGCCTTCAGCAGCAGTTGCAGTATGCTCTCAACTTACCCTCCCCCTTCCCTTCCCGGTCTCCCTCCCCATCCCCCATCCCTCCACCCCCACCCTTCCCCCCTCCCCTTTCCTCTCACCATGATCTCGCGAATGGCAGTGGGTGAGACACCATCGCCCTCCTTGGTCTGTTTGAACTTCTTCAAAGCAGACCGCCCCGACCCCTTGCCCTTGCGCCGGTCCTTAGCCAGATACACCAGCCCGTACGTCCCCTCGCCTATCTTCCCCACTATCTCATAATCATCCAGCCAATCCGGCCGCTCGGGCAGAATAGCATGCTCCACGTGGCCTTCGTGCATTGGCAGCTGCTCCGAAACCTGCCCGGGAACCTGCCCGGAAGTCTGCCCGCTTCCCTGCCCGTGGGCTTGGGCTTGCCCCCCCGGCTCCTGCCTGTCTGGTTGAGGGTGCCCTTTCGTCTGCCCGGACGCCTGCCCGTGAGTGGCATCCTGCCCGGAGGAATTATGCTGCTGCTGCTGGTGCTGCTGCTGGTGCTGCTGCTGGTGCTGCTGCTGGTGCTGTTCTGGGTGCGGCTGTGATGATTCTTGTTGTAACCTATGCGCTTGCCCCCCTTGCTGCCCCCTATACTGCCCCCCCCCTTGCTGTCCACCCTGCTGCCCCCCCTGCTTTTCCGCCTGCGTTTCCCCCTGCTGCGCCACCTGCGCTTGCACCCGCGTTTGCTGCTTCCGCGGAAGAGGCGGAAGCGGGGCGTGCGCTGGCGGGTTTGCTCCCCCGGTCAGTTGCGCCTTCCCATGCCCCCCCTGACCCTGCGGCGGCTTCCCCGGATCCCCCTGGCCATGCTCCGCCTTCCCCGCATCCCCTCCAGTTTGCCGCGCGGCCTGCGCTAGCGACGTGCGCCGTTGCGCCGCGGTCTGGCGCAACTGCTGCCGCTTCTGCTGCGCTGGTTGCCGCTGCTGTGGGGGAAGCGCGCGCTGATGAGTCCTTTGCTGCGCGGGCTGCGCCTGCGCCTGCGCGCTTGGCGGCTGAGCCGCGGTGTTCACATTGTGCCCCTGCGCCTGCTCCTGTTGCTGCGACTGCGGCTGTTGCGACGGCTGTGCGACCTGGCTGTGCGACTGGCCTTGCTGCTGCTGCTGCTGCTGCTGCTGCTGCTGCTGCTGCTGCTGCTGCTGCTGCTGCTGCTGCTGCTGCTGCTGCTGCGATGTCCGCCGCTGTTGCGACGCGTTGCGCGACCGCTGGTACGCTGCGCGCTCCACCATGCTTGCGATGATTCCTGCACACCTGATTAGTCTACTGCGGTGCTGAATGTTCCTCCTAACGGGCCGGTCTTCTGTTGACCTTGTGCGGTTCAATAGGGTTTCCCGTGGTGCAGAGAATTCACGTCCGATTTTTTTCTGTCACTTCACACGCGTTATGTACCAAGAATGCGATTTGAATACTGTCCTGAAAACTCTCAAAAGGTAACTAGAGAACTCCCTGAATGAACAATAACTGTGTCTCTTGTTCAAAGCCTTTGATTAAAAAACAAATCGCGTTGCGAAGTCCCCAAATAAACAATCAGAAGCATCACCAAGCCTCTGAATAACGTTCAAAGTGTACAGAAAAGGTTGCATACACTAACACGGAATTCATTTTTACTATAAACCAGTGTCAACAGAGTTTCTACGACCACTATCCAGCAATGCTTGCAAAACAATCTCCTCGGAGACAATATAAGGATGATCTATGTCATTCCTGTACATATGTCTGGGTGCTAGAGACCTGCATGGAGGGCACAAGGCAACAGGGAAGGAACAAAAGAATGATTGCTTGCAACATGCTCACTCACTGACCGGACAACCAGCCCTTCACTTGCTTCATCACCATGCCTATTGAGGCGCCTCAAAACATAGACGACTTTTGAGGCGCCTCAAAACATGCTCACTCACTGACTGGACAACCAGCTTCATTACCATACCTCAACTGGCAAACTATTCACAAGCAACCCACCACTTGCAATCTATCTATCCCAATCTCTCTCCTTCGATGACCTGTGCCTTGCGCAGCAGGAACAACAGCCGCTTCCTCTGCTCCTCCACAGCCAGCAATGAGTCTGTGAGGTTGCGCACCGTCTCCCTCTTCGCTGCGGGTTGCTTTTATTGTAACAAACAACCCTACACACACTCACACCAATGGCTCACCTTCGATGACCTGTGCCTTGCGCAGCAGGAACAGCAGTCGCTTCCTCTGCTCCTCCGCTGCCAGCAGTGAGTCTGTGAGGTTCCGCACCGTCTCCCTCTTTGCGTCTCGCATCACCTCCAGGTCCTCCCTAGTCAACTGCGCCTCCTCCTCCGCTGCCCTCCTCCCTGCCTCCGCCTGCTCCCGTCTCTCCCTCTCCTCCTCCTTCGCCTTCCTCTCCTCTTCCTTTGCTCTCTTCTCTTCCTCCTTGGCAGCTCTCTCCTCCTCCCTCCCCTTCCTCTCTCCCTCTACCTCCTCTCGCAATCTCACACCCTCCTCCTCCGCTTCCTTCACTCTCTTCTCAAGCTTCTCTCCCTCCCCTTTCACACGCTCTAACTCCCCTTCTACTTCACTCAGCCTCTTCTCCCACCCTTCCTGCGCCATCCGAAGCTCCGCCCGAACCTCCTCCGCAGCGTTGGTAGCCGCCGATGCTATGGCAGCTTCGGACGCAGCCTGGGCAGCAACAAGCTCGTTGAGAATGGACTGCATCGCCTCGTCTTTTTCCGCGCACGCACTGCACGGCATGGCTTGTCTCGCTACCGCCTCCTCCCTTCCCTTCTCAGCCTCCTCTCTCATTCTTTCAGCTTCCTCCCTCACCCTCTCAGCTTCTTCCCTCACCTTCCTCTCCTCCTCACACCTCTTCTCGCTCCTCTCCTCCGCCTCTCCTGCTTTCTCCACTGCCTCCTTCCAGCTGCCTCAGCCTCTTCTCTTGCCGCCTCTGCCACTTCCTTTGCCATCTCAGCCTCTTGCCTTGCCCTTTCAGCCTCCTCCAAAGCCTGCTTAAGCTCTTCAAGCCTTGCCTCCGCCTCTCTCCTCGCCTCCTCAGCATCATCCCACGACTTCTGAATGCCTTCTCTTGATTCCAATGCCTCATCCCTCGCTGCCTCCGCCTCTCTCCTTGCCTCCTCCACACACTCCCACGCTTTCACCATCTCATCCCTCTGCTTCTCCGCCTCTTCAACCCTCAATTCCGCCTCTTGCCTTGCCTTCTCAGCTTCATCCTTTCCTCTCACCGCCTCGTCCCTCTCTTTCAACGCCTCCTCCCTCCCTCTCTCAGCCTCTCCCCTCGCCCTCTCAACCTCCTCAACCCCACCCACCCTCTCTAGCTGCAAACCTGTTTTACTCACAATCGCTTCCAGCTCCCTCCGTCTCTCCTCTGCCGCCTCCCACCGCACTCTTAGCTCGTCTCTTTCCCTTTCCAGAAAGCTCATGCCAACCACACTTGTCTCCCCCCCACTGCTGTCAGGATTCGGCCACCCTCGGAGTGGCACCTCTGCAGCAGCACCCTCGGGCAGCACCTCTTTCTGAGTGCAGTGACAAATCACTCCCTTCACCTGCTCCTCCTCCCCGCTGCTCTCCCGACCCTTCTCCTCACGGCTGCAGCCCTTATCCTCCTCCTCCCCTCCACTGCTCTCCCCATCCTCCCCACCTCCACCCCGCCATCGCTTACCCTCCCGTGCCCCTAATTCCAAAACGTCCTCCACTGCCTCTGCTCCGTCCCCGCCCTCCATACCATCGCTTCCTGCTTCCTCTCCTCCAATCTCTCCCTCCATCTCCTCACCAGCCCCTCTCGCCTCTACAGGTTGCTCATCACCTTCTGGAACAATCACCACACCCTCGTCAGAACTGTGCGCTACAGCCTCCCCTTGTTCCTTACCTTCTGCCTCTCCTCCTTCACTCTCTGCCCCCTCTCCTCGTATCTCTGCCACCTCCCTCAACCTCTCAGCTTCCACTATCTTTCTTTCAGCTTCCTCTCTCCCCCTCTCCGCCTCCTCTCTCCCCCTCTCAGCCTCTCCCAGCATCCCCAACACCTCTTCCCAGCTAGCTTCAGCCTCCTCTTTCGCCCTCTCCATCTCATCCCTTGCTGCCTCTGCTACCTCCACAGCCCCCTCTGCTTCTTCCCTCCTCCTCTCAGCCTCCTCTCTCGCCTGCTCAGCCTCCTTCCTCAAAGCCTCTCCCTCTTCTAATCTGCTCACCGCCTCTTCTCTCCACACCTCTGCCTCCTGCAATACCACCTCTGCTAGCGACAGTGCCCCCTCTGCTTCTTCTCTCCTCCTCTCTGCCTCCTCTCTCGCACGCTCAGCTTCTTTCCATAACCCCTCTCCTTCTGCCAACTTCCTCTCTGCCGCCTCTCTCCACGCCTCTGTCTCCTGCAATACCACCTCGACCATCAACACTGCCCCCTCTGCTTCTCCCCAACGCCTCCCTGCCTCTTCTCTCCACACCTCCGCCTCCTGCAATACCACCTCTGCTAGCGACAGTGCCCCCTCTGCTACTTCTCTCCTCCTCTCCACCTCTTCTCTTCCTGCTTCTGCCTCTCTCACTCGTACTCCAGCATCTTCTGCCCTTCTGTAAGCGTCCTCCTTCTCTTGTTCAGCCTCCCCCCTTCTGTAAGCCTCCTCCCTTCTGTAAGCCTCCTCCCTTCTCAACTCTTCCAGCATCTCTTGCATCTCCTCAAGCCGTCTCACAACCTCCTCCCTTTCTCTCAATGCCTCTTCCTTCTCCTTCTCAGCTCTCTCCTTCTCCCCTTCACCCTCCTCCTTCTCTCTCTCTAGTACCTCTATCTGCACTGTCAACTCTTCCACCTCCCGTACCACCCGCTCCCTCTCCCTCTCCCCCTCTGTAATCCTCCCATCCACTTCCCCCTTTTCTGCATCTTCACCTGTCAATGCATTTTTTTCCTGAATCCCCTCCTCCGCCTCTGCTTTTGCCTTCTCTAGTACCTCAAGCTTCACCACCAGCTCAGTCAAATCCTTCTCAACCTCTTCTATTCTCCTCTCCGCCTCTTCCCTCCTCCTCTCTGCCTCATCTCTATCCCTCTCCGCCTCTTCCCTTCGAACCTCTGCCTGCACTACTGCCTCTAACGCCTCTTCTAGTGCCCTCTCTGCCTCATCTCCCCTCTTCTCTGCCTCCTCTCTCCTCCTCTCTGCTTCCTCTCTTCCCTTCTCTGCCTCTTCTCTCATCTTCTCTGCATCTTCTCTGTTCTGCTCCGCCTCCTCTATCCTCCTCTCTGTCTCCCCCGTCCGCCCATCCACCACAAAACCTGCCTCTAGCGCCTCTTCTAGTGCCTTCTCTGCCTCTGATCTCCTCAGCCCCTCGTCTTTCCATGCTTTCTCCACTTCCTCCCTTGCTTTCTCCACCTCCTCCCTTTCCTTCTCTGCCTGCTCCTTCTCCCTCAAAGCATCATCTCTCCTTCTCTCAGCTTCATCCCTCTGCTCCTCTGCTCTCACTCTCCCCTCTTCTGCCTCAACCTTCTCATTCTCCACCGCTTTGCGTGCCGTCTCAGCCTCTTCCAACCGTGCCAAAGCCTCAACCTTCGCCCTTTCCGCTTCTTCTCTCTCAGCCTCCGCCTCCTCTCTCCTCCTCTCTGTCTCCGCCTTCTCATTCCCCATGTCCACCAGCTGTTTCTCAACTTCTTCCAACTTCCTCTCAGCCTCATCCCTCAGCTCCTCTGCTCTCACTCTCCTCCCTTCTGCCTCAACCCTCTCTCTCTCTGCCTCTTCTCTCCTGCTCTCAGCAGCAGCCTTCTCATTCCCCATATCCACCAGCTGTCTCTCAACTTCCTCTAGTTTCCGCTCAGACTCCTCCTGCTTCCCCCTCACCTCGTCAAGAATCCCCTTCAGCTCCTCCAGTCTCCTCTTAGCCTCTTCCCGCCGCCTCTCCGCTTCTTCCCTATCGCTCTCCACCGCTCTCCACCACTTCTCATCGTCCTTAACCGCAGCCGCGTCCGGCCACCTCCCTTCCACCTCGCCTCTCCCACCCACCAACCCTTCACACTTACTTGAACATCCCACACAAGTCGTCACCTTGTCTCCATCCACTCCTGCTGCTTCAGCTTCAGCTGCGTTCACCGTCTCTCTCATCTCCCTCTCCTCAATCGCTTCCCCCTCCCCAGCCTCCTCCCTCTCCCCTCTCACATCCCTCTCCTCCCTCACCTCCCTATCCTCAACCAAGCCACTCGCCTCTCTCTCCCTAATCGCCACCCTCTCTCCAACTAGCCCTCTCGCCTCCCTCGCCCCAACGGCCCCTCCAAGCGCCCCAACCGCCTCATCAATCACCAGCATCGCCTCGTCCCTCTCCGCTGTCACCCTGTCAAGAGTCCTCACTGCTTCGTTCCTTTCTTCTACTGCCAACCCCACAGCCTCGACTGCCCTGTCCCTCTCCTCTCTCGCTGCTTCGACAGCCTTCACCGCTTCATCCCTCTCCCTAACGGCCTCCTCAACAGCCTTCATCGCTTCATCCCTCTCCCTAACAGCCTCTGCAACAGCCCTCGCCATCTCATCCCTCTCCTCACCCCTCCTCTCAACCGCCTGCACCACCCCATCCTTCTCCCCTCTCACTGCATCAGCAGCCCTCATCATCTCATCCCTCTCCTCACCCATCCTCTCAAGAGCCTGCACCAGCTCATCCCTCTCCCCTCGCGCTGCTTCAACAGCCCTCACCGCTTCATCCCTCTCCCCTATCGCTGCTTCAACAGCCCTCACCGCTTCATCCCTCTCCCCTCTCGCTGCTGCAACAGCCCTCTCCAGCTCACCCTTCTCCTCAGTCACCCTCTCTAGAGCCTGCACCACCTCACCCTTCTCCTCAGTCACCCTCTCTAGAGCCTGCACCACCTCACCCTTCTCCTCAGTCACCCTCTCTAGAGCCTGCACCACCTCACCCTTCTCCTCAGTCACCCTCTCTAGAGCCTGCACCACCTCACCCTTCTCCTCACCCGCCCTTTCAAGAGCCTGCACCAGCTCATCCCTCTCCCCTTTCACTGCTTCTTCAGCCCTCGTCAACTCATCCTTCTCCTCACCCGCCCTTTCAAGAGCCTGCACCAGCTCATATCGCTCCTCCACAGCACAGTCCTCGCCCCTCAGCGCCTCATCCTTCTCCTCCTCTGCTACCTTCCTCGCCGCCTCTGCCTCTGCCACAGCCCTCTCTAACGCCTTCACCTTCGCCTCTGCAGCATCTCGTGCTCTTTCAGCCTCCGCTCTCCTCTCCTCCTCCTCTGCCTTCGCACACACAGCCTCTTCTACAGCCCTCTCTAACCACTCCGCCTTCGCCTCCGCAGCACCTCGTGCTCTTTCTGCCTCCGCCCTCCCCTCCTCCGCCTCCTCTGCCTTCAAACACACAGCCTCCTCCACAGCCCTCTCTAGTTCAGCTGCCTTTGCCTCTGCGCCATCTCGTGCTCTTTCTGCTTCCACACTCCTCTCCGCAGCCTCTGCCTTCGCACACACAGCCTCTTCCAAAGCCTTCTCCACTTCAGCTGCCTTCGCTTCTGCAGCATCTCGAGTCCTCTCTGCCTCCGCCCTCCTCTCCTCGGCCTCTGCCTTAGCTTCAAGCGCCTCTCTCTTTGCCTGCTCAGCCTCTTCCGCAGCTTTAGCTGCATCCTCCCGAGCCTTCTCAACCTCTTCCTTCGCCTTCTCAGCCTCTTCCTTCGCCTTCTCAGCCTCTTCCTTCGCCTTCTCAGCCTCTTCCTTCGCCTTCTCAGCCTCTTCCTTTGCCTTCTCAGCCCCCCGCTCCCTCTCTTCTGCTTCGCTTTGTCTCCTCTCTGCCTCCACCCGCCTCTCCTCCGCCTCAGCCATCCCCCGAGTAGCCTCTTCCTTCTTTCTCACAGCCTCTTCCTTCTCTCTCACAGCCTCTTCCTTCTCTCTCACAGCCTCTTCCTTCTCTCTCACAGCCTCTTCCTTCTCTCTCACAGCCTCTTCCTTCTCTCTCACAGCCTCTTCCTTCTCTCTCACAGCCTCTTCCTTCTCTCTCACAGCCTCTTCTCTCGCCTCCTCAGCAACCTCCCTTGCTCTCTCCGCCTCATCTCTCCTCCTCTCCGCCTCATCTCTCCTCCTCTCAGCCTCCTCTCTCCTGCTTTCCGCCTCCTCCATCCTCCTTTCCGCCTCCGCCCTGCCCCTATGCGCCTCCTCCCGCTCCCTCTCCGCCTCATCCTTGCTCATCCCAGCACCAGCCATTCGCCTCTCCGCCTCATCTCTCTGCCTCTCCGCCTCCGCCTGTGCTCTCTCTGCTTCTCGCCTGCCCCTCTCTGCCTCCTTCCTCGCCTTCTCACCCTCCTCGCTGACTCTCTCAGCCTCCTCCTTTGCTTCAACTGCCTCCTTTGCCAACATTTCAGCTGCTGCTCGAGCTTGCTCCGATTCCTCTTTCCCCTGCTCAGCTTCCCTCCTTGCCTTTTCAGCCTCCTCTCTCGCCCTCTCAGCCTCCTCTTTCGCCCTCTCAGCTGCCTCTCTATCTCGTTCTGCTGCCTCGCGTGTAGCCTCTGCTTCCGCCTTTGCCTTCTTCGCCACCTCACTTTCTTCTCTTGCCTCTAGCTCTGCCCTCTCTGCTTCCCGTGCCCTCTCCTCCGCCTGCTTACCCCTTTCCACTGCTTCCCTCGCACTCTCTTCCGCCTCCTCTGCTCTTTTCTCTGCCTCCCTAAGCCTCCCTTCTGCAGCCTCTCTTGCTTTCTCAGCTGCCTCTCTTGCCTTCTCAGCTTCAGCCCTCCCCACCTCTGCGTCTGCACGTGCTGCTTCTGCTAATTCCTTCGCCACCTCTGCCTCTGCCTGTTTCGTTTCCGCATCCACCTGCATTCTCTCCGCATCTGCTTGCTTCCTCTCGGCCTCTGCTTGCCGCCTTTCAGCTTCCTCCTTCGCCACCTCTGCCTCTGCCTGTTTCGTTTCCGCATCCACCTGCATTCTCTCCGCATCTGCTTGCTTCCTCTCGGCCTCTGCTTGCCGCCTTTCAGCTTCCTCCTTCGCCACCTCTGCCTCTGCCTGTTTCGTTTCCGCATCCACCTGCATTCTCTCCGCATCTGCTTGCTTCCTCTCGGCCTCTGCTTGCCGCCTTTCAGCTTCCACCTTTGCCATCTCTGCCTCTGCCTGTTTCGTTTCCGCATCTGCCTGCATTTTCTCCGCCTCTGCTTGCTTCCTCTCACCCTCCTCCCGCGCTGCTTCTGCTTGCTGCCTCGCTTCCACTGCTTCTTCCCTGCCCACCTCAGCCTCTACTTGCTTCCTCTCTGCCTCCTCACATCGTGCCTCTGCATCCTCTCTCGCCTTTATCGCTTCCTCTGTACACTTTTCCGCCTCTTCCCTCAACCTTAGAGCCTCCTCTCTCGCCCTCTCAGCTTCTTCCCTCGCCTTCCTCTCCTCCTCACTCCTCTCCTCCGCCGCTGCTGCCCTCTCTACTGCCTCCTCCCTTCCCTTCTCCGCCTCCTCCCTTGCCTCTTCGGCTTCTTTCCTCTTCGCATCAGCCTCCTCCCTTGCCTTCTCGCTCTCCTCTCGCGCTTCCTCAGCAGCAGCCCTTGCTTTCTCTGCCTCTCGTTGCCTCTCCTCCACCTCCTCCTTTACTTTCTCAGCAGCTTCCCTCCTCTCCTCTGCCTCCTTCCTCCTCTCTTCCTCTTCTTTCTGCTTCACTTCAGCACCTTCCCGTCGCCTCTCTGCCTCCTCAGCTAGCGCCCTTGCATCAGAACAAGCCTGTTCAGCTGCTGCGCGCTGCTTCTCAGCCTCAGCTGATCGCTCCTCAGCGTGAGCACACGTCTGCTCGGATGCCACTCTGCTCGTCTCTGCAACTGCCAGCTTCGACTCCGCCTCGCTCTTGGCTTTCTCCGCCTCGCTCTTGGCTTTCTCCGCCTCGCTCTTGGCTTTCTCCGCCTCGCTCTTGGCTTTCTCCGCCTCGCTCTTGGCTTTCTCCGCCTCGCTCTTGGCTTTCTCCGCCTCGCTCTTGGCTTTCTCCGCCTCCTCCCTTGCTTTCTCCGCCTCGTCGCGTGCCCTTTCTGCTCCCTTCCTCAGCTTCTCCTCTTCCTCCTTTGCCTTCTCAGCTTCCTCCCTTCTCTTCTCTGCCTTTTCCCTCTCCCTCTCCGCCTCTTCCCTAGCATTATCCGCTTCCTCCTTCGCCTTCTCAGCCTCCTCTTTCGCCCTCTCTGCATGCGCTCTATTCCCATCAGCCTCTGCACCAAGCCTCTCAGCCTCGTCTCTCCGTGCCTCTGCTTCTGCCCGTGCCTGCTCCGCTTCCTCCTTCTCCCTTTCCGCAACTTCCCTTCTACCCTCTGCCTCCCCCCTCCCTCTTTCTGCCTCCTCTTGCCTCTTCTCAGCCGCTTCACGAGCGCTTTCGGCCTCTGCCCGTTTTGCGTCCGCCTCCTCTTTACACTTTACAGCCTCATCCCTCTCCCTCTCCGCCTCCTCCTTACCTTTTACTGACTCCTCCATCCCCGCCTCTGCCTGCTCCTTACCCTTTACGGCTTCATCCCTCTCCCTCTCCGCCTCCTCCTTACCCTTTACAGCCTCATCCCTTTCTCTCTCTGCCTCCTCCTTACCCTTTACTGCATCATCCCTTTCCCTCTCTGCCTCCTCCTTACCCTTTACTGCTTCATCCCTCTCTTTCTCTGCCTCCTCCTTACCCGTTAGTGCCTCATCCCTCTCCCTCTCCGCCTCCTCCTTGCCTTTTACTGACTCCTCCCTCTCCCTCTCTGCCTGCTCCTTACCCTTTACGGCTTCATCCCTCTCCCTCTCCGCCTCTCCTCGTGCTGCCTCCGCCTCTTCCCTCTCCTTCTGCGCTTGCTCCTTCTCCTCTTCCGCCTTCCCTCTTGCGCTCTCAGCCTCCTCCCTCCGTGCCTCTGCTTCCTCCCTTGATCTCTCTGCCTCGTCTCTTCTCTTCTCCGCCTCCTCTTGCTTCCCTTCCGCAGCCTCACGTGCCCTCGTCGCCTCTTCTCGTTCCCTTTCCGCCTCCTCCTTACCCTTTACTGCATCTTCCCTCTCTTTCTCCGCCACTCCCCGTGCTGCCTCCGCCTCTTCCCTCTCCTTCTTCGCTTGCTCCTTCTCCTCTTCCGCCTTCCCTCTCTCTCTCTCGGCCTCCTCCCTCCGTGCCTCTGCTTCCTCCCTTGACTTCTCTGCCTCGTCTCTTCTCTTCTCCGCCTCCTCTTGCTTCGTTTCCGCTGCCTCACAAGCCCTCTTCGCCTCGTCTCGTTCCCTCTGCGCCTCCTCCTTCGCCCTCACTGCCTCATCCCTCTCCCCTTCCGCCTCCTTCCGAGCTGCCTCCGCCTCCTCCCTCTCCTTCCACGCCTGTTCCTTTTCCCTTTCAGCCCGTCCCCTTTCCTCCTCTGCATCTCGTCTCCCCTTCTCCGCCTCCTCTCGTCCCCTCTCCACCTCCGCCAGCCTCCCCATCAACACCTCCTTCTCCCCTTCCACCTCACCCTTCGCCTTCAACACTCCATCCCTCTCCTCCTCCGCCTTCCTCCTTCCCTCCTCCACCTTCCGCTTCTCCTCCTCCATAGCCCTCCGCACAGCAGCTACATCCTCATCCCTCCTCACCTCCACCTCTCCTCTCTCTCTCACAGCCTCTGCCATCCGTTGCTGCGCTTCCTCACACTTCCTCCTCGCCTCATCCCTTTCCGCCTCCACCTCACTCAGTCTCCTCTCCACCTCCTCCTTCTCCTCCCTCACCTTCCCAATCGCATCTAGCGCCTCTTTCTCCGACGCTATTCGTTTCTTGTTATCCTTGGTCAGCCTCTCTACCCTCTCTTTTAAACTGTCATGCACGAATTTATACTTCCCAACCTCTACCTCCATAACCATCATTTTCTCCTCCATTTCCTTCATTTCCTTATCTCTCTCTCCCACTACCCCCACGCCCTTTCCTCCTCCTTTGCTCTCTGCCAATTCCTTCTTGAGCTTTTCAATCTCCGCTTTCATCTCAGCAGCGCTGTCTTTCGAAACTCCCTCCTTTTTCCACGCCTCGATTTCTTTTTTCATCTGCCCGATCTGCTCCTTAGCGGCTTTCAGCTCCGCCTGCAGATTTTCCACGTTCAGCTTCAGGTCCGCGTTTTTTATTCTCAGCTGCCCGAGCTGCACTTCCAGACCAACGTCGCCCGAACCAGCTTCGGCCGAACTAGCCCTGAACGGGCTCGCCGAACCTGCAGCGCCGGTTCCGAACCGTGTCGAGCCTGACGGTTTGGGGGAGGAGCTCCTGTCGTGTCCAGCCAATTGCTTGAAAGAAGCAACTCGATCTGCGACACTAAGGCTGGGAGTAACCTTTTTCTCGGATAACTTCTCCTGGTTACCCCCTCGTACCCCTCCATCTGTGGGTAACCAATCCTGATTTCCCCCCGGACGTGGACCGCCATCTGCGGTGCTCGGACGGGGTTGAGAGGCTAGGTCGACGGGAGGAGGCATCTTATCGAGGGGAAGAGGAACTACTTTCGACTGTGTGTTAAGTGTGGCTTTTCGCATGCGAGGCGTGAAGGAGACAGGAACGAAGGTGAGCCGATGGTGGGTTCGGATGAAAGGCGTGCGAGTTCGTCGGGCTTCTCTCTTCATTTCGCATCCGGAAGTCTGTGGATTCTAGACCGGCCTTCCGTACCCGCTTTACACAACCCCGCCATGAAACTATAATCTTTGGAGTTGGCTATTAGCTAGATCGATGATTTCGGCGATAGCTCAAGGAAGCTTGGCTATGATCCCCCAAAAGTTAGACCCAGGTAAGGTGAAGTGCTGCGAGTTAACTTAGGCTAAACTGACTGCAAACTGGAATATTGTGGCCTAAGGCTCTTCAAAGACTACAACGCCGGAGGCAGGAACGCCTAAATTGTCTCAGGAAGCGCTTTGAAGAGCAACATGAACCATCAGCGGCCATGGACTGGTGTCCTGCGCAGTCGGTCACTGCCAGTTCTTGTGGTCTCGAGGTGGGGGGTGCTTGGCGGCCTTGGGTAGGGCTCCTTCCCAGCAGTATTTGGGGGCTTGTTGCAGAGAACGGCCTTACATCAGGCTACATTGTAGTAACGTTTATTTCGCAAAGCTCGTCAATCTTGTCCCAGTAGTAAAATTATAGCTGACAAATCGTGCCATCAAGCTGAATATGACTTCAAAAAATCAGAGCCTTTTTTAACGTAATGTACTCGGCTGAAAGTGTTCGGGAACGAGTTCACGGTTTAGCACCTGAGATTGACTCTGGCCTCTTTGGCCTCATTTGTAAACACGCCTTTCCAACTTCCTGGCGCTGGTTGAAGAAGGCCAACGCCATCGTGAAATCCGATGATGTCGCATGCACAGATGGTCGCGCAACCGAAATGCTCGTCGTACGCTTGTCGCACAGAAGTTGATGAAAGGGGCAGTCGCCCATGGTGTCAGAACAACCAAGTTTCCCGCCACGTCGTACAACGAATCTCAGCCACACGAATTGCTTCGGGTCAAGTAACGCGCTGCAACGGCCTAATAAATTCGATTCCCTGCTGCAGATTGCCTCGATACAGTGTCAGAATTGATTCCCTCCTGAAGTAAATATACATACTTCAGGAGAGTTGAGGCCTATTCCGTGTGCATTCCGATCCGAACCTCGTTTTCTTCTGACGCGCGATACGAATACGACCGCAGCCTTCCTTCAGAGCAAAACCTTCCACCAACATGAGAGGGTAAACGAAGTCATTCGTGCGAACGATCACCTCCTTCCAGGGAGCGCAGAAACGGGCTTACGTCAGGTTACAGTGTAAGGCATCTTTCGCAAAGCTCGTCGGTCTTGTCGCTGTGATAAAAATATTGCTGACAAATCGTGCCAGTGAGTTGAAGATGACTCTTTCGTCCTAGCAGCACACCAGCGATTCGTCCTAGCATCAGCGATTCGTCCAAACAGCACAACAGCGATTCGTCCTAGCAGCAGCGCGATCCTAGCAGCAGGGCGACTCTCGTTAAATCCGCTAGCAGCAGGCACGATCTGCCCGTAGCAGCAGAGGTTCGTCCTAGCAGCAGCGCGCTCTGCCCGTAGCAGCAGAAATCCGCTAGCAGCAGCGCGGCCCGCCGGTAGGCACGCCCGTACCACTTCCTTCATGCAAACGACCACTTTGTTCCAGGAATTCTTTGCATTCCTGTTTTCTTGTGCTCTGTGTTTCACTTCACGCGATCCGCTTGTCTTTTGAGGCGATCTTGGAACGCAGTTGTCAGTTCCGTTGAAGCGCTCTCCGTGGCCACGGGGTTTCGCACACGGGGTTTCGCACACGGGGTTTCGCAGCACCGAAGCGCAGCCATGGACTTGGCGACGGCTGTCACGACGAGACTGGAGGACGTCGGTTACTCCTTGGCCGGCGCGAACGCTCGATCTCTTGTATGTCGCGTTCACTCCCTCCGTTTTGCTTCCCGAATCCCGGTCCCCGTCGGGTTTCATCGTACCCGATCATAGAGCACACTTGCGCGGTAGCATGCTTCTGAGTCGCCTCAAAAGTCGTTTCGTCATACTGCATCGTAGAGCAAACTTGCGGGGTAACATACTACGCCGTACAAAGACTCTCATCCTTACGCGCAATCGTTAGTACACCACATGCAGATTAATCCATCCAACGCGCGTCCTTTTTACACTGCACTGTACTGCACTGTATCCCAGGAGGAGGTTGACCTGCTCCTAAACCACACGGAACAACGCCTGCACTTCCTCGACTGGGCCTTCACCAGGTAGCACCCGCACAGAACCTGCACCAGATAGCACATTGCACCAGATAGCACATTGCACCAGATAGCACATTTCACCAGATAGCACCTGCACCAGGTAGCACCTGCACCAGGCAGCACCTGCACCAGATAGCGATCACACCAGGTAGCACCTGCATCAGATAGCACCTGTACCATTCAGTAACACTTGCACCAGGGACGGACTAAAATCAAAACTGCATGCGACTTCCCAAAGCTATGTTCCAGTCACTTCACACCCTATCTGCAGCCACGTGTCAACCACACCTTAAATATACAACAGGCATGTATGTATGCATATGCTACCTCAAACCCGTGTATAAGTTTTCTTGCTGCCCGTGCCTCCACGTGTGTGTGAGGGGCAACAAGATACTGGTCCGGTCCCTGTGTACATAAATCGAGGCGAAGGTGGTGAAGCCCAAAATCTTCTTCCTGCCCGTGCCTGTGTGTGCCTGTGTGTGCGTGCATGTGTGTGTGTGTGCGTGCATGTGTGTATGTGTGCGTGCATGTGTGTGTGTGTGCGTGCATGTGTGTGTGTGCGTGTGTGTGCGTGTGTGTGCGTGCATGTGTGTGTGTGTGCGTGCATGTGTGTGTGTGCGTGCATGTGTGTGTGTGTGTGTGCGTGCATGTGTGTGTGTGCGTGCATGTGTGTGTGTGCGTGCATGTGTGTGCGTGCATGTGTGTGTGTGCGTGCATGTGTGTGCGTGCATGTGTGTGTGTGCGTGCATGTGTGTGCGTGCTGTGTGTGTGAATGTGGGCAACAGGATTCTAGGCTCCATGCACACGAATCGAGACAGGGGTGCAGCGCCGGCTGAAATGATTGACACCGTGGAGAGCCGTAAGCCATGCCATGCCATGCCACTCACTAGCAACTGTGTGTGCCTCTGTGCGTGTGTGTGCATGTGTGTGTGTGCCTCTGTTTGTGTGCACACCCGGGCAACGGCTGAAATGATTGACACCGTGGAGAGCCGTAAGCCATGCCCCTTGCAAGCGAGCGCTCTCCCTGTTTTACTGAATGACAAGGACTGAAGAGGCGAAACAGTGTGTTTGATTACTTGCTCCGTGGGATTGGGAGATGTGATCTGGGTCGAATCTACTCTTTCCTTGCTCCGTGGGATTGGGGGATGTGGAACCCACTCATCCGTCTGCTCCTGCTGCACTCTATCCATTCGCGTTTTGCTGTCACGTAAACCCGCTTTTTCTCTTCTTTAAAGTACATCCGCTTCTCTCTTCTCGTCCTTTCGCCTTCAGTGCATGCATCCCACCCATCAGCCTTGTCATCGCAGCCGCTGTCTGGTCGCCATCGCATCACACCCAGCATGCTCCCACCCGCCCACCCATCTGTCTGGCACATTCCCATCCCTGCCACCCACCCCTCCCTCCCAACTTCATGCACATCCCCATCCCCATCAGGCGTGTGTCACACGGCAGTGCTGTTGGGCATGGCTCAAGGCGATGGGCGGGACGCTGCTACCGTGAGTTCGTTCGGCTGCTCTAAGTTTGATACTGAAATTTTAGTCGACTCAAAAGTCAACGTGTTGGGCATGGCTCAAGGCGATGGGCGGGACGCTGCTACCGTGAGTTCGTTCGGCTGCTTGAAGTTTAGTCGCTGATACTAATGAGATTGGCCTGAGATGAGTCGCTGAGATCTCTTGGCATGGCCGTTTCCCCCTCGTTCGTTCGTTCGTTCTGCTCTCTCGCCCTTGCTGCTTCCCCTACTGCCTGCCGCATAGCACATGTGTGATGAGGTGGACGCCAGCACAGTAGGATGAGACGAGTCTGCAGTTGGGCTCCCCCGGCATTCTTGTGTGGCGCCGTAACCTTATGCAGTAGGGACGTGATATGAGTGATGTTTTTAGACGTCTCAAAAATTCACTCATATTGCATGCTTGTGTGGCGCCGTAACCCCATGCAATAGAGACCACACCACACACCATGCGTCACATCGTGACTTGAGACGTCTCAAAACTAGATAACTCCATGCATTAGGGACCACACACCATGCGTCACATTGTGATTCGTGCCCGATGCCCTTTGCACCATGCATGCCCCATCCGTCCACCCCCCCACAGCATGCTCAATGTGTTATGCTCTCCTGCTCCATATCCATGCACCCTCCTTATGCAACTCCCTCCCCATGCGGTCCCCAGGGAGTGGGCGGGGTGCCAGAGCGAGCCACATGGCTGCTGGAAGTGGCTCGCCGGGTGGAGGACATGGGGAGGCTAAGGAGCAGGTATGGATATGGGGAGGCTAAGGAGCAGGTATGGATATGGGGAGGCTAAGGAGCAGGTATGGATATGGGGAGGCTAAGGAGCAGGTATGGATATGGGGAGGCTAAGGAGCAGGTATGACTGTGGGCGAGGGTACGGAGCAGGTTTGTCCTGGTGCATTGGGTGTGGCAAGCGTCACATAAACAATCCCCACTGGTATCATCAGGCCGATTCTTCTGTTCTCTCTGGACGCACACAACGTTTGAGGCGCCTCAAAAAACGCATGCCATCACCAGTGGCTGCCTCTGCCCGTGTGTACTCCCTTTCGCTTTCCCATTCCCCATTCCACATTCCCACTCCCATGCTCCATTCCACACTCCCATGCTCCTCCATTACAGTATCTCCCCCACCCCCTCTCAGGCCAGAGGAACAGCTCGCATTGAGCTCGTATGCACCGCCCCAGCAGCTGCCCTGCGACACTACACCCGATGCTCTTCCGATTCCCATCTTTCCACTCCCTCAACCCTTCCCATTTCACATTCCCCATCCCCCATTCCCAGGCCAGAGGACCGGCTCGCATTGGGCTCGTATGCACCACCCACACAACCCCCACTCCCGCACCCATATCCTCCGTTTCACCATATCCCGCATGCAACCCTGACAGGCCGGAGGACCAGCTCGCATTGCGCTCGTATGCACCGCCGTCAGCAGCTGCCCTGCTGCAACCCTCGTCCTTCCCGCCCCTCTTCTCTCCGGACCTGCTCACCCGTGCCAAAGCTGATGCTGCTGCCAGGTGCGAGTCGGTGGTGAGAGGTGAGAGGTGGTGAGAGGTGAGAGGTGGTGAGAGGTGAGAGGTATGTTCTGTTCCCAAGATGACGTCTCAAAGAGTTACTGTATGCTATTAGCGGCTGAAGTGTATGCATGCCTATTCTTCCATCTGTATCTGCACTCTTTTATCTCTGCGCTTCACTTTTCTCCCTTCCCACTCCCCCTTACTCTCTTCGCTCAAGCAACTCAAGGCCTGCTGTGCGTCCCTCCCGCACCTCCTGCTTTCCCCATGCCACCAGCTGCAGCAGCAGCAGCAGCAGCGGGGACAGCAGGGGGGATGGCATAGAGGAGGCGGGGCAGCGGCTGGTGGAGCTGCTTTTGAGGCGCATAAAGAATCCACACCCCTCCTTCCCCTATGCCGCCTCTAATACAAACCCCTCTGCACCCCACCCCATGGTGCACAGCGGCAGCAGGGGGGACGGCATAGAGGAGGCGGGGCAGCAGCGCCTGGTGGAGCTCCGGGAGATATATGAGCTGACTGAGAAACGCAAACGCAAACCCCCCTGCTTCCCCCATGCCCCCTGCTTCCCCCATGCCGCCCAGCAGGCGCAGGGACAACATGAGCGGCATAGAGGAGGCGCGGCAGCGGCTGGTGGAACTGCGGGAGAGGAAGCAGCAGATCCACGATGACACCATCCTGCTGGCCGCTCAGGTGAGGCACGGGAGAGGCTGGCTGGCAGGGCTGTTGCCTTGCGATAGGTGGGGCATCACAATGGGTGGGGCATCACAATGGGTGGGGCATCACAATGGGTGGGGCATCACAATGGGTGGGGCATCACAATGGGTGGGGCATCACAATGGGTGGGGCATCACAATGGGTGGGGCATCACAATGGGTGGGGCATCACAATGGGTGGGGCATCACAATGGGTGGGGCATCACAATGGGTGGGGCATCACAATGGGTGGGGCATCACAATGGGTGGGGCATCACAATGGGTGGGGCATCACAATGGGTGGGGCATCACAATGGGTGGGGCATCACAATGGGTGGGGCATCACAATGGGTGGGGCATCACAATGGGTGGGGCATCACAATGGGTGGGGCATCACAATGGGGTGGGGCATCACAATGGGTGGGGCATCACAATGGGGTGGGGCATCACAATGGGGGCAAACTCTTGAAATTGTCGTCCTGCCAATGTGTTGTCCAGGATCTCTCGATGATTGAAATTGTTGACACTGCCTGGTTGTGTAATCGTTCCCCCGTCACGGTGTGGTGTAGAGGTAGACCCTCTGTCAGACCACATGGCTGATGCTGATTCGTCAATCATCAAAACCTTGAGATTGCCTCGCTGCCTCGCTGCCTGGCGGTGAAGCCTCTGCAGGCTTAGACTTGAGTCGTTAGAATCATGAGAGCCTCATTCGCCTTGCTGCCTTCCCGTCCTTCCCTCCTCTGACCAGAGTGTGATGGACCTTCTGCGCGATCAGATGGCCTTGCTAACTTGCTGCCTTCCTTCCTCCTCCCCTCTCCTCCCCACTCCTACTTCCCCGTCCCCTTCCCTCTTTCCCCATCAGTGCATGGTGGACCCTCTGCGCGACCAGAGCAGGCAGCACACTGCAGCTGCTGACAAGGTTTCCTTTCTGCCTTCCCTTCCTCCTCCCCTCTCCTCCCCACTCCTACTTCCCCCTCCCCTTCCCTCTCCCCCCATCAGTGCGTGGTGGACCCTCTGTGCGACCAGAGCTGGCAGCACACTGCAGCTGCTGACGAAGTTGCCTTGCCGCCATTCCTTTCCCCTTCCCCCCTCCCCCACCCGTTCCCCTCCCTCCCTATCCGTCAGTGTGTAGTGGACCCTCTGCGCGACCAGAGCCAGCAGCACACAGCAGCTGCCGACGCCAATCTGACCTCTGCTGTGCAGCGCTACCTCTCTCTTGCTAACGAGGTCACTTATAAAGTGGACAGGGTGAGTTGGAAATCCAGGAAGGCAGGATTATATCGATGGCACCCGTCTTTCAAGACCAGTGTGTGTTGTGTGCGGCCTCACGTCTCCCTCCCAACGATTCAGAACATCCTACCAACCATCCTACCTCTCACACTGGCCAACCAACCTAACTGTATTTTGTGTGCCTGACAATCGGCAAAACATTCCTCTCTCTCCATTCTTCCAGCACTATGCCTCTGACCCTCCTTTCTCACACTACCCCTCACGCTACCCCTCGCTCTAATGGCAGTGCCTCCATTTGTCCCCTGTTCCCCCCACGACCTGCTCTCATGCTGAGAGATCAATGAGCTGACTTTTGAGTCGACTCAAAGGTCAGCCCTCCACTTGTCCCCTGTTCCCCCCACGACGTGCTCTCATGCTGAGAGATCAATGAGCTGACTTTTGAGTCGACTCAAAGGTCAGCCCTCCACTTGTCCCCTGTTCCCCCCACGACGTGCTCTCATGCTGAGAGATCAATGAGCTGACTTTTGAGTCGACTCAAAGGTCAGCCCTCCACTTGTCCCCTGTTCCCCCCACGACCTGCTCTCATGCTGAGATATCAATTCATCTGCTTGTCCTTCCCTCAATCTGCCTTCGCTTTCCTCATGCCCTCCCACTTTCTCCCAACGTCTTCCCTCTTTCCCCCCTTGCCCTCCATCTTCCTCTCCACGTCCCCCTATCCCCCCAGGACCTAATCCCCTGGATGCAGCGCAACCCCCCTCCTCGCCCCATCAAGATCGGCCCTCGAGCGTCTGCTGTGCACTCGCAGCACTCCGCTCTCCTCAAGGTGACCCCCTCACTTATTCCCTCCCTCACTCACTCACCCACTCCCTCCCTCACTCACTCACCCACTCCCTCCCTCACTCACTCACTCCATCACTCCCTCCCTCCCTCACTCACTCTGTCGTGATCTTGTGGGTTGTCTGCTCCATTCAAACCCTTTCAATCCTTTGCAACCCGGCGACGGCGACTCACTCCTACCCTCTGCCAGGTACAAGCAGCTCTCTGCTGTCGTCAACGTGCACTGCTGCTACTGTTTTTTAGTCGACTCAGAAGTTGAGTCGTCTCAAAAGCTGAGTCGACTCAAAAGCTCACTCCTACCCTCTGCCAGGCACTAGCAGCTCTCTGCTGTTGTCGACGTGTATTGTTGCTACTGTTATCACACCTGAGTGTTTGAGTTATCATTATCCTCCTTCTCGCCGGCTTCCCTCACACATACTCACACCCACTCGCATGCATACTCATACACACACACACGCGCGCACACTCACACTCACCTGGACACACACACACACACACACACACACAAACACCCCGCTTCCCCCCTTTCCCCCCCCCTCCCCCAACACACACACACACACACACACAAACACCCCGCTTCCCCCCTTTTCCCCCCCTCCCCCAACACACACACACATGCACACACAGATCCTGGCAGGGCTGCAGGTGGTGCAGGCAAGAGCGCCATCTCTTCACGAGGCAGCCACTGTGACAGCCGGCACAGCCACACCACAAGTGAATGCATGGTGGGGTGCGGTGGCAGCAGCGACCGCTAGCACAGAGGACAGCATTCGTTCCCTCCGTGCAGAAATCTCTGCACTCACTCAGGCACCGGTGCAGCCACGGCTGAGGTGAAGAGTGGTGGGGTGCGGTGGCAGCAGCCACTGCCAGTACAGAGAAAAGCATCCAGTCCCTCCGCTCAGAGATCTCAGCAGTCATCAAGCACAGGCACAGACACAGGCACAGGCACAGGCACAGGCACAGGCACAGGCACAGGCACAGGCACAGGCACAGGCACAGGCACAGGCACAGGTGCAGGCACAGGCACAGGCACAGGCACAGGCACAGGTGCAGGCACAGGTGCAGGCACAGGTGCAGGCACATGTGCAGGCACAGGTGCAGGCACAGGCACAGGCACAGGCACAGGCACTGGCACAGGCACAGGCACAGGCACAGGTGCAGGCACAGGCACAGGCACAGGCACAGGCACAGGCACAGGCACAGGCACAGGTGCACGCACAGGCACAGGTGCAGGCACAGGCACATGTGCAGGCACAGGTGCAGGCACATGTGCAGGCACAGGTGCAGGCACAGGCACATGTGCAGGCACAGGTGCAGGCACATGTGCAGGCACAGGTGCAGGCACAGGCACAGGCACAGGCACAGGCACAGGCACAGGCACAGGCACAGGCACAGGCACAGGCACAGGCACAGGCACAGGCACAGGCACAGGTGCAGGCACAGGCACAGGTGCAGGCACACCGCAGGTGAAGGTGTGGTGGGATGCGGTCGCAGCAACAGCCACAGCCAGCACAGAGGATCGTTCATTCCCTCAGCGCAAAATTTCAGCTCTCACCCCCCCGGCCCAGACGCTGATACACGCACGTGATTCTGGGTATGGAAGAAACAACATACGTACCTGAGTCCCTGAGTCTAAATTGAGGTTGCTCAGGCGGAACAGCCTTTTCATTGCATCGGTTAAATGTGCATTGGCGACAGCATGTCCCTCATCATCCCTTCCCTGGCCTTTCCTCCCCATTTGAAGTCGCATGACATGTGTATGCATAAACTTGTGGGGCAATTGATTGCAAGAGTACAACTAGTGTAACAACCACAACGTATAAACTTGATTCAATTGACCTCGTACCGGTAAGCGGAAATGAACACAAGCAATGGCTCGTTCATGGAGCCGCCAGTACATGGCTCTCTGGGCTTTTTTTACGATTGCCGTTCGTCACTTCGGGCTGTTTAGGGGTAGTTATGGTCTTATGTTTCCATGGTGTGCGTGCTGTACATAACCATGTATAGTGGATTTTGACAGGTTGGGTGCCATTTCAATAATTATTTATGTTTACCGCAATCAGGGTGATTCATCCATCAACCAATTCAAGTTTTTAAACCAAATTACCTTGTGCACTCTATCATCGCGTTACCCTGTACCGCATCCTTGGAATTTTGGCGTGGTGGTGGAAGTAAAGGATGTATAACCTTGCAGAACACGGCGACACTCGTGCCGGAGGCAGCGATCGTGGCACACGCGGACGACATAACGATTGTGGGACCCAGGGACGCCGCCTTCAAAGCCGCCGACATTATCGCCACGGAACGCGCGAAGTGCGGCCTGCGATGTAACATTGAGAAGTCTTCTACGTGGGGAAAATCGGCAGGGGAGGAGGGGACCACAGATCTACCGCACGGGCTGGTACTGAACACCGAAGGCATCAGGGTACTGGGGTGGGGAGTCCGACAGGCACAGCGGCCTACTGCACCGACCAGGTTCGTTCGGACCTCTTCAAGGCATCACCTCCGGTGCCCCTGATCGCTCAGCTGCACCCTCAACACGCCCTCCTCCTCTCACGCAGCATCTCCCGCAGGATCTCGTATATGCTCCGAACTACACCAGGGTAGATGCTGAAGCGGGAGGAGTGGAGAGCGTGGAGTGAGTCCCTGCTGAGAGCTTCTCTAGCGGCGGCCAATCTGCGAATCCCAACGAGCAAGCTGGAGCAGAGCCTCTTGTGGCGGCAGGCAACGCTTCCCATCCGGCTGGGGAGCTTAAGCATAATCGACCCCATCTCTGAAGCTCCCGCGGCCTACATTGCATCGGTGACGGCGGCGCAGCAGCTGTTGCAGCAGATGAACCTACCAGGAACGCACCTACAGAGCCGGGCGACAACAATGGTGTCTCACACATGGACCCCAGCCCCCCCAGCGGTGAACCGGCTGGCTGCTCTCGAAGATGTCCTTTCCACAGAGGCCAAGGTGGCCCTTCACGCCGTCAGGGAAGGTCCCCCCTAAGAAAGGGAATCTGCAGCTGCTCCCGTCTAAGCACATCAACACGAGGAGAGCTGCGGAGCTGTTAGCTGACACCATCATCGACAGACCTGGGGAGGACAGGGGGCATGGGGTGCGACTGATTAGTTTGAAGGGTATAGGCGCGGGGGATTGGCTGCACGCACTGCCTGTGAGATCTGACCTTACACTATCCCCTGGTCAGTTCTCTATGGCACTCGGCTTCCGCCTCGGACTCGCACTCCCTGTTAGGGTGAAATGCCCCCGCAAGCGTGGTAACTCCGACATAACAGACACTAGCCTGCCCAACCATCTCCTCCGCTGCGGTGAAGGTGGCGACGTGGTGAGGACGCACAACAGCCTAGTGCATTCGGCCTTGACAATGGCAAGGGAAGCTGGCTTCAACACGTTCCACGAGACTTCTGATTTCCTCCCTCCGGTCCTCCGCAAGCGCGCGGACTTGGCTTTCCAGGTTAGAGAGTCGGCGGAAACATGGGTAACTGACGTTGCAGTGACTGACCCTGTGCTGCAGAAGCGGGACACCAGGGCACGTAAGCCGCTGGGGTGGGCGGCTAGGGAGGCTCCCGAGAAAAAACACAGATTGTACGAGGGCCGGCCCAACTACCGGTATGTGGGATTCTTTGGGTTGGCTGTGGAGACCTACAGTACAGTGCCCTGGCAACGGGCACGGTGCAGTTTCTCCGTCTGCTGGCCGTGGCACCAGCTAGGAAGAAGTTCCGCCAGGGGCCCCTCACGACAACGGCCAGTCGCCTCACTGCACACTACAGGCAGCGCTGGTCGGTCATGCTGCAGCGCTCGCAGGCCACCTCCTTCCTCAACAAGTCAAACCTGGCGGCAGAGGCGGCATATCCACAGGCACCGGCAGATCCCTGGGAGCCAAGCCTGGGGGACCTGTGCTGCAGGCCACGACGGTCACTCAGGTCGCCGCCGTGGTCGCGCTGGCCATCGCGACGGTCGCACGACTCATCGTGGCGGTCGAGCTGAAGGCCGCGGCGGTCGCGCCGGTCGTCGGGACAGTCCCGCGGCTCGCTTGTAGCTGCTAGTGAGAAGGGGGCAGCGCGATGCGCCATAGCGATGTAAGGGAGGATCTAAAGGAACCAAGCTCTCGATACCATGTCAAGATAGGAAGAGCAGAGACTGGGAGTTGGGAAGTCAAGAGAGAAGAAAATGCGCTTTAAAAGGGGCTAGAGCCCAAATTCTAGAAGCAAGGTTTAGGAAAGGGGTAGGCAAAGGTGCACCACCAACAGTTGGCTACACTAGGATCTGAAGTGTAGGCAGTTTATATATTGATTGTGTACATTTATTTCTGACATGGGAGACTCAGTTAAGGGGAGCTGAGCTGGTCAGTGGTCAGGCACACAATGTCCTCCACTCCAGTGGGAGCATGTGTCAGGCACACATGCACCCCTATGAGAGCAATTGTAATTTGCCAGGCACAAAGGGACTCCAGTGGGAGCCATTGTCAGGCACACACGTACGGTACTCCAGTGAGAGCAATTACCAGTATCAGACGAAGAAATGCGCAGCGGCGCTCTCTGGCTTGCTGGCAACATATTCAAACCCATACGATTATACGAATAACCTATTTCGCAGTGTCTTTTGATTCAGGCAAAACAAAACAGCTGGTACGAAAAAACATATGAACACACGGTACGTATGTTGTTCAGACGATCAGGCCGATTCCCCATGATATCCAGGGCCCTGGTTCACCCCCATGCTAACATGAGCACAAGGATTGTTTCTCTGTCCTAAACAGCAAGAGTTGATGGAAATAAGGCCTCCGCAGCCCACCTGTTCTACTTCGACAGGGCCCTGGTTCACCCCCATGCTAACATAAGCACAAGGATTTGCAGCAGCAGCAGAACACATGAACTGACGATGTGGCCCTCAGTTGTCATTGCTTTTCCGCTGCGAGCTTGACTGGGAGCCGGGGGGGCTTGTGTGACAGGTGTGTTGCCTCCCGCTTGCTCTCCAGAAGGAGTGCCAGATGATGCACTGGGGGGTGGGGCGCTGGCAGGTGCTGGCGAGGTGGGCGGCTGATTGGGTACTGGGGAACTGGTGGGCGGCGGGCTGGTGGGCGGCGGACTGGTGGATGGTGGGCTTGGAGCTTCACGCAACCCCACAGATTGACAAGAAGGGAGAGACAGAAGAAAGCACATCGGCTCACGCGATTGCAGAAAGAAAAAGACCATATGAACCGATGTGTGTGTGGCTCACAAGTCATGCGTGTGGAGATATATTTGACTCATAAGACATGAATGCGGAGATGTAAGTTACGCATAGAAAATGTAGTGTATTTGAGTAATGATGGAGCATGCAACAGAGAATCAGAGACTGCGAGCAGCCTCAGCAGGTGACAAGAATGAGACAACCTAAGCATGGTGAGATGAGAAAGGTGAGTTCATGACTAGAAGGGAATGGACGTGCTCTGCTGGGATCATCAAAAGGGATTGCAAGCGGCCTCAGGCAACCATGAGACAACCAAACCATGATGCAAAGAGAATAGTGAAATAATGACTAGAAGAGATTTTTTAGGTGCCTCAAAAGCCAAACCATGATGAGATGAGAATGGTGAGATTATGGCTAGAAGGAATTGGACGTGCTCCCCTGGGATCATCATAAGAGGCATATAAATGGAATCATGGCAACGGAATTGGAAGCGGCATTAGAAATGAAGGAAAAGCAATACTGTATGCATGGATGATAGAGAGCTGAATTACAGTGGAGGCATGTGGGACAAGGGACGCAAGTGGGAGCAATGGTGCCATTGTTCCCAATGGTGCTGCCGAGAGGGCATTGGCAGGTGTAGGTGCCGTTGGGGAGGGAGACACAGGCGCCACCTCCACAGGGGTTGAACTGAAACGATGCACACACATCAGCTGCAGCACGGGTTTCCGCGAACAGAAAGGGGCGGATGAAACGGGGGAGGGGTGGAAAGGTGGAGGGATGGGAAAGGTGGGGAATGTGAGGTGCTGCGGAGAGGGGGGTACAGACACCCCCTGCGATTGGGGCGCCTTAAAACTCGTCCGGGAGGGGAATATGGGCAAGCTTGGAACAAGGGGAATATGGGCAAGCTTGGAACAAGGGGAATACGGGAAAGCTTGGAACAAGGGGAATACTAGCACCCATGGTGCAAGGGATGAATGGTACAGCTAGAAGCAAGACCATGTACATGTATCAGCTACCGTGCAATGGGCGGAAGGGTAGCCTGATGAGATGAAGGGCGGAAGGGTAGCCTGATGAGATGAAGGGCGGAAGGGTAGCCTGATGAGATGAAGGGCGGAAGGGTAGCCTGATGAGATGAAGGGCGGAAGGGTAGCCTGATGAGATGAAGGGCGGAAGGGTAGCCTGATGAGATGAAGGGCGGAAGGGTAGCCTGATGAGATGAAGGGCGGAAGGGTAGCCTGATGAGATGAAGGGCGGAAGGGTAGCCTGATGAGATGAAGGGCGGAAGGGTAGCCTGATGAGATGAAGGGCGGAAGGGTAGCCTGATGAGATGAAGGGCGGAAGGGTAGCCTGATGAGATGAAGGGCGGAAGGGTTAAGATGCCATTGGTGATGGCAAGGAGGCCAAACAACAGGGTGCTGTTTGTTATGCCATGCATGCCGTGCCGCCCATGGCACTGCCACCAACGCCACCCATGCCACCCAAGCCATGGCACCCATGCCGCCCATGCCACCCAAGCCATGCCACCCATGCCACCCATGCCACCCATGCCACCCATGCCACCCATGCCACCCATGCCGCCCATGCCACCCATGCCACCCATGCCACCCATGCCGCCCATTCCGCCCACACCTGCTCGCACACCCACCTGCTCGCACACCCACCTGGTTGCACGGAGCAGTTGGAGCAGAAGAAGGAGCAATGCTGGCAGAATGCGGACGTTGCCTGCTGGTTCAGCTCGCACCACCCCCCTGTGGCGCACTGCAGGCCTGTGGTGTCCACGTAGCTGGCAAAGGAGGAGAGAGAGATGCACGAAGGGAGATGCACGGGGGGTGAGAAAAAGAAGCAGCCATGGCAGATTGGTGGTATGGTCTGCTGGTTCAGCTCGCACCACCCCCCTGTGGCACACTGCAGGCCTGTGCTGTCCACGTAGCTGGCAAGGGAGGAGTGGGAGATGCACGAGGGAAGAGAAAAAGCAGCAGCGACAGGGTGAGATGGCGGATCAAGTGTGAAACACTTGAACACCCTGTGAGACGCTTGAAAACCGGCGGATCAAGTGTGAGACACTTGAAAACCGGAGGGCCAAGTGTGAGGCACTTGACTTACAGGCCTGTGAGCTGAGTAAGGTTGCCTAGGGATGCAGGAAGCGAGCCCTGAAGGCTGGTGTACCTCAAGTCCCTGCAGCAGGCAGCAGACGGATGGAAAGAAAGAAGAGAGAAATGCCGATTACAGCAAGCATGGATGTATGTAGCAAAACTTGATAAAGGAAAAACAAGGCATTGCAGCAAAGGTGCAGAGTGGGGCAGACGGCACGAGGAGAGAGGGACGGCAAGCACACGAGGGGGGCGGCACTGACAGCTGGCTGAGGGCGGTGAGGTGACCCATGCCAGCCGGCACTGAGCCCGTGAGGTTGTTGTTACCCATGGCGCTGGGCGGAGAGAGTGGGGAGGGTGGGCAGAGCAGGGTGGACGCGTTTTGAGAATTCTCAGAAGACGCTCTCAAGCGCAGGTGGCACAGAGCTCGCGAGGTTGTTGTGACCCACGCTGACTATTGAGTCGACTCAAAAGTCAGCACAGAGCTCGCGACGTTGGTGTGACCCATGGCGCTGGGCGGGGTGGGCGGGGAGAGAGGCGTGGGCAGGGAGTGAGAGGCAGGCGGGAAGGATAAACGAAACGTGTGATTCAGGTGTTGCGGGTCCCAGGGAGGCATGGGAGCAGCAAGAGAGAGGAGTACATTAATGAAAGGGCCACTCGAAGAGGGTGTGGGACATCGATGGCAGCTGGGTCGTGTCATGTCATGGCACAGCACTGCAGGGAAGCAGTATGTATATGACGCAGAGGTGACACGTGGCAGTGGTGACACCTGGCAGTGGTGACACGTGGCAGTGGTGACACCTGGCAGTGGTGACACGTGGCAGTGGTGGTGACACATGGCAGTGGTGGTGACACATGGCAGTGGTGTGGCAGTGGTGACACGTGGCAGTGGTGACATAGCGACACGTGGCACTGACATGTACACGAGGCTGAGGAGGGTGGTGATGGAGTCGGGAATGGAGCCTGAGAGCTGGTTGGCACTCACGTCTCTGCCATGCAGGGAGGGATACTCAGATGCAGGGACACACAGATGCTGTTTCGATTCACATGTGGGATGATGTATGCCTGCACACGCACACACGCGGCGATGATATTAATGCACTTATGGATCGATGATGCTTGCACAACAAATGGGGCTATGATGGGCTAGCGTGGGAGAGATCAAGGCGCACAGCAGGCAGTGTATTGCTGTGTAGCTTAAGCTGTGGTGTGCACGATTGGGCAGCTTCAACTGGCACCACATGCCACATGCCACATGCCACATGCCACATGCCACATGCCACATGCCACATATGCTACATACCACATGCCATGCCACATATGCTACATACCACATGCCACATGCCACATGCCACATGCCACATGCCATGCCACATTCCACAGGCATTCCACATATCACATGCCACATTCTCCATGCCACAAGCCACATCACATTTCAACTTGCATTGCAACCCCAAAGAGACATCACTGGTGAGGCTGTGGAGGTCTAAATGAATGGAATATGTATGTCGCGGCATGCCATACAAAGCTACGGTGCCACGGCATGGCATGTCATGGCATGGGATGACAACAAGACATGGCGCGAATCATGGCATATCATGGCATGGCATACATGAGTATCGCTTTGGCAAGGGTGCCGAGGGAGCTGGGAATTGACCCCGTGAGGTTGTTGCGCCTTAGATTCCTGCTCACAACAACGAGCGATTCTCACAACTGTTTAGCTTCGATCACTTGTAGTATCAATTATGTATGCAATCAAGGATGTGTATGCAATCAATTATGTATGCAATCAAGGATGTGTGCATCGAGGCCACATTGCATGGTAAGCCGGTGTTCATGGTACGCTGGTGTAAATGGTAAGCGGGTGAACATGGTGAGCATGTGTACATGGTAAGTTTCCAGTAAATGGTTGATCGGTAACCATTGGTTATTCAATGGTAACCGTATGCTGATCAGTGGTCACTCACATGCTACGACAAGTGACTCACAGGCTGGTGAGAGAGGAGAGAGCGCCTATGGTGTCGGGAATGGGTCCCGTGAGGCTGTTGTATGACAGGTCACTGTCATGCGCATGCAACGAGATAGAGAAGACGTTTGAAAATTCTCATGAGGCCTCATGGTAGCTTCAGCGGACCCATGAGGCTGTTGTACGACAGGTCACTGTAACGAGCATGAAGTGAGTTAAATAAGATGCAGGATTAAGAGACGGGAGAGGTGAACGTTGAACGATGTGAAGGAAAGGCATGAAAGATGGGAATGACTTCTCACCTGCTCGTGGTAGGTGGAAGAGCAGAGCGGGTGGAAGAGCAGAGCGGGTGGAAGAGCAGAGCGGGTGGAAGAGCAGTGCGGGTGGAAGAGCAGTGCGGGTGGAAGAGCAGAGCGGGTGGAAGAGCAGAGCGGGTGGAAGAGCAGAGCGGGTGGAAGAGCAGAGCGGGTGGAAGAGCAGAGCGGGTGGAAGAGCAGTGCGGGTGGTAGAGCAGTGCGGGTGGTAGAGCAGTGCGGGTGGAAGAGCAGTGCGGGTGGAAGAGCAGTGCGGGTGGTAGAGCAGTGCGGGTGGAAGAGCAGAGCGGGTGGAAGAGCAGAGCGGGTGGAAGAGCAGAGCGGGTGGAAGAGCAGTGCGGGTGGTAGAGCAGTGCGGGTGGTAGAGCAGTGCGGGTGGAAGAGCAGTGCGGGTGGAAGAGCAGAGCGGGTGGAAGAGCAGTGCACGTACAGGAGGGCTAAGTTGGTGAGACGGGTGATGGCTGGAGGGATTCGCCCTGAGAGCTGATTTCCTCCCAAGCCCCTGATGATGGCAATGGCACCGCGTGCATTGTGTCGCACGATTGGGCATAAGACAGATGGGGCTTATTGAGTGGGATGGGAGGAATGCTATTTTCTGCACGTTTCTGCAGCCACACACATAACAACAGAAGGGGTTTTTTATGAGCGAGATGGGTGGGAATGATGGTGCCTTGCGCCCTCCACCATCAATTTCACCCCCCTCCCTCCTTTCCAGGGCGCAAGGCCCCAACCATCCTTGCCCTTGAAAGCACCATACGAGGGACGGAGGGAGGAGGGTCGGAGGGAGGAGCGACGGAGGGAGGAGGGATGGAGTGAGGAGGAAAGGAGGGAAATACGAAGGAGGGGAGGGAAGAACGAAGGAGGGAAGGAGGGAGGGGGGGACAGAGGAATGGGAGGAGGACTCACAGGAAGGAAAGGGCGGTGAGATTGGCGATTGCTGCAGGTATGGACCCAGAGAGGTTGTTCTGCGCTAGGTACCTGGTGGTGACGTAGGGGTGATGCTGAGAGGGGTGATGCTGAGAGGGGTGATGCTGAGAGGGGTGATGCTGAGAGGGGTGATGCTGAGAAGGGTGGGCTGAGACGGGTGATGCAGAAAAATAGAGAGACGGTGCAGCGAGAGGAGAATAACATGGTGGAGAGCAGCGGCCAGAGAAGTCAAGAAGTTGGAGGGCAGCAGTCAAAGAACACAAGAAGGTGGGGAGTGGAGTGTACTGGCAGCAGGTATTGTGCAGTGCACGCACATGGTATGTATGATGGTACTGTTGATGTCGGCCGCAATCACTCAAGGCCTATGCAAGTTCGGAGTGTGCCGATCCAGCATGCGGCATTCCGCCCCCCATCCGCCCCCCATCCGCCCCCTACTCGCCCCCCATTCGCCCCCCACCCCCTCCCCCGAGTCCGGCCCACACACACATGCACTCGAGCCTCGCCATGCTCTGCACGTTGGACGGCACGCCGCCCCCCATTTCTTCCCCCTCCCCTCTCCCCTCTCCCCTCTACCCCCCATGCTCCCAGATTCGCCCCTTACTCGCCCACACGCACAGGTACTCAAGGCTAGCCATGTGGTGTAGGTTGGACGGTAGGCTGCCCTCTATGTGGTTCGCCCCCAGGCGCCTGCATGCAGGGGCGAAGAAGTGTGGTGGATGGGGGGGCGTGGGGGCAGGAGGTGAAGGAAAGGTGGAGTGGAGCGAGGGTGGGAGGGAGGGAGCGAGGGAGCGAGGGTGGGAGGGAGGGAGGGAGGGAGGGAGGGAGGGAGGGAGGGAGGGAGGGAGGGAGGGAGGGAGGGAGGGCGGGATGAGAGGTTGGACGGGGTGGGTGGGCATGGTAACAATGATTGGGCAACAGGGTGCAGGAGTGTGGAGTAACAATGATTGGGCAACAGGGTGCCAAAATACATGTAGGATACTCTAGATGCCATAAAAGCCGAGTTTTGAGGCGCCTAAAAAAATCCGCGTGAACTGAGACGACTTTTGAGGCGCCTCAAAATACTGGGCAACAGAGTGCCTACATACATGTAGGATATTTTAGATACCATAAAAGCCGAGACCGAGTGAGTGTACAGAGCAGGCAAGAGGGAGGGAAATCGTATGAAACAGCTCAGGGTGGAGCCGATACAAGAAGAGAAAAGGTTTGGCTTATAATAATGAGAGATCTGGGAGCAGCAGAGAGGATACATACAGCGTGCGCAGGCGAGATTTGAGAGGACGTAAGAGCACAGAGGACACATACAGCGTGCGCAGGCGAGATAGGTTGGCGATGGCAGAGGGGAAGGGGCCTGAGAGCTGGTTGTAACCCATGTCGCTGCAGCGCATGCATGGGGAGGGGAAACGGGAAGGAACGAGAGGAAGGGTAGAGGTCAGAAAGCAGAGGAAAGAGGACAGCGGGGAGGGGAGGCAGCATGGGTGAAGGGAAGAATGAGAGGGGTGCAGTGAGTGTGGCATGGTTGGAGAGGGGCCCGTGTGCGAGGTCAGGAACGCCAGGAACGAAGGCCAGAGGACCTTTGAGGCGCCTGAAAAATGGTCTCAGTTGGCATGGTTGGAGAGGCACGTGTGTGCGAGCTCAGGAACGAGGGCCACAGGAGTTGGAAGCAGGAGACTTCTGAGTCGACCTCAGAAGTCAGCTCGTTACAACGAGGTGAGGAAGAGAGGCCACGCCACGGTTTGAAACAGGAGCGCACACAACTGCGGCAGCAGGAGCAGGCGTAGCTTCCAATCAGACGTAAGCTCACAGATTCCCGAGGACCGGAAACATTTATGCAAGGTGCAGATAGGTCTGAACTAAATAAAGTATACTCATGGTTCGGAGTGAACCTAAAAAGCCGGACGGAAGCGTACAGGTTGCTGAGAAGCGAGAGGCTTCCAATGCTGTCTGGCAGGGAGCCTGATATGTTGTTGGTTCCTAACAACCTGCCACGTGGCACCCAGACATTGGTGAAAGCGATACACAGTCGGACGAGAAAGAGAAGCCGTGCAGAAAATACTGCGGGCCAAGGGAGGAGAGCCGGGGAGCAGGCAAGAGGAGCAGAGCAGGGGAGCAGACAAGAGGAGCAGAGCAGCGTAGGATTTTTGGGGCAGTTCAAAAGAGTGAAGAATTGTGTCAGAGAGTGGAGGAGAGTGAATGAAGGCTGCACTGACAGGTAGACGAGAGAGGGCAGAGAGGAGAGGGAGGCAGGCAGCGAGCCAGAGAGGTGGTTGTTCTGTAGGCCGCTGTGGTTGGGAAAGGTGGGGAAGGAATGATCCACTTTTGAGATCTCTAAAACATGAATCAAACGCAGAGAGGATAGGGAGGCCGGCAGCGAGCCGGAAAGGTGGTTGTTCTGTAGGCCACTGTGTTTTGGGGGAGGGGGAGAGTGAGGAAGGGGCGGGTAGGGTAGGGTAGGGTAGGGGAGGTGAAGGGGAGGGGGGCGGGGACGGAGAAAGCAAACAAAGCGGGCATGTGGGGGAGAGGTGCAATGTTGGAATGAAACGGTGGGTGTTTGGTTTGCATGGAGCACAGCACAGAATGCGTTATTTTAGAAATTATAAGAAAAAAAAATGCATTATGCGTGGAGCACAGCACAGCACAGCACACAATGGCATGAGGGGAAAATGCTGAAGCTGACGTGGACATCATCCCACATTGACATGGTCGAGGGCATCGCTGATGTGGAGGCACTTGAAGCTGATGTGGACTCACATGAAGCTGACGTGGACTCACATGAAGCTGACGTGGACTCGGCAGGAAGGAACGAGATGCTTTCTGCGCAGGGGGTGAGCGGTGGTGCATGCACAGGGGGTGAGAGGTGGGTACATGGAAGAGAGGTTGGGAAGGGCGCTGAGGACGGGAGCAGGGATGGGGCCTGAGAGGAGGTTGTAGGAGAGATCGCTGCAGGGGAATGGGTGGCACGGAGGAGGAGAGAAGGGGAGGGAAGTAGATTGATGAGAGGGGCAGCAGAAATACTTTGGCACATTATTTGGCAAATTCTTACATTGCATTACGTTACATGGCATAATGTAAAACTGCATCACGCTCAAAGTGGTGAAATAGCATTGCATTGAACATAAACTAGTTGAAGGGCATAGTTAAGAGGCATTGAGTAGAGCTTATTAAAGTGGTATATAAGCAATAAAAACAAGCAAGAAAAACAGGAGGCAGCGATTGGGACGACTTAAGCAGCAGTACAAGACCAGATTTTCCATACTCAATTGGTTATTGTAGGTTGAGAAAACAAATGCAAAAACAAAAGCGACCAAAATGCATACGAATCAGCATGCCGCCATCTCTCACATGACACTAAGCTTATTGAGGAGGCTTATAGGGGGGGGAATGGAGCCTGTGAGTTTGTTGCCAGCCAGGTTGCTGCGTGCAAGGATGGGAGGATGGGAGGATGGCAGGATGGCAGGAAGGGAGGATGGAAGGGTGGGAGGAAGGGAGGGTGGGAGGATAAGGGGTTGGGAGGATGGGAGGGTGGGAGAGTGGCAGGAAGGGAGGATGGGAGGGTGGGAGGATGCGGATGGTTTGAGCTTTGAAGGATACATCCAGGGGCATATTGGCACTTTCTGAGACGTCTAAAAAAAGGTGACTTGTGGGGAATGGCACACAGTGGAATATGTTGCATGCATGGATGTGGCCTAATTGATACCCGAGCCGAGGAAATGGAGCAAACAAGGAAGTTGACTGACAGTTGGGTGAGGGCAGAGAGGCCAGCAATGGACGGAGGGATGACGCCCGTGAGTTGGTTGCCGCCCAGAGCCCTGCCAGTGCCAGTGCCAGTGCCAGTGCCAGTGCCAGTGCCAGTGCCAGTGCCAGTGCCAGTGCCAGTGCCAGAGCAAGTGCCAGTGCCAGTGCCAGTGCCAGTGCCAGTGCCAGTGCCAGTGCCAGTGCCAGTGCCAGTGCCAGTGCCAGAGCCAGTGCCAGAGCCATTGCCAGTGCCAGTGCCAGTGCCAGTGCCAGTGCCAGTGCCAGTGCCAGTGCCAGTGCCAGTGCCAGTGCCAGTGCCAGAGCCAGTACCAGTGCCAGTGCCAGTGCCAGTGCCAGTGCCAGTGCCAGTGCCAGAGCCAGTGCCAGTGCCAGTGCCAGTGCCAGTGCCAGAGCCAGTGCCAGTGCCAGTGCCAGTGCCAGTGCCAGTGCCAGTGCCAGTGCCAGTGCCAGTGCCAGTGCCAGTGCCAGTGCCAGTGCCAGTGCCAGTGCCAGTGCCAGAGGGGCGATGCGATCAGATGGGTGGTGGGCCTGTTTTTGTGTCAAGTCAAAAACAGACTCGTCACACGTGAGTTGGTTGCTGCCCAGAGCCCTGCCCCAGTGGGGGGATTCGATACGGTGGGTGGTCATGTGAGTTACTGTGGGCGATAGATTTGAAATTTCGTGATGAAGAAAGTGAGGGCACTGAGAGCATTGCCACACTCACAGCACGCGCAGCACGCGCACTCAAAGCACTGCCACACTCACAGCACTGCCACACTCACAGCACTGCCGCACTCACAGCACTGCCACACTCACAGCACTGCCGCACTCACAGCACTGCCACACTCACAGCACTGCCACACTCACAGCACTGCCACACTCACAGCACTGCCACACTCACAGCACTGCCGCACTCACAGCACTGCCACACTCACAGCACTGCCACACTCACAGCACTGCCGCACTCACAGCACTGCCACACTCACAGCACTGCCACACTCACAGCACTGCCGCACTCACAGCACTGCCACACTCACAGCACTGCCGCACTCACAGCACTGCCACACTCACAGCACTGCCACACTCACAGCACTGCCACACTCACAGCACTGCCACACTCACAGCATTGCCGCACTCACGGCACACGCTTTGACCCAGTTGCCCAGTGCAGGTGGAATGGAACCCTTGAATAAGAAATCCGCGTGTAAGGAGACGACTTTTGAGACTTGCAGCATCGCCATTGCCACATTCACAGCATTGCCATTGCCACACTCGCATCGCAGCATTGCCGCACTCACGGCATTGCCGCACTCACGGCATTGCCGCACTCACAGCATGCGCAGCCGACCCAAGTTGCCCAGTGCAGGTGGGATGGAACCCTTGAGATTTGCCGCACTCACATCCCTGCAATGCAGCGATGCAGCGGTGCACACAAGCAAGCAAGCAAGCAATGTGATGTGATAAAAGAAGTGTTCTGAGACGCCTCAAAACACTCACATCCCTGCAATGCAGCGATGCAGCGGTGCACACAAGCAAGCAAAGTGAGCAAGGAGGAAGTGGCGATACTCAATACTTGACTTGCCATACACATAAGGATTCGACCGAGCATTCCCCGTTTGCCATTCTTGACCCTGGTGAGTGGCCTACAGCGTACAGGTATTGCAGGAGGGGAGAGAGCCTGAGAGGGGGTTATTTCCGATGGCCCTAGGGGGAGTGGTTAGGACGGGCCCGGAGTGGGAGGGAGGGGCAGGGGGGAGATATGAGAATTTTCCACAAAGACGGGCAGGGAAGAGCATCTAAAGATGCTAGCTCGTAAGCTAAGGCGAGACAGAGGTGATTTTTGAGTCGACTGAGTTTTGAGTCGACTGAGTTTTGAGTCGACTCAAAAGTGGGTAGGACGGGCCCGGACCGGAGTGGGAGGGGCAGGGAGGAACTATGAGAAACCACTAAAGATGCTCGCAAGCAAAGATGAGACAGACGTGACTTGTTGAGTCGCCTGAAAAAGCTCCAAACTTCAGATCTGCAGCTCAGCTCTTGCGCTTTGAGTGACGTGAAGAGGCTGAGGCTGACCCCACGAACTTGAAGAGGCTGCTCATTGCACCTGTAAGTAATGGCGCAGCCTGTTCACATAATGAAATCACTTTTGAGAATTCTCAAAAGTTTGAAGAGGCTGCTCAAAGCACCGGTAAGTTTTGACCCCACTTACAGCCTGTTCACATAATGACCCCACTTACAGGTACTCGAGGCTGTTCAACGCACTGATGCTGCTGGGAATGCTGCCTGTGAAGTTGTTGTGTGCTAGCATGCTGATGGGGTGCAGGGGAATGGAGACAGGGGAAGAGAGACCGGGGAAGAGAGACAGGGGAAGAGAGACAGGGGAAGGGAGACAGGGGAATGGAGACAGGGGAAGGGAGACAGGGGAAGAGAGACAGGGGAAGAGAGGCAGGGGACGAGAGACAGGGGACGAGACAAAGGTGGACACTCACGTCACAGGAAAGCAATTTGTAACGGCAGCTGAAAGTGTGAAACACTTGCAGGCGCTGTAGGGCTAGTATCGAGAACAAGCACCACTTGAGGGGATTATGATTCTTCTCGCACCAACTCATGGCTGTGATTTTCTGGTCGACTCAAATACAAGCACCGGTTGATTGAGGAAGTTATGTTTCTTCTAGCACCAACTCGTGGCTGTGATTTTCTAGTCGACTAAAAAACAAGCACCGGTTGAGGAAGTTATGATTCTTCTAGCACCAACTCATGGCTGTGTTGGATGCAACAATTGCTCGCAGCGGAAAAAATAACACTGATGGATTATATATTTTCCAAGTTGTTAAACCCACAGGCGCTGTAGAGCAGTGAGGGATGTGATTGTATCAGGTATAACCCCATTGAAGGCACTGTTATACATGGCCCTGTAGTGAAGAGGGTGTAACCACATGGCATGGGATGGGATGGCATGGCATGGCATGGCATGGGATGGTATGGGATAGCATGGGATGGGATGCATGCATGCCTGGCATGAGTTGGAATGGGATGGCATGGATGGCATAGCATGCATGGCATGGCATGGGATGAGATGGAATGGCATGGGATGGATGGCATAGCATGGAATGGCATGGGATGAGATGGAATGGCATGGGATGGATGGCATAGCATGGAATGGCATGGGATGGGATGGAATGGCATGGGATGGATGGCATAGCATGGAATGGCATGGGATGGATGGCATAGCATGGAATGGCATGGGATGGATGGCATAGCATGGAATGGCATGGGATGGATGGCATAGCATGGCATGGCATGGGATGGGACAGCAAAGCAAGGCATGGGGTGGGATGGCAAGCACTGGCTTTCTCAACGCAGCTACCCAAGCTCCTTCACTTCATTGATCATGTACGGCAGAGTCATCCAACGTACAGCTGTGTGAGCTGTATGAGAGCCGGACAGGAGGGATGGCTGGAATGGAGCGCGTGAGGTTGGAGTGAACATGACTCTTTCTAGGCAACGAGGTGGCAATTGAGTCGACTCAGCAGCTAGAACGTACGGCTCTGTGAGCTGTGCCAGAGGGCCGAGAGGAAAGCTGGAATGGAGCCCGTGAGGTTAGAGTGAACATGACTCTTTCTAGGCAACGAGGTGACTATTGAGTCGACTAGCAGGTAGAGCGTACAGCTCTGTGAGCTGTGTGAGCGCCGAGATGAAGGCTGGGATAGAGCCAGTGAGCATGGAGTGAACATCACAACAAGGTGATTTCAGTGTTGAGCGTGAGCTGGTATAATCGAACGTACAGCTCTGTGAGCTGGTATAATCGAACGTACAGCTCTGTGAGCTGGTATACTCGAACGTACAGCTCTGTGAGCTGGTATACTCGAACGTACAGCTCTGTGAGCTGGTATACTCGAACGTACAGCTCTGTGAGCTGGTATAATCGAACGTACAGCTCTTTGAGCTGGTATAATCGAACGTACAGCTCTGTGAGCTGTGTCAAGGCCGAGAGGAAGGCTGGGATGGAGCCCGTGAGCATGCTGTCGACCAGTGAGCTGAGCACAGATGGGTGGAGGGGGAGGGCAGAGGGACGGTGACTTTTGAGTTAATTCAGGAGCTAGCACCTACAGCCTGTGATGTGAGGATGCTGTTGAGCTGCGAGCAGAACTCGTGGATGGGTGGAGGGGGAGGGAGGGCACGGGGAAGGTGACTGTTGTGTTGATTCAAGAGCTAGCACCTACAGCCTGTGATGTGAGGATGCTGTTGAGCTGCGAGCAGAACTCGTGGATGGGTGGAGGGGGAGGGAGGGCACGGGGAAGGTGACTGTTGTGTTGATTCAAGAGCTAGCACCTACAGCCTGTGATGTGAGGATGCTGTTGAGCTGCGAGCAGAACTCGTGGATGGGTGGAGGGGGAGGGAGGGCACGGGGAAGGTGACTGTTGTGTTGATTCAAGAGCTAGCACCTACAGCCTGTGATGTGAGGATGCTGTTGAGCTGCGAGCAGAACTCGTGGATGGGTGGAGGGGGAGGGAGGGCACGGGGAAGGTGACTGTTGTGTTGATTCAAGAGCTAGCACCTACAGCCTGTGATGTGAGGATGCTGTTGAGCTGCGAGCAGAACTCGTGGATGGGTGGAGGGGGAGGGAGGGCACGGGGAAGGTGACTGTTGTGTTGATTCAAGAGCTAGCACCTACAGCCTGTGATGTGAGGATGCTGTTGAGCTGCGAGCAGAACTCGTGGATGGGTGGAGGGGGAGGGAGGGCACGGGGAAGGTGACTGTTGTGTTGATTCAAGAGCTAGCACCTACAGCCTGTGATGTGAGGATGCTGTTGAGCTGCGAGCAGAACTCGTGGATGGGTGGAGGGGGAGGGAGGGCACGGGGAAGGTGACTGTTGTGTTGATTCAAGAGCTAGCACCTACAGCCTGTGATGTGAGGATGCTGTTGAGCTGCGAGCAGAACTCGTGGATGGGTGGAGGGGGAGGGAGGGCACGGGGAAGGTGACTGTTGTGTTGATTCAAGAGCTAGCACCTACAGCCTGTGATGTGAGGATGCTGTTGAGCTGCGAGCAGAACTCGTGGATGGGTGGAGGGGGAGGGAGGGCACGGGGAAGGTGACTGTTGTGTTGATTCAAGAGCCGCTCCTGAGAGCCGCCTGTGTGGCAGCATGGGGGGATGGATGGCAGCATGGGGGGATGGATGGCAGCATGGGGGGATGGATGGCAGCATGGGGGGATGGATGGCAGCATGGGGGGATGGATGGCAGCATGGGGGGATGGATGGCAGCATGGGGGGATGGATGGCAGCATGGGGGGATGGATGGCAGCATGGGGGGATGGATGGCAGCATGGGGGGATGGATGGCAGCATGGGGGGGTGAATGATTAACATCATGGAGGCGAGGCAGTGACAGGGAGGCGAGGGACTGACAGGGAGGGGAGGCAGTGACAGGGAGGCGAGGCAGTGACAGGGAGGCGAGGGACTGACAGGGAGGCGAGGGACTGACAGGGAGGCGAGGGACTGACAGGGAGGCGAGGGACTGACAGGGAGGCGAGGCAGTGACAGGGAGGCGAGGCACTGACAGGGAGGCGAGGCACTGACAGGGAGGCGAGGGACTGACAGGGAGGCGAGGCAGTGACAGGGAGGCGAGGGACTGACAGGGAGGCGAGGCAGTGACAGGGAGGCGAGGGACTGACAGGGAGGCGAGGGACTGACAGGGAGGCGAGGCGGCGGAGGGTGCTGATGGCATTGGGAATGGAAGCCGTTCCGTTGCTCAGGTCGAGCGTTCTGCACATTGCATTGCAACACATGCCGCGTCACGTCGAATGCATGCAATGAGGCGAAAGGAACAGGAGGAACGGAATCTCTCGACACAACAAACAAACAAACAAACAAACAAACAAACAAACAAACAAACAAACAAACAAACCAACAAACAAACAAACAACAAACAAACCAACAAACAAACCAAGCAAGCACGGCACAGGGATGAGCAGGCGGTTAGCTTGCGATGATGGGGCGGGTTGGGATGGGACACGGGGATGAACTCAGCAGGAAGAGTGTGCAAGCGCCGATTTTGTTTGAGGTTGATTTTGAGAATTCTCAAAATCAACCTCAAACAGGAAGAGTGTGCAAGCGCCGAACAAAACCTAGACGAGTGCCAAGCGGCCTAAATAATCATCTCAACTTCAAGGCTGGCTGGTAGTTTACGCGTTCAGTCGTCAACACACTACAAGCAGAGGTGGTGCAACAGTTACCACTGATCTGTGGAGGGAGGGCTGTGCGGTGCTCACAGATCTGTGAGGTGGGTAAGGCTGCCAATGGCCGTGGGGAAGGGCCCTGGCAGCCCTGCCGGCACTTGCTCCGCTGTGAGGGTCCTGCCATGTGTGCCGAAAGACAGGACGGAGGGTGGAAGGAGCAGGGAGGAGGGAGGCGGGAGGAGGGAGGAGGGAGGAGGGAGGAGGGAGGAGAGAGGAGAGAGGAGGGAGGAGGGAGGAGGGAGGAGGGAGGAGGGAGGAGGGAGGAGGGAGGAGGGAGGAGAGAGGAGGGAGGATGGAGGAGAGAGGAGGGAGGAGGGAGGAGGGAGGAGGGAGGAGGGAGGAGGGAGGAGGGAGGAGAGAGGAGGGAGGATGGAGGAGAGAGGAGGGAGGAGGGAGGAGGGAGGAGGGAGGAGAGAGGAGGGAGGATGGAGGAGAGAGGAGGGAGGAGGGAGGAGGGAGGAGGGAGGAGGGAGAGGGGTGGGGGGAGCTCAGGAGGCGAGGGAAGGGAGTAGCAGTACTGAGGGCACTTGATTGCGTGAGGGGCGTTCACATGCTCACCACCACTCACATGCTCACCACTCACATGCTCACCACTCGCATGCTCACCACTCGCATGCTCACCACTCGCATGCTCACCACTCGCATGCTCACCACTCGCATGCTCACCACTCGCATGCTCACCACTCACATGCTCACGACTCGCATGCTCACCACTCGCATGCTCACCACTCACATGCTCACGACTCACATGCTCACGACTCACATGCTCACGACTCACATGCTCACGACTCACATGCTCACGACTCACATGCTCACGACTCACATGCTCACGACTCACATGCTCACGACTCACATGCTCACGACTCACATGCTCACGACTCACATGCTCACGACTCACATGCTCACGACTCACATGCTCACGACTCACATGCTCACGACTCACATGCTCACGACTCACATGCTCACGCCTCACATGCTCACGACTCACATGCTCACGACTCACATGCTCACGACTCACATGCTCACGACTCACATGCTCACGACTCACATGCTCACGACTCACATGCTCACGACTCACATGCTCACGACTCACATGCTCACGACTCACATGCTCACGACTCACATGCTCACGACTCACATGCTCACGACTCACATGCTCACGAATCACATGCTCACGACTCACATGCTCACGACTCACATGCTCACGACTCACATGCTCACGACTCACATGCTCACGACTCACATGCTCACGACTCACATGCTCACGACTCACATGCTCACGACTCACATGCTCACGACGAACCCGCCCGCTTCGCACACGAGCCCCGTGGCGGCATCGCAGTTGACTTTTGAGTCGACTCAAAAGGCGGCATCGCAGTTGCCATTGAAAGTAGAGAGGCGGCTTTTGAGGCGCCTTTTGAGGCGGCTTTTGAGGCACCTTTTGAGGCACCTTTTGAGGCACCTCAGAAGAAGTCACTCACATGCTCACGACGAACCCGCCCTCATCGCACGTCAGCCCTGTGGCAGCATCGCAGTTGCCATTGGCGCGCCACTCGTTGAGGCTCACCCCCCACCCCGCCTGCATCTCCAGCAGAGGGGGAACTGGGGGGAGGCGGGGAAGGGAGGACAGGGGTCAGGGGGAAGGATGGGACGGCGGGGGAAAGATGGGGGGATGGGAAGACGGGGGAAGTAGATGAGGTGATGGAAAAAGGGGCAGCGGGTACAGCGGGGTCTGGGAGAAAGTGTGGACAGAGGGGCGGCAGGCGGGGTCAGCAGGGGGACTGTAGGCTCACAGAGCCGCTCTGTACATTCGGAATGGCCACAGTAGGACTGAGAACGGGCAGCAGACGTTTCAAAGACTGCTTTTCAAGAGAACGGGCAGCAGACGTTTCAGTAGAAGTGCCGAGTCGCTGTCGCCCCCTGTGCTCTAGACCACTGGGCCAAAACTGCGATTATTCAGAGGCGCAACGGTGCGCTTTCAGCCCTGCTTAAGTCAGCAGACTTCAAAATCAATAGAACGGGCTGCGAATTGTGCTAGGCGTCGACGGCGCTAGCAGGGACAGCTGCCGGTACATTGCGAGGCGCGAACGACGCGGCGGACAGGGGATTCAAGAAAAACTTCGAAGCGCAGCGCGGCTATACTTTGCGAGGGTCAATGGGGGCGCGAGCCGGCGCCAACGGGGGTGCTCGCGAAGTGCCAATTGCAGCTGTACCTTGCGACTCGCGGCTGTACCTTGCGACTCGCAGCTGTACCTTGCGACTCGCGGCTGTACCTTGCGACTCGCGGCTGTACCTTGCGACTCGTAGCTGTACCTTGCGACTCGCAGCTGTACCTTGCGACTCGCAGCTGTACCTTGCGACTCGCAGCTGTACCTTGCGACTCGCAGCTGTACCTTGCGACTCGCAGCTGTACCTTGCGACTCGCAGCTTTACCTTGCGACTCGTAGCTGTACCTTGCGACTCGTAGCTGTACCTTGCGAGGAGTCAATGAGGACGGCCAAGGAAGCGGGGAGACGAAGCACGAGGAGCGAGGCGAGCAGAGCAACGTGCGACAGGTTGTAGTTGCCGCGGCGACAGGACTCGGCGCGCTTTCGGACCGCGCTGCGGGAGTGTGCGGGCCCTTGGCGAGCGCGGGGAAAGGGTTGTACAGCGGGGAGTGGCGACCAATGCGCCATGCCGAGGCGTCGTGTAGCGCTCAACCCGAAAATTTTGGCCCGGAAATTTGTTTTGAAGTATATAATGCTACAACTCTACCTATTTCGAAATGCTGTACGACTGCGGCACGAAACGTTATTGACTAGGCGGCAATAAAGAGGTGGTGACGCCAAAGTGCTGAATGTATTTTCCTACTATATTTGTAGTGGTGAAACGGAGAGCAAAAGCAAGAATGGAGAGCGCGAAAGCAAGAATGAAGGAAACGGGGAGTGGCGGCAAACAAACGAGAACAAAAAGGGCATTGCCAGGTTCGGTGCTGACATTGAGTTGTCTGGTCTGGTTCGGAAGGAGGCACCCCCCGATTCCATGAGATTAGAATTGAGACCAGAATCGCAAACGGGTGGGTGTGGTTGGAGTTTGATTCCGAGAGGAAAATATCACTTAGCCCTCCATAATCTCCTTTGCTCGGTAATGAGGGTTCTGAAATGGCGTTTATCAGAAATGGACGTCGAGTTCTGAAGCATTCTTCAGCAGAAACAACGGAAAATTTCAGACTACATAGAAATATGTTCGCCGCTGGCGGGGAACCCAAAAACTGGCAATCTTGGTGACAGTGAATGCGCCTCCTCTGAGCTGTTCGGTTCGGGGTGTGCTTCGGCTTGCCAGCGAGCCTGTTCCCTTGCCTCGGCTCGAGTTCTCTCTGGCGTAGCGCTACGGGCTCTACAAAAAAGCAAGAATTTCGCTTATTGAGCGACTTGCTAATGAACCAATCACTCTTGGTACTCAAAAATATCATCTTCAAGTCAAGGTTGCCCAGCCCAATTGATTTGGCATGCTAAAGCAGAAGCATGGGTAGGCATGTCCCACACAGCTAAATTGCATAAACATTTTTTTATAGTAAGCAGGAAAATATAGAAGAGCCCAACAAGCAGACTTCCAAGCTTCTCTCAGGCCTGGATGATAAGAATGAGATTCACAGTAGTGAAATGGTGTGGAAAGCAACTTGTCTACGCATGTTCCCCTAATTGAATATAATTACACAAGAAAACTCTGACAAGACAACATAAGCAAAATGTTATGCCAAGGAATACCGGTACCCTTGACCATCAGAGTGACTTTGAGCGTGTTCCTATCTACGGCCTCATATCAGGCAACCTTGTATCAGATTCTCGTCGAACCGCACTAAAACGCATCCAACCGCAGTCAAACACACTGAAACACATTTCACCACACGAAGCTGATACGAGGTGTGTCTGATACGAGGTCTAGGAACACGCTCTTTTTTATATCACTCTGGTTTAAAAAGAACCAGAGGAAACTCCTCTGATAGAGTAGGCCTCGGTTCAGTGTACATTTCCTAAATCATTCACACCGGTTGCACGGGTTCCTTCCCAGAGCAGGAGGGGTTTTGATGCAGCTGCTTCATTTGCACTTCAGGCTTGCAGAGGCCGGAACAGATCGGTATGTCCCAGACAGCCGCAGCAGAGGGCGTGCAGATGTTCTGGCAGAGCGGCCAGCTCCTCTCATGTGTCACGTTGAAAGCGAGCATCCACGCCCCCATTGTGACATCCTCGCTTACCAACATCCTCAGCCTGCGATCGTGACAGTAACGAGAGAGAGAGTAATGCAGAAAAGAGAGCGAAATTTGGAGGGTAGTAGTTGTTAGAGTTCAAATTGAATAGCAATTTCTGGCAGAGCGGCCAGCAGAGTGCGTGCAGATGTTCTGGCCGAGCGGCCAGCTCCTTTCATGGGTCACGTTGAAGGCGAGCATCCACGCCCCCATTGTCACATCCTCGCTTACCAACATCCTCAGCCTGTAATGCAGAAAAGAGAGCAAATTTTGGAGGGTAGGTGCTAGAGTTTGGGTTGCGGAGCAAAGAATGGAAGGTAGTTGTTAGAGTTTGGGTGGTTAGGAGAGGGGGTGGACGGTGGACCGGACACAGCTCATCTCACTGCAAGGCATGCTGACTTGGTCAGTTCACCTCACTGCAAGGCATGCATAACCATGACTGAGGGTCTTACCTGCCCTTGGGAACGGAGTTGAGAATTCTGACGACACCATAGGAGAGGGAGTAGACGGCGCTGTAGGCATGCAGGAAATACTGCGGCCCCAGCAGTTGCAAGTCCGGCTCTAACCTGCCAAGACCACAACACGAGAAAACAAAAAACAGGAATAGGACTCTTGAAATAAGTCAGGGATGAGTACGAGATCAACCGAAGAGGTCGTCCGGCAAACATTAGGACGTTTAAAATTAGTATGCGACTGCGATAAAAAAACATTAGGAACACTGGGCTGGGTATACACAACTGCTTTAAAATCTGGGTACACCGTATGCTGCTGCATGGGCTGAGAAGGATGCTGAACGAAACAGCAAGCGTGATCGAGGTGTAATATGGGAACTCACTCGCTCGTGTCGGGGTTGGTAACCACGACACCCTTCTTGAAGCATCCAAGGTACGTTCGAGGTGACTTCCTTGGCCTGGCGATCAGAGAAGAGAGGCGCTCTGCAGAGAAGAACAGAAAAAAACCAGCAGAGGGTGGGACTAGTGTGAGTGAGCAAGGACTCTCTCTCAACGTCGTCTGAATGAGCAGGGACTCTCTCAATGCTGAGGGTGTGAATGAGGGTGGGACTGGTGTGAGTGAGCAAGGACTCTCTCAACGTCGTCTGAATGAGCAAGGACTCTCTCAATGCTGAGGGTGTGAGTGAGGGTGGGACTGATGTGAGCGAGCAAGGACTCTCTCAATGCTGCCAAACATTGCCAGCCGCATTGTGTGAGCAACGACTCAGTATTCGCCGGCAACACATGATATGATCCTCAATTCTAAAAAAAAAAAAAAAAAAAAAAAAAAAAAAAAAAACAGCAGCACAGAAAGCATTTGCGCGCACACAGTCACAGTCACAGTCACAGCAGCAACCCTCCGCTACGTGGGTCTCACATGGACGCCCGGATTTGCCTGCCTTGAAGCCCCGTTCCATAGCGCTTGGGCTGTCATAACTCTCAGCCTCACTCAGATCCTGCGGAGATTTAGATGGGCGCACACGCACCTGGTACCAAGAAGATGTCGTCGCTTGCCTGACTTGAAGCCCTGGGGCGATTGAGATGGGCGCACCTGGTACCAAGAAGATGGGCGCACCTGGCATCAAGAAGATGTCGTCGCTTGCCTTGACGTAGAACTCAGCTTCATAGAGCTTGAAGACAGTAGTGAAGTATAGGAGACTGGGGGAAGGGGGATGGGGAAATATATGAACAGGTAGAGAAAGGATAAAGAGGAGTTTTAATACTACTGTATTTTGTTATTGATCAACGTCTAGATAAAAAATGGTATCATACCAATGCAATTTTTTAGAATTCTAAAAAATTGAAAATAAGTAGGCAGCGGCGGAGATGGAAGAAACTCCACAGGAACTACCCCAGGTATGCGGAAGGCATGAGGAAGGTACGAAGAAGGTACGAGGAAGGTACAAGCAATAGGAGCTTCAGATGCAGCAGCAGTACGTGAGGAAGAAGAAGCATACATAGCATAGCAGGCAGGCAGCATTTCACGCTATCTATCATGAAAGGAGAGCCACTGACTCACGTCTTGCGGTTGGCATTGAAGTCTGCCTCATCCACGTCGATCCGAAGCAAGTCCCCGTGAGTGCTGTTCTCCGCCTGCAGCATCTGCTCGTCCTCCGCGCTCCACTCATTCCCGACGATGAACCGAAACACCAGCCCCGTTTTTGTTTCCAAGCTGGAATGCGTGTAGTGGGAGGAAGGGGATGGGGGGAGGGGGAGGATGGGGAGGGCAGGGCACCTGCAGCATCTGCTCGTCCTCCGCGCTCCACTCATTCCTGATGATGAACCGAAACACCAGCCTCGTCGCTGCTTCCACTCTGGTTAGTATGTGAATGGTAGGACAAGGAGGGCGGGGGGAAGGGGGGAAAGAGGCGCAGAGAGGGCACAAGCCATATCAACCGGAACACGTACCGCATCCAAAACACATCATACCGCATTCAAAACACATCATACCGCATCCAAAACACAGCATACCGCATTATAACGCACATCACATCGGGCTCCTGCCGTGCCCAATGATGAACCAAATCGCAAGCCATGTCGCTGCTTCCACCCTGGGAGACTGCTTTTGAGTCGACTCAAAAGCACATCGCATCCAAAGCACATCACATCACATCACATCACATCACATCGGGCTCCTGCCGTGCCCAGTGATGAACCAAATCGCATGCCATGTCGCTGCTTCCACCCTGGGAGACACGCCAAGGTGGAAGGGGGGGAGGGGAAGGGGGGCAGAGAGAGCACGCTCCTTTCCTCCTCATTCACCTCCTTCACCTCGCTCCTGCCGTGGCCGAACCGATGACATCCCATCACATCGCATCACATCCCACATCCCATCACATCCCATCGCATCCCATCACATCCCATCACATCCCATCGCATCCCATCACATCCCATCACATCCCATCACATCCCATCGCATCCCATCCCCATCACATCCCATCACATCCCATCACATCCCATCCCATCCCATCACATCACATCACATCCCATCACATCCCATCACATCCCATCACATCCCATCACATCCCATCACATCCCATCACATCCCATCACATCCCATCCCATCCCATCCCATCCCATCCCATCCCATCCCATCCCATCCCATCCCATCCCATCCCATCCCATCCCATCCCATCCCATCCCATCCCATCCCATCCCATCCCATCCCATCACATCCCATCACATCCCATCGCATCCCATCCCCATCACATCCCATCACATCCCATCCCATCACATCCCATCCCATCACATCCCATCCCATCACATCCCATCACATCCCATCACATCCCATCACATCCCATCACATCCCATCCCCTCGTCCATGCCATGACCGTTGATGGAACGAAACATAGACCTCGTCGCCGCGTTCAAACTACAAGGCACCTCACGACATGCCTCCCGCGATATGCCGCGCGCGACATGCCTTCACGCCCTGCCCCCACGCCCTGCCTTCACGCCATGCCCCCACGCCATCATGCCCCCACGCCATGCCCCTATGAATGGCCTACCGCGCGTGCTCCTCGGGAGTGCCGGGGAACCACGTCTCGCGAAGCAGCGCGCGCCTCTCGCGGCTGGAGAAATCAGTGAACACGTCGACGAACCCCAGCACGCGCTTCCTGCCCGGATACCGCAACCGATCTGCACCCCTTTCGTCCATTCCTCGCGACCCCGGCTCGTTCCTTCCTCGCGAAACCTCGTCCATTCTTCGCGGTTCCGCCTCGTCCAACCCCCGCGGCGCTTCCGCTTCTTCCATCCCCCCCAGGCCCGCCTCCGAGTCGTCCATGCTCCCTCGCAGGCCCGCCAACGGTCCGATCGCGTTGATCGTCGCAACCGGCGGCTCTGAATCGTCGGATTCCGTCCATGCGGGAGCGAGGCAACTGTATCTGAGCACGAGGATATGTAAAAGGAACAAGAGCGGGATGGTTACTAGGAGTAAGAACAAGGACCAGGACGCGCGCGATGACGTCAGCAATCGCGGCTCGGGATTTTGATCCTTCGGGCTCATCAGCGGGTAGAGCCAACGAAACTTCTTTACTGAGTCATTCGCGAATATCTTATGAGGCGACTCAAGAACCATCAGCAGATAACCGCCATCAACTACTAACGGTCTTATCGGAGATTTCATCGGAACAGACATTCTGAGAGCAGACGGAAGGCGAGCAGATGGACGGCTACTACCCTGGCGAAACTACCGGTTGAGGCTACTATCGCTTGGGAAATGCAAACAAAGGTTTTGGTACCGAGCAGCCATGGATTTGGAGCATGATATCTTGAAGAGACGAACCAAACTCGTCGGTCAGCAGCACAAGTCACCACCCCCCAACACTCCATCGTCTTGACGTGACGAGCCGATGTGGTCTTGCCGGCCAGCATCGTCAGTCTGTGAGCGTTGGGCTTGGGGGCATGGAGTAGAGATTGTCGTGGTGCTCCGTAGAACAGCGATGGAGGTCAAGCATTTCGGCAACTTGGAGTGGAGGTTGTGAAAAGTAGTTACGAAAGTGGTTTCAGCCGTTGACAACCCGGCGGTGTTCTCAAGGCCACCCGTTATCAGGCATCTGGCGCTCGCACATCGTATCGCTTATCCGATTATATGGAGGGTACAGTTTGAGAAGGGATCCAGGTGTACATATCAGTTTGTTAAAGGAATGCAGTGCGCATATTCAATACAAAGAGGCCATGTGGGTTATTATTCAGCCAGAATCTCTTAATGATCTTAACAAGTTTACATTTCCTTCATTCCGTCTAAAACACCGCTCACCCACATTCGCCATTTTTTTGCAACAAACAGGCATGTCTCACACAGCCAGATCAAACATCATAGGTATACGGTACATATCTTTTGCAGAAAGCCCTGCTCGAGTGGGAACCCTAAATATATATAAAAAAAATCAATGGATCACACAACACAATGACAGCAGTAGATGATGGATGGCATATACATTTATTCTGTAGGCATTTCGTAGATCAACCACGCAGCAGTTAAAATGTCCCCGTCCCAGAGCAGGCGGGGTTTTTATGAAGCTCCCTCATCTGCACTTCAGGCTTGCAAAGGCCAGCACAGAGAGAGTCCCAGATTGCCACAGCAGAAAGGGTGCAGTTTTTCCGGCAGAGAGCATAGGACTTCTCGTGCGCCACATCAAAGGCCAGCATCCACGCTCCCACTGACACATCTTCGTTTGTAAACATGCTCAGCCTGCGATCAGGAGAGTAACGAGACGAGAGATGGGAGAACAAGAGTGGGGTTTCAGATCAAACAATAGCTTTTCCTTGCAGTGCTTGTGCTGGATCGTTTCCATATGCGCCCCACCTCGTTACAAGATAGGCGCGACGCTCCTGTTACAAGGCATGCATGACTCACCGATCGCTGGAAATGAAGTTGAGAATTTTGACAAGGCATGGCTCAATAACCAAACGCATGCATGTCTCACCCGTCCGTTGGGATGGCATTGAGGATTTGAACCACGCCATAGGAGAGGGCATAGATGGAGCCAAAAGGATGCACGAAATAATGCGACCCCAGCAGCTCCGACTTGGGTTCAAACCTGCGCAGAACAAAACACAAGAACAGTGGGAAACAAAAACGGTACGAGGTCAGGGATAAGTACTTTTGAGGCGCCTCAAAAGAAAACAGTAAGAGGCCAGGGATAAGTAAGAGAACAGCAAAAAGCGGGTGACGAATAGGATGTTGCATTGTTGACACGACAGCTCAAGGGAACAGGAGAGGTACTCTGACCCCATTATGGCCAAAGGCAGTTAACACACATTAGCAATACTAGATTGACCCAGAAAATAAGGAGCTGGCATTTGAGGCGACTAAAAAGTCACTGTACAGCATGGATGGAGTCATGCACAGAGCGCGAGTCCATGCTGAGTCAAGTGGCATGCACTGTCAAAAGGAATGCCACAGAGCGCGATTTAGGTGTAATTTGGCAACTGACCATCTCTTCTTGGGGTCAGTAATTACAGTTCCCCTCTTGAAGCATCCAAGGTACGTTCGAGGCGAGTCCCTTGGCTTGGCGATCAGAGCAGAGAGGCGGTCTGCAGGGAAAAGAACAGAAACAGGCAGCAGAAGGTAAAACTCCAATGCTGCCAGCAACATTTTATCCTCATCATCAACATTTGATCCTAAAAAAAAAAAACAGAAAAAAAAGCAGCACACAAACATATCTCACGCACAATTATAGCCGGCACACGGCTTCTGCGTGGGCTCAAATCGATGTTCACATCACATCTACCCGATTACCACCCGTAGCGCTTGAAGTTTGAGAGGCCTTAAACACTTGGCTTCACAGAGGCTGGGGGTGATGTGAGATGGGCGCACCTGGTATGAGGTAAATGTCATCGTATGCCTGCCTTAAAGCCCTGCTTCATGTTTTGTCAAGTAGATGCGCGTACCTGGTATGAGGTAGATGTCGTCGTCTGCCTTGACGTAGAACTCGGCTTCATAGAGCTTGAAGAGCGCTGTGAAGTACACGAGACTGGGGGATAGGGGATGCGGGATGGGGAAAGGAGTGCTGAGTGTTTGACAATACTTCATAGAGCTTGAAGAGAGTCGTGAAGTATATGAGACTGGGGGACATGGAGAGGAAATCATGAAAGCAGGTGGAAAAAGGAGTGAAAAGAGTTCAGCGAAACAGAAGGTATGCGGAAGGTATGAGGAGGGTATGAAGAGGTTATGAGGAGGGTATGCGTAAGGTATAAGGAAATGAGGAGGGTACGAGCACTAGGAACTTCAGGTGCAGCTGCACAGCACCACGTGAGGAAGAAGCACAATGGCTGCGAGCAAAGAGTCACTCACGTCGCCATCAAGGGAGCACCTCACGTTGCAAGCAGCAAGCAGCAAGCAGCAAGCAAGCAGCAAGCAAGCAGCAAGCAAGCAGCAAGCAGCAAGCAGCAAGCAAGCAGCAAGCAGCAAGCAGCAAGCAAGCAAGCATGCAGCAAGCAAGCAATCAAGCAAGCAGCAAGCAGAAACAGCAAGCAGCAAGCAAGCAAGCAAGCAGCAAGCAGCAAGTAAGCAGCAAGCAAGCAGCAAGCAAGCAAGCAGCAAGCAAGCAAGCAAGCAGCAAGCAAGCAGCAAGCAGCAAGCAAGCAAGCAGCAAGCAGCAAGCAAGCAAGCATGCAGCAAGCAAGCAAGCAAGCAGCAAGCAAGCAAGCAGCAAGCAGAAACAGCAAGCAACAAGCAAGCAAGCAAGCAGCAAGCAGCAAGCAAGCAGCAAGCAAGCAAGCAAGCAGCAAGCAGCAAGCAAGCAAGCAGCAAGCAAGCAGCAAGCAAGCAAGCAAGCGAGCACCTTACGTCTGGCACCTCACCTCACGCTGCCAGCAAGCCAGCACCTCACATCGCCATCACGCGAGCACCTCACTTCTTGTGGTTAAGATTGAGATTGTGTAAGCACCTCACCTTACAAGCAGCAAGCAAGCGAGCACCTCAGGTTACCACAAAGCGAGCACCTCACGTCTTGTGGTTGAGATTGAGATATCCCTTACCCACATCGATGCGAAAAACAATCAGCCACGCGCCATCATAATGCGAGCACCCCACGTTACCATCAAGCGAGCACCTCACGTCTTGTGGTTGAGATTGAGGTATCCCTCATCCACATCAATCCGAAGCAAGTCCCCGTGAGTGCTGTTCTCCGCCTGCAGCAGCTGCTCTTCCTCCGCACTCGCACTGTGCCCCACTATGAACCGAAACGCCAGCCCCAATGCTGCTTCCACCCTGAGAGACACGCCAAAAGGGGGGGGAGAGAAGGGGAGGAACAGAGAGGGCACATATCCTCTTCCTCCGCGCTCGTGCTGTGCCCCACTATGAACCGAAACGCCAGCCCCGTTGCTGCTTCCACCCTGGAGAGTATGTGCATGGTTGAGAACAAGGAGGAAGAACCCGTGAGCGCTGTTCTCCCATCCCATCCCATCCCATCCCATCCCATCCCATCCCATCCCATCCCATCCCATCCCATCCCATTCCATCCCATCCCATCCCATCCCATCCCATCCCATCCCATCCCATCCCACCGCATCCTATCCCATCTCTCGTCCACGGCGCCCTTGTCATGGGGTTCGATGAGAGCATCGCATAGCAATACAAGTACCAGGCGCGTCGACGTTTCTACTCTACATCAGACCTCACATGCGCCACGACATGCGCCATCTCCCCACGACATGCGCCATCTCCCCACGACGTTTCCCCACAAATGATGGCCTACCGCGCGTGCTCCGCGGGCGTGCACCGCGTGCAGCTCACATACCCCCATTTCCCCTCAGGGGCTTCCGAGGCTCGCCGTTTCCCCACGGATGATGGCCTACCGCGCGTGCTCCTCGGGCGTGCCGGGGAACCACGTCTCGCGGAGCAGCGCGCGCTTCCTGCGGTTCTTGAAACCGGTCTGCACCCCGACGAACCCCAGCACGCGCTTCCTCCCCGGGTACCGCAACCGATCTGCACTCCTCTCGTCATCCTCTCTGTTCGGGATGATCATCCCTCGCGCGTCCGCGTCAGTCGTCCCTCGCGGCGTGTCCGCCTTGTCCCTCCCTCGCAAGCCCACCCCGTCCGTCCCTCGCGGCGGGTCCGCAAAGAATTCGACCGCGTCCTCGGCCTCGGTCGCTGCGTCAACCGGCGGCGGCGGCGGCGGCGGCAGTAAGTCGGATTCAGTACTACTCGTCCAATGATGGGAAGCACCGGCGGCGGCGGAGCAGCTGTATCGGAGCACGAGGACGTAAAAAAGGACAAAGAGTGGGACGGCTAGGAGCAGGAAGAAGGACCAGGACACGCGCCATGACGTCAGCACGCGCGGCGCGACGGACGCCTGACTCCCTTTGAAGCTCATCAGCTGGTGGTGGTGAACACAAGGGTTGTTGGAGATTTCACGACCGACTTCGTCAGAAGATAATCGAAAGCTACGACATGGCGAGTTGACTCAACCTCGGAGGTTATCGTTGGGAAAAGAAGTCGGAAAACCGGTTCTACGAAGCAGCTTCGGATTTGCGCGCAAATCGTTTGTACTGCTGCAACCGCCTTCTGCACTCCGTCTGCCGGTGAACGTCGGACCCCCACCCGACGCAACAACGTCGATAGACGCCTAGCCGTCAGCTGACCGCTGGCAGGTACAAACTACTGGAACGACGGTTACCTACCTCCGAAATAGAGAATTAGGGCATCAGGCAATTAGAGCATTAGGACATTAAGAAATTAAAGCATTGCATTAGGGAAATCGAGCACTAGGTCATTAGGGGATTGTCTCTCTCGAATGGTCCTTTCATTGATATAGAACGTGTAGTACACTCAAGGGCAAGTAGAACCAACATGACCTATATCAGACTAACTATTTAGGCAAATGCCATCCATTGCTTTTGCCAGCGGGAAGCTGCCGGAACGACGGGTGGTCTTGACGGCCCGGATTAAAGCTTTCGTATACATTTGAAAGTACTGTTTGTGGTGGAACAGTAGCCACCAAGATTTCGCCCCAACGAAAAGAAAGGGGCTTGGCGAGAGGGGTTGCGAAAATTTGGAGGATTGAGGGGTGGGAACACGAGAAACTCTCCCGTCACCCAACCCTTGAGCGACCCTCACAAACACAATGATAAGCAACTAATTACTAGGAAAGGCCTTGATAGAACTAGCAGCACAACTACTCACCCTGACCTAATCGCCCGTGGTAAGGGGACACGGGGCTATACAAAAGCCTTTAGCTGCAGGGGCGGTTTGCATTCGGATGGGCCGTCGCGTAGCATTCGTCGAGCGATGCCATGCGGCACACGGGCGAGCGCCTCGACGAGTTGCATTATGCTGGCTCGCCGTGATGCAATCGTCGAACCAGCGATAAATTATTCAGTGAGCCGTCGCGTTCCACCCTGCGGGCTTCTCGCCTAGCGCCATCATGCATCGCGAAACCCGCTGATGGCGAAACCCGCTGATAGCGATACCCGCTCCTCGCCAAACACGGTGCTCGCGAAATCCGTTTAGCGCGTCACCCGCTTCTCGCCTCACCCGCCGCATGCCTCACCTGCGAATCGGCAAAATACTTGCCTCACGCGCTGCTTGGCTCATAACCTTATTTCGTCATTTCCCCCCCTTCCGCCTCTCGTTTCCTCAATCTCGTTTCCCCCCCTTCTCCTCTCATTTCCCCCCCTTCCGCCTCTCATTTTCCCGGAGCTCCTCCCTCTCGTTTCCCCCCTTTCTCCCTCTCGTTCCCCCCCCCCTCCGCCTCTCATTTTCCCCCCTCCTGCCTCTCGTTTCCCCCCCTTCTCCATCTCGTTTCCACCCATCCTCCCTCTTGTTTCCCCCCTCCACCCTCTCGTTTCCCCCCCTTCTCCCTCTCGTTCCCCCCCCATCCGCCTCTCCTTTCCTCCCCTTCCGCCTCTCGTTTCCCCCCCTTCTCCCTCTCATTTCCCCCCCTCCTCCCTCTCGTTTCCCCCCCTTCCCCCTCTCGTTTCCTCTCCTTCTCCTCTCATTTCCCCAACTTCTCCCTCTCATTTCCCCCTTTCTCCCTCTCATTTCCCTCTTCCCCCTCTCATTTCCCCGCTTTCCCCCTCTCGTTTCCCCCCCTTCTCCCTCTCATTTCCCCCCCCTCCTCCCTCTCGTTTCCCCCGCTCTTCCCTCTCGTTTCCCCCCTTTCTCCCTCTCGTTTTCCCCCCTTCCGCCTCTCATTTCCCCCCTTTCCCCCTCTCGTTTCCCCCCCTTATCAATCTCGTTTTCCCCCCTTCTCCCTCTCATTTCCCCCCCTCCTCCCTCTCGTAACTCCCCCTTCCCCCTCTCGTATTCCCCCCTTCCCCCTCTCATTTCTCCCCCTCCTCCCTCTCGTTTCCCACCCTTCCGCCTCTCGTTTCCCCTCCTCCTCTCATTTCCCCAACTTCTCCCTCTCATTTCCCCCCTTCTCCCTCTCATTTCCCTCTCTTCCCCCTCTCATTTCCCCGCTTTCCCCCCTCTCGTTTCCCCCCCTTCTCCCCCTCATTTTCCCCCTTTCTTCCTCTCATTTCCCCCCCCTGCTCCCTCTCATTTCCCCCCCCTGCTCCCTCTCATTTCCCCCCCTGCTCCCTCTCATTTCCCCCCCTGCTCCCTCTCATTTCCCCCCCTGCTCCCTCTCATTTCTCCCCCTGCTCACCCTCAATTCCCCCCTTTCTCCCTCTTCATTTCCCCCTCTCCTTCCCCTCATTTCGCCCTCTCCTTCTCCTCATTCACCTTACCCTCATCTCCCCATCTCGTTTCTCGCATTTCCCCTACTCCGTCCCCTTGTTTCCCCCTCTCCCCTCATTTCATCCTCTCGTTCCTCTTGTTTCCCACATTTCCCCTTATCCGTCCTCTCCTCTCCCTTTCTCCGTCCCCTCCTTTACCCCTCCTTCCCCTCATTTTCCCCTCTCCCTCCCCTCATTCCCCCCTCTCCTTTCCCTCATTTCCCCCCTCCTTACCCTTCCCTGCCCCCACCCTGCCGGCAGGTGAGTGTGCTCATGCTGCTGGCGCGCGTGAGGGAGCTGCAGCGCCCTCACATGCTGCACAGTCCTTCCCCTCCTCCCCCCTTTGCTTACCCTTCCTTACTTCCCCCCGTGCAACCCTTGCTCCCCCTTTGCTTCCCCTCCCTTCCCCTCCAGCTTACCCTCTGTTTCTTCTGCAGCTTGCCCTTGTCTATAATTTTGTTTGTTTGTTTTTTTTCAACAGCACGACACGAAGGACATCAGGGCTTCTCATTCTGAGTGCTGCTCTTTGCAGCTTAGTGAAACCAAATCAATAGGCAGGAAGTTCCAGCTTGTGTGTGCTGTTAGCGTATCAATCAAGTGAATTGATAGCATAGCATAGCATGTCATAATACATTGAAAATGTTGATGACTGTACCTAGACACAACTTCCCTTCTTTGCGTACAGCATCCTTGCATGATGCACATGGGCACAGCACAGCATTGTATGCGACATCTGACGTGTGTTGTACTCAACTCAAGATACATGGAGGGTTGTCCTCTGCTCTAGCTGGTCATAATTTGTTCAACACTTGTTGAAGAGAGCTGAAAAGAGAGAAAGGCAGCAGGAGAGGGGAAAAGAGGGAAAGGCAGGAGGATCGTGAAAAAGAGGGGAAGGGTAATGCAGGGAGGGGAGGGTAATGCAGGGAGGGGAAGGGTAATGCAGGGAGGGGAAGGGTAATGCAGGGAGGGGAAGGGTAATGCAGGGAGGGGAAGGTAATGCAGGGAGGGGAAGGGTAATGCAGGGAGGGGAAGGGTAATGCAGCGAGGGGAAGGGTAATGCAGGGAGGGGAAGGGTAATGCAGGGAGGGGAAGGGTAATGCAGCGAGGGGAAGGGTAATGCAGGGAGGGGAAGGGTAATGCAGCGAGGGGAAGGGTAATGCAGGGAGGGGAAGGGTAATGCAGCGAGGGGAAGGGTAATGCAGGGAGGGGAAGGGTAATGCAGGGAGGGGAAGGGTAATGCAGGGAGGGGAAGGGTAATGCAGGGAGGGGAAGGGTAATGCAGGGAGGGGAAGGGTAATGCAGGGAGGGGAAGGGTAATGCAGGGAGGGGAAGGGTAATGCAGGGAGGGGAAGGGTAATGCAGGGAGGGGAAGGGTAATGCAGGGAGGGGAAGGGTAATGCAGGGAGGGGAAGGGTAATGCAGGGTGGGGAAGGGTAATGCAGGGAGGGGAAGGGTAATGCAGGGAGGGGAAGGGTAATGCAGCGAGGGGAAGGGTAATGCAGGGAGGGGAAGGGTAATGCAGGGAGGGGAAGGGTAATGCAGCGAGGGGAAGGGTAATGCAGCGAGGGGAAGGATAATGCAGGGAGGGGAAGGGTAATGCAGGGAGGGGAAGGGTAATGCAGGGAGGGGAAGGGTAATGCAGGGAGGGGAAGGGTAATGCAGGGTGGGGAAGGGTAATGCAGGGAGGGGAAGGGTAATGCAGGGAGGGGAAGGGTAATGCAGGGAGGGGAAGGGTAATGCAGGGAGGGGAAGGGTAATGCAGGGAGGGGAAGGGTAATGCAGGGAGGGGAAGGGTAATGCAGGGAGGGGAAGGGTAATGCAGGGTGGGGAAGGGTAATGCAGCGAGGGGAAGGGTAATGCAGGGAGGGGAAGGGTAATGCAGGGAGGGGAAGGGTAATGCAGGGAGGGGAAGGGTAATGCAGGGAGGGGAAGGGTAATGCAGGGAGGGGAAGGGTAATGCAGGGAGGGGAAGGGTAATGCAGGGAGGGGAAGGGTAATGCAGGGAGGGGAAGGGTAATGCAGGGAGGGGAAGGGTAATGCAGGGAGGGGAAGGGTAATGCAGGGAGGGGAAGGGTAATGCAGGGAGGGGAAGGGTAATGCAGGGAGGGGAAGGGTAATGCAGGGAGGGGAAGGGTAATGCAGGGAGGGGAAGGGTAATGCAGGGAGGGGAAGGGTAATGCAGGGAGGGGAAGGGTAATGCAGGGAGGGGAAGGGTAATGCAGGGAGGGGAAGGGTAATGCAGGGAGGGGAAGGGTAATGCAGGGAGGGGAAGGGTAATGCAGGGAGGGGAAGGGTAATGCAGGGAGGGGAAGGGTAATGCAGGGAGGGGAAGGGTAATGCAGGGAGGGGAAGGGTAATGCAGGGAGGGGAAGGGTAATGCAGGGAGGGGAAGGGTAATGCAGGGAGGGGAAGGGTAATGCAGGGAGGGGAAGGGTAATGCAGGGAGGGGAAGGGTAATGCAGGGTGGGGAAGGGTAATGCAGGGAGGGGAAGGGTAATGCAGGGGGGAAATGAGAGGGAGAAGCGGGGAAAATAATGAGGAGAAGGGGGGGGAATGAGAGGGGGAAGGGGGGTAAACGAGAGGGGGTGGCGGGAAGGGGTAATGGGGAGCGGGAATGGGAAATGGGGAGGCGGGAAGGGGTAATGGGGAGCGGGAAGGGGAAACAGGGAGGTGGGAAGGGGAAGCGGGGAGCGGGAAGGGGAAACGTGCAGGCTGGAACGAGAATTGAGGAGTAGAGAAGGGAAAACGGGGAGGCGGGAATGGGAAATGGGGAGCGGGAAGGGGAAACGGGGAGGCGGGAATGGGTAATGGGGAGCGAGAAGGGGAAACGGGAAGGTGGGAAGGGGAAACGGGGAGCGGGAAGGGGAAACGGGGAGGCGGGAATGGGTAATGGGGAGCGGGAAGGGGAAACGAGAAGGTGGGAAGGGGAAACGGGGAGCGGGAAGGGGAAAAGGGGAGCGGGAAGGGGAAACGGGGAGGCGAGAAGGGGAAACGGGGAGCGGGACGGGGAAACGGGAAGGCGGGAAGGGGAAACGGGAACGGGACGGGGAAACGGGGAGGCGGGAAGGGGAAGTCGGGAGCGGGAAGGGGAAACGGGGAGGCGGGAACGGGAATTGGGGAGGCAGGAAGGGGAAACGGGAAGGCGGGAAGGGGTAATGGGGAGCGGGAAGGGAAAACGGGGAAGCGGGAAGGGGTAATGGGGAGCGGAAAGGGGAAACGGGGAGGCGGGAAGGGGTAATGGGGGGCGGGAAGAGGAAACGGAGAGGCGGGAAGGGGAAACGGGGAGCGGGAAGGGGAATTGGGGAGGCGGGCAAGGGGAAACGGGGAGGCGGGAAGGGGTACTGGGGAGCAGAAAGGGGAAACGAGGAGGCTGGAACGCGAATTGGGGTGGCAAGAAGGGAAACGAGGAGGCGGGAAGGGGTTGGAAGCTCCCGTTTCTGCAGTCGTTCGCGCACTCAAGTGCGGCTGCCGGGGCTAGTGCGGAAACGTGGTAGCGAGGCTGTGCGATCGGGCCGCGACTGTGATAGTGCGTGTTCGGCAGTTTGAGACGAGTCGTACGCGTTCACGGTGGCGTGAGGAGGCAGCGTCGTGAGGCGACACGACGGACGACGAGGCGAGGCCGTGAGAGGAGGTCCCGCGGGATCGCTGCGTGAGAGGGCGGAACTGACGTTGGTTTATCCCTATAATTACACTAAACTGCCCCACGCGTCTAGGTTTGTGTCGGAAACGAGGGTAATTTGCGCTGGCTGTTGAGTCGCGATGTGCTTAGCTACGTATTATGCTGCCCGTAGAGCGTACTGGCGTAGATCTCACGTAGGCTGGATTTCGTATACTTTTGTCGACCCAAAAGTTTTGAATCACCAGCTAGTGCTGGGTGTCGGGGAGATCTCCCTCCCTTGTTCAGAGAGTGAACTAGCTGTAATTGGGTTACCAATATTTCAAATCTCAAAACTTTTGAACCTCCCTCTTTCAAATGTATACAAAAGCTTTAAACTCCCTGAAATTTACTGTACAGTTCCGTACTTATCTGCCCGTCATATCTGTGAGCGTGTCAACCAAGTGAGTTGAAATTAGCGCGCGGAGGAGAAAGAATCGCCAGGCCTTTCTGCTGGCAGTGGCTGCTGACACCGCATTCCACCACGCCTGGTCTTTTCTAAGTCGGTTCAAAACGCATCCCACCACTTCTTCACCTGTGACGGCTGCCACTTTTTTTCACCAACCTCAACCGCATTTCTATGCGATATAGCATTGCAAGATAATGCCTTTTAAGGATTATGGTGGAATTAGTTTGGGTACATTATAATAATTTAGGGAGTACGATATTGTTTCCTCCCACTCATGGGGGTAACTACGAAACGGACCTGGCGATATAGAAACCTACCCCCGCATAAGCTACCCAGTGGTCTTCAATGGGGAAGAGGGAGTCTTTTAACTGGGGAATTATGTACATCTTGGGCAGGTGATCTCGCAATCTTGCGAAAGATTATCCAACCAAAAGAGGTCGTTTTAAACTTGGGCTTGCACTGTACTCGGGCTTTGTACTGGCAGTTTCCCGGCGCAAGCAGGGTTTTCATGTAACTCCTTCATTCGCACATTAGGATTGCAGACGCCCGAACATCTGAAATCCCAGATAGCCACAGCAGAGGGCGAGCATCTTGGCTGGCAGAGAGACATTGCTTTCTGATGCGACGCGTTAAAGGCGAGCATCCATGCTCCCACACTCGAATCCTCGTTCACAAACATCCTCAGCCTGCGACCGTGAGAGCAACGAGACGGGAGATGGGAGAACAAGGTACGACTTTTGAGCAACAAGAACTTTTGACGCGCTCCCGCATTCTCGCTTCCTCGTTCACAAACATCAGCCTGCGAGGATAAGAGTTGGTACGATAACAGAAACAGAGATGGGAGAGCAAGTGGGAGAGCAAGAGTTGGGCAAAAATACTAAAAACAGGTTACAGCCCTTTCTTGCAGTGCTTGTACTGAATAGTCCTGTATCCGTCAGAGAACCCCTCCCTCGCAGGCTGAAGATATTGGCTGCTGAGTGTATTGGCTGCTGCGTGTATTGGCTGCTGAGTGTATTGGCTGCTGAGTGTATTGGCTGCTGAGTGTATTGGCTGCTGCGTGTATTGGCTGCTGCGTGTATTGGCTGCTGAGTGTATTGCCTGCTGAGTGTATTGGCTGCTGCGTATATTGGCTGCTGCGTGTATTGGCTGCTGAGTGTATTGGCTGCTGTATTGGCTGCAGACCACTCACACATCCCACCTCATTGCAAGGCATGCACGGCTCACCTCATCACAAGGCATGCACGGCTCACCTCATCACAAGGCATGCACGGCTCACCTCATCACAAGGCATGCACGGCTCACCTCATCACAAGGCATGCACGGCTCACCTCATCACAAGGCATGCACGGCTCACCTCGCCACAAGGCATGCACGGCTCACCTCATCACAAGGCATGCACGGCTCACCTCATCACAAGGCATGCACGGCTCACCTCATCACAAGGCATGCACGGCTCACCTCATCACAAGGCATGCACGGCTCACCTCATCACAAGGCATGCACGGCTCACCTCATCACAAGGCATGCACGGCTCACCTCATCACAAGGCATGCACGGCTCACCTCATCACAAGGCATGCACGGCTCACCTCATCACAAGGCATGCACGGCTCACCTCATCACACGGCATGCACGGCTCACCTCATCACAAGGCATGCACGGCTCACCTCATCACAAGGCATGCACGGCTCACCTCATCACAAGGCATGCACGGCTCACCTCATCACAAGGCATGCACGGCTCACCTCATCACAAGGCATGCACGGCTCACCTCATCACAAGGCATGCACGGCTCACCTCATCACAAGGCATGCACGGCTCACCTCATCACAAGGCATGCACGGCTCACCTCGCCACAAGGCATGCACGGCTCACCTCATCACAAGGCATGCACGGCTCACCTCATCACAAGGCATGCACGGCTCACCTCATCACAAGGCATGCACGGCTCACCTCATCACAAGGCATGCACGGCTCACCTCATCACAAGGCATGCACGGCTCACCTCATCAAAAGGCATGCACGGCTCACCTCATCACAAGGCATGCACGGCTCACCTCATCACAAGGCATGCACGGCTCACCTCATCACAAGGCATGCACGGCTCACCTCATCACAAGGCATGCACGGCTCACCTCATCACAAGGCATGCACGGCTCACCTCATCACAAGGCATGCACGGCTCACCTCATCACAAGGCATGCACGGCTCACCTCATCACAAGGCATGCACGGCTCACCTCATCACAAGGCATGCACGGCTCACCTCATCACAAGGCATGCACGGCTCACCTCATCACAAGGCATGCACGGCTCACCTCATCACAAGGCATGCACGGCTCACCTCATCACAAGGCATGCACGGCTCACCTCATCACAAGGCATGCACGGCTCACCTCGCCACAAGGCATGCACGGCTCACCTCGCCACAAGGCATGCACGGCTCACCTCATCACAAGGCATGCACGGCTCACCTCGCCACAAGGCATGCACGGCTCACCTCATCACAAGGCATGCACGGCTCACCTCATCACAAGGCATCCACGGCTCACCTCATCACAAGGCATGCACGGCTCACCTCATCACAAGGCATGCACGGCTCACCTCATCACAAGGCATGCACGGCTCACCTCATCACAAGGCATGCACGGCTCACCTCATCACAAGGCATGCACGGCTCACCTCGCCACAAGGCATGCACGGCTCACCTCATCACAAGGCATGCACGGCTCACCTCATCACAAGGCATGCACGGCTCACCTCGCCACAAGGCATGCACGGCTCACCTCACCACAAGGCATGCACGGCTCACCTCATCACAAGGCATGCACGGCTCACCTCATCACAAGGCATGCACGGCTCACCTCATCACAAGGCATGCACGGCTCACCTCGCCACAAGGCATGCACGGCTCACCTCACCCACCCTTGGGGGTGGAGTTGGAAATATTGGCAGGGCATGACTCAGCAACCTAGAGAAATCTCAGCATGCTCACCAGCCCTTGGGAAGGAAGTTGAGAATTTTGACGACGTCGTAGGAGAGGGCGTAGATGGGACCGGACACGTACGTGAAATACCATGCACAGCTCACCTCGTTGCAAGACAAGCGCAACTCACCAGCCCTTGGGGAGGAAGTTGAGAATTTTGACGACGTCGTAGGAGAGGGCGTAGATGGGACCGGACACGTACGTGAAATACCATGCACAGCTCACCTCGTTGCAAGACAAGCGCAGCTCACCAGCCCTTGGGGAGGAAGTTGAGAATTTTGACGACGTCGTAGGAGAGGGAGTAGATGGGACCGGACGCGTACGTGAAATACCATGCACAGCTCACCTCGTTGCAAGACAAGCGCAGCTCACCAGCCCTTGGGGAGGAAGTTGAGAATTTTGACGACGTCGTAGGAGAGGGAGTAGATGGGACCGGACGCGTACTTGAAATACTCCGGTCCCAGCAGCCACGCCTGGGGCTCAAACCTGCACAGCAGAACAGAACGCAAGAAGAAAGGCGGAAAGGAAGCAGAGGTAGAGATTAGGGACGAGTACGAGAGGAAGTAGATGGGACCAGACGTGTAGGTAGATGGGACCAGACGCGTACTTGAAATACTCCGGCCCCAGCAGCCACGCCTGGGCTGGGGCTCAAACCTGCACAGCAGAACAGGAACAGGAAGAGGTTGAAAACGAGTACGAGAGCAGCGGTGAGCAGGTTAGGGATACGTTGTTGCATTGTTTTGCAAGGTAGCTCACGACGAGAACAGAACAGCAGGAGAGGTCGTCCAGGTTGACTGCATTTCATAACACTAGGTAGGAAGAGCACTAGCAAGACCCGTCTGCTTCAAAATCGAGTACACCAAATGCTGCATGGTCCAAGGGAGCAGCCAAAAGGAGCCAGCGAGCGTGACCTAGGTGCAATATGGCAACTCACCACTTCTTCTTGGGGTTAGTAATCACAATTCCCCTTTGGAAGCAGCCAATGTACGTTCGAGTTGACTCCCTTGGCCTGGCGATCAGAGAAGAGAGGCGGTCTGCAGGGACGAACAGAAACAGGCAGCAGAGGGTGGGGGGGTGTGTGAGCAAGGACTCTCTCAGTGTCGCCAGCAACGTACGATCCTCATCATCAGAGCATAAACGCATGACATGCCGCGCGTACGATCCACATCATCAGAGCATAAACGCATGACATGCCGCGCGTACGATCCCCATCATCAGAGCATGAGCGCATCGCATGACATGCCGCGCGTACGACCCTCATCATCTTCTTAGAACCCAGCTTCACAGAGCCATGTGAGTGAGATGTGAGGAGGGCGCACCTGGCATCAAGAAAATGTCATCGTCTGCCTTGACGTAGTGCTCGGCTTCATAGAGCTTGAAGAGAGTCGTGAAGTACACAAGACTGGGGGAAGGGGGATGGGAGGAAATCATGAGAGCAGGTGAAGAAATGAGTCAGGAGAGCTTAACAATGCTGAAAGGTACGAGGAAGTTATGAGGAAGGTACATGCATTAGCAGCTTCACGTGAGTAAGAATCATAACAACACCGTATCACCTCATGCTGTCATAATAAAGAGCCTCTCTCATCGCCATCAGGCGAGCCTCTCACAACGCAATCACTCGAGCCCCTCACATCGCGAGGAAGAAGCATAACAGCAGTGAGCAAGGAGCCACCCATTTCGCCATCAAGCGAGCCCCTCTCATCGCCATCAAGCGAGCCCCTCTCATCGCCATCAAGCGAGCCCCTCTCATCGCCATCAAGCGAGCCCCTCTCATCGCCATCAAGCGAGCCCCTCTCATCGCCATCAAGCGAGCCCCTCTCATCGCCATCAAGCGAGCCCCTCTCATCGCCATCAAGCGAGCCCCTCTCATCGCCATCATGTGAGCCTCTCACATCGCCATTACGCGAGCCCCTTACGTCTTGCGGCTGAGTCTGAGAGGTACGCCTCTCGCACGTCGTGACTTCAAGTCTACTCAAAAATCACCACGTTACAATGGCACATGCCCTCACGTCGCCATCGCGCGAGCCACTTACGTCTTGTGGTTGAGATTGAGGTACGACTCGTCGACATCAACGCGCAGGAAGTCCCCGTGAGTGCTGTTCTCCGCCTGCAGTAGCTGCTCGTCCTCCGCGCTCGTGCTGTGCCCGATGAACCGAAACACCAGCCCCGTTGCTGCTTCCACCCTGCGCAACACGCAGAGGTTGGCGGGCGGCAGTGTGGGGAGGGAGGTGGGAGGGGGAGGGGGGGGGGGGGGGGGGGGGAGGAGGTGAGGAGAAAACGCATCTTATCGTTGCGGCTCCTCGTCCACTGCGCTCGTGACGTGCCTGCCCCCCCACTTGTGCTCCTGCCATGCCCCATGATGAACTGAAACACCCGCCACACGTCGCTGCTTCCACTCCGGAACACGCCAAACGGTGTGTGTGTGGGGGGGGGGGGGGGGAAGAGAGGGGGAAGAAATCGTGGGGCGCATCTCCTCGTTCACCACCTCGCTCCTGCTGTGTGATGAGTCAATTTTTGAGTTGACTCAAAAGGAGAGAGAGGGGGAAGAAATCGTGGGGCGCATCTCCTCGTTCACGACCTCGCTCCTGCCGTGTGATGAGTCTATTTTTGAGTCGACTCAAAAGGAGAGAGAGGGGGAAGAAATCGTGGGGCGCATCTCCTCGTTCACGACCTCGCTCCTGCCGTGTGATGAGTCTATTTTTGAGTCGACTCAAAAGGAGAGAGAGGGGGAAGAAATCGTGGGGCGCATCTCCTCGTTCACCACCTCGCTCCTGCCGTGTGATGAGTCTATTTTTGAGTCGACTCAAAAGGAGAGAGAGGGGGAAGAAATCGTGGGGCGCATCTCCTCGTTCACGACCTCGCTCCTGCCGTGTGATGAGTCTATTTTTGAGTCGACTCAAAAGGAGAGAGAGGGGGAAGAAATCGTGGGGCGCATCTCCTCGTTCACCACCTCGCTCCTGCCGTGTGATGAGTCTATTTTTGAGTCGACTCAAAAGGAGAGAGAGGGGGAAGAAATCGTGGGGCGCATCTCCTCGTTCACGACCTCGCTCCTGCCGTGTGATGAGTCTATTTTTGAGTCGACTCAAAAGGAGAGAGAGGGGGAAGAAATCGTGGGGCGCATCTCCTCGTTCACCACCTCGCTCCTGCCGTGTGATGAGTCTATTTTTGAGTCGACTCAAAAGGAGAGAGAGGGGGAAGAAATCGTGGGGCGCATCTCCTCGTTCACGACCTCGCTCCTGCCGTGTGATGAGTCTATTTTTGAGTCGACTCAAAAGGAGAGAGAGGGGGAAGAAATCGTGGGGCGCATCTCCTCGTTCACCACTTCGCTCCTGCCGTGTGATGAGTCTATTTTTGAGTCGACTCAAAAGGAGAGAGAGGGGGAAGAAATCGTGGGGCGCATCTCCTCGTTCACGACCTCGCTCCTGCCGTGTGATGAGTCTATTTTTGAGTCGACTCAAAAGGAGAGAGAGGGGGAAGAAATCGTGGGGCGCATCTCCTCGTTCACGACCTCGCTCCTGCCGTGTGATGAGTCTATTTTTGAGTCGACTCAAAAGGAGAGAGAGGGGGAAGAAATCGTGGGGCGCATCTCCTCGTTCACGACCTCGCTCCTGCCGTGTGATGAGTCTATTTTTGAGTCGACTCAAAAGGAGAGAGAGGGGGAAGAAATCGTGGGGCGCATCTCCTCGTTCACCACCTCGCTCCTGCCGTGTGATGAGTCTATTTTTGAGTCGACTCAAAAGGAGAGAGAGGGGGAAGAAATCGTGGGGCGCATCTCCTCGTTCACGACCTCGCTCCTGCCGTGTGATGAGTCTATTTTTGAGTCGACTCAAAAGGAGAGAGAGGGGGAAGAAATCGTGGGGCGCATCTCCTCGTTCACCACCTCGCTCCTGCCGTGTGATGAGTCTATTTTTGAGTCGACTCAAAAGGAGAGAGAGGGGGAAGAAATCGTGGGGCGCATCTCCTCGTTCACGACCTCGCTCCTGCCGTGTGATGAGTCTATTTTTGAGTCGACTCAAAAGGAGAGAGAGGGGGAAGAAATCGTGGGGCGCATCTCCTCGTTCACGACCTCGCTCCTGCCGTGTGATGAGTCTATTTTTGAGTCGACTCAAAAGGAGAGAGAGGGGGAAGAAATCGTGGGGCGCATCTCCTCGTTCACCACCTCGCTCCTGCCGTGTGATGAGTCTATTTTTGAGTCGACTCAAAAGGAGAGAGAGGGGGAAGAAATCGTGGGGCGCATCTCCTCGTTCACGACCTCGCTCCTGCCGTGTGATGAGTCTATTTTTGAGTCGACTCAAAAGGAGAGAGAGGGGGAAGAAATCGTGGGGCGCATCTCCTCGTTCACCACTTCGCTCCTGCCGTGTGATGAGTCTATTTTTGAGTCGACTCAAAAGGAGAGAGAGGGGGAAGAAATCGTGGGGCGCATCTCCTCGTTCACGACCTCGCTCCTGCCGTGTGATGAGTCTATTTTTGAGTCGACTCAAAAGGAGAGAGAGGGGGAAGAAATCGTGGGGCGCATCTCCTCGTTCACGACCTCGCTCCTGCCGTGTGATGAGTCTATTTTTGAGTCGACTCAAAAGGAGAGAGAGGGGGAAGAAATCGTGGGGCGCATCTCCTCGTTCACCACTTCGCTCCTGCCGTGTGATGAGTCTATTTTTGAGTCGACTCAAAAGGAGAGAGAGGGGGAAGAAATCGTGGGGCGCATCTCCTCGTTCACGACCTCGCTCCTGCCGTGTGATGAGTCTATTTTTGAGTCGACTCAAAAGGAGAGAGAGGGGGAAGAAATCGTGGGGCGCATCTCCTCGTTCACGACCTCGCTCCTGCCGTGTGATGAGTCTATTTTTGAGTTGACTCAAAAGGAGAGAGAGGGGGAAGAAATCGTGGGGCGCATCTCCTCGTTCACCACCTCGCTCCTGCCGTGTGATGAGTCTATTTTTGAGTCGACTCAAAAGGAGAGAGAGGGGGAAGAAATCGTGGGGCGCATCTCCTCGTTCACGACCTCGCTCCTGCCGTGTGATGAGTCTATTTTTGAGTCGACTCAAAAGGAGAGAGAGGGGGAAGAAATCGTGGGGCGCATCTCCTCGTTCACCACTTCGCTCCTGCCGTGTGATGAGTCTATTTTTGAGTCGACTCAAAAGGAGAGAGAGGGGGAAGAAATCGTGGGGCGCATCTCCTCGTTCACGACCTCGCTCCTGCCGTGTGATGAGTCTATTTTTGAGTCGACTCAAAAGGAGAGAGAGGGGGAAGAAATCGTGGGGCGCATCTCCTCGTTCACGACCTCGCTCCTGCCGTGTGATGAGTCTATTTTTGAGTTGACTCAAAAGGAGAGAGAGGGGGAAGAAATCGTGGGGCGCATCTCCTCGTTCACCACCTCGCTCCTGCCGTGTGATGAGTCTATTTTTGAGTCGACTCAAAAGGAGAGAGAGGGGGAAGAAATCGTGGGGCGCATCTCCTCGTTCACGACCTCGCTCCTGCCGTGCCCGGTGATGGACTGGAACACAACACCAGGCCTGTTTCTGCTTCCCCGTTGAGAAACACGTTTTACGGAGAGGACGGGCAGGGGAAGGTTCTGGGAGGGCACATCCCATCCCACCGCATCCCACTGCCATCCCACCCCCATCCCACCGACCTCCTCCCACCGCATCCCACCGCATCCCACCGCAGCCCACCGCAGCCCACCGCAGCCCACCGCAGCCCACCGCATCCATTCGCATCCCTTCGCATCCCAACGTTTCCGGGATTCCTCAAAAGTCGCTTCCGGAAGACAAATTCGTGGGTTTCCTCCCCTCTTCGATGAGCCGTCACCGCTTCCGTTCTATATGCACCTCAAATGCCCCCACGACGCACATCCCTCTACCCCATGCCGCCCCCACGCCGTTTCCGTATGGATGGCGTACCGCGCGTGCTCCTCGGGCGTGGCGGGGAACCACGCCTCGCGAAGCAGAGCGCGCCTCTTGCCGCTGCCGAAACCGGTCTGCACCCCGACGAACCCCAGCACGCGTTTCCTGCCCGGGTATTGCAACCGATCTGCACCCCTCTCGTCCATCCCGCCTGGAGATTCCGCCATCGGTCCGACCGCCGGTGCGGCTGCGGCAACGGGCTGAGACTCGGCCGATTCATTCGTCGAATTCGCTTCGCGAACCGGTTGTAACTCGGCGGACTCATTCGTCGCGCTCGCTGCGGCCGCAAGCGGCTGTAACTCGGCGAAGTCACTCGTCGCTGCGGCAAGCGGCTGTAGTACTAATTGGGATGTAGTAGTCGTCCAATGATCGTATCTAAGAACGAGGATGTCTAAAAGGAGGAAAAAGAGCACGGCTAGTTGGAGCAGAAAGAGGGACCAAGACACGCGCCATGACGTCAGCGATTGCGGCGGCTCGACGTACGTCTGACCCTCGGAGCCCATGAGCGTCAATGAAAGGCCGCCTTTAATACTACCGGTTCGCGTATATCTTTGAGGCGCCTCAAAAACCATTGGCGGATAAAAGTCACTGAAGTATTCTACAAATGTCCGGGCCGATCCTACAGGGGGGATCTTTCAGTATTTCCACTCGGAGGGGACTTGGAGGGGACTCAAGAATCACCTAGTTACAATGGTATTTCCGTAACTTTTACTGTCCTACCATGGCGGGAACCAGCGCCGGTTGAGGATCGCTTGGGAAAAAGAGACGCGAATATCTCGGTCCTGGCGAGCAGCCATGGACTAACTACTAGGAGCTGTGGTTATACTCCGTCATGCGATGGAAACGCAAACGAAACTCTTCAGGCACTGCTGCCACTGTGGAAGCTGGAACGTCGGTTGTCTTTGAATTGAAGGCCCCACAGGTCGTGTGATGGGGAGGGAGGAGAGGAATGCCGTGTTTGGTTTGGCTGGGATCCCGAACGAATCCCCTTATCAAATCAACGGCTTCGCTAGCTCGCCCCGAGCCTGTCTCTTTGGTCAGGGCTGGGGAGCTGGGGCCAGAACGCATCCAAACCAAGCAACGCCGTCACCTGAGGGCTGAGCCGGCTGTGCTGACTGTTGCTGCTGGTTCCGTCGTACATTGTTTCCTTTCCACCTGCTCACCGACATTTTCAAGATGTGATATAGCGAAACGCGATGCATAGCACTACTGAAGGTAAGGATGTCATACTTCATAGGTTGGTAAACATAATGACAATGACATGATCTTTGTACTTCAAACAAATGCTTTAAGACATAATGTGCAAACTTCATATTTCTATATTTATAAAAAAGACAACAAAATTCTTTTAATAAGCTAGCAGAGAGAACCCACTAAACAATATAGTGCGCATTTCTCCATTAATTACGGTAGACAATGCTAGTTCTTTGTTTGGCTGAAATATTCGAACTGATCAAGGTTTTAGGTTGTGGTTATTACATTCATTGGTTACCCCATTTTAGGTGGAGTGCGCAGAATGCAATAATGAGGAAGTGATTACAACTACTGCCTAAATAATGAAGCCTAGCAGAGATATAGTGAAGGCTAGCTAGGTTGGGTTCGCGGGACCACGAATGGTTGGGTGCAGGTTTGGGGTTGGAAACCCCGAAGGTGATGCGAGGGACGTTCGAAGGGCGAGGTCGTCGAGCGAGGTTCTACGCGTACAAGGTGACCCAGTAAGGAATTTTCCTTACACTACCACCCTCCCCACCCCTCCCCCCTCTCCTCCCTCCTCCCCACCCACCCCCCCTTAAGAAATGTGGTCAATAACAAGCACGCGGGGGCGGGCAAGATAGTTCCGTAATACCGAGTGACCTTGTAGTGAGTCGGACGTGACCCACGGTGTCGTCGTCGCTCGTGCGATCTGCCGAGCGGAGCATAAAATCAATGTGGCGTCCAGTCGGCGTCACTCGCACGCGGTGATTAAAAATTTTCCAAGGTTGAAGTGTCGGGTCTGCCCCAGGTCCAACACATGGCGCGAGGTAAGAACGGGCGATATCGGACGACTATGGTGCGACGCAGTGCCGAAGTAGGCTGACGTGGAATGCGTCGTGAATCTTCCAGTCGTCCGACAGCAACAGCTTCGCCATGACAGGTGTCAGCATCTTGACGACGCGGAAGAGTCCCACGTATCGGGGACGGAGTTTCGCCGGTTGGGGTAACTGAAGATTCTTCGTATCTATGAAAACCATTTGCAGGGCGTTGAAGGTTAAATCTCTTCGATGTTTATCAGCATTGCGGCTGGCGATGATACCGTATTCGCCTTAGGAACAAATTCCGTTGCTTTGTCGCGCGCTGCTTGGAGTTCCGTGACGAACTGCTAGGATCGTGGCACTGGATTGTCCGGAGTCGTAGATGAGGGTACCATGGGGTCTATCCCATTATTAAGGTAGAATGGTGATTGATTAGTCGTTGCCGAAGGTGCGTTGTTGTACGCAAATTCCAGCAATGGGAGCGAGTCCTCCCACTTGGACAAGTCGGGGCAGTTGGTGCGTATCAGCTGCTCCATCGTCCGGTTTGTCCCCGATGTCTGACCGTCGGTTTGCAGGTGGTACGACGACGAAAACTGCAGGCGGGTTCTATACTGTGCCCACGTTTCCTGCCAGACCTTCGACGTGAATTTCGGTTCTCGATCGCTGATGATCGCCGAAGGTAACCCGTGTAGGCGTACAACGGTGGAGATAAATAGCTTCGCTGTTTCTTCGGCTGTGATCGTCGTGCGGCATGGTGCAAAATGCGCCATTTTCGTCAATCGGTCAACGACGACCAGAACCGAGTCGTTGCCACTCGTGCCAGCTGGCAGGCCCGTAACAAAATCCATCGTTCCTTTTTGTCACGGTCGTTCGGGTGGCTCAAGGGGCTGCAGCAATCCAGCCAGCCATTGTCGCGACGACTTCATGGCTTGGTAGGTCGGGCATGCTGTCACGTAGCGCTGCCCGCCCGACAGCATGTCGTGCCAATAATAATTGCGCTGCAATAGCTTGAGGGTTTTGTCGATTCCGAAATGCCCGGAGCGGTTAGAATCGCGAACCTCCTGTGTCAGCAACTCTCGTACGGACCGGTATGCCGAGACCTATATCCGGTTCGTACTGGCTTTTAGCTAATAATTCCGATGTTGTGTTGTGGCCCGGTGGTGTTGATTCCGCTTAAAGAGGCGATTAGTCTTGTATCCGTGGGTGAATACCGGTAGTCCTGATAATAGCGCGTTGGATTGTCCGATAAGTACTGCGGCGATCTCCAACGATCATCGGGTCAGGGCGTCGGCGATGTTGTTCGCGCCATTTTTGTACGTGATGGTGTAGCGATGTTGGAATCCAAAAAGTCCAACCACCGGATTTGTCGCGGGTTGAGCTGTGGTTGGCCTCGCATCGTAGTAACTTATGGTCCGTCCGTATCGTCACGTCGGCCCCCGTCAGGTAGCAGCGCGAGGTACGAAATGCGTGGACGATGACCAACATCTCTTTGTCGTGAACTGGGTAGTTGCGCTCGAGTGGTTGCAACTTGCGCGTTGGGTTGCGGCCCTTTGCCGAAATCCTGTAGAAGGACGGCGCCGATGGCAAAATCGCTGACGTCCGTTACGTCTTCGAACGGCCGAGACGGGTCCGCAAGCCGAAGTACCGGGGGTGAACTCAAAATGTTAGTGAGCTCGTCGAAGACCGACTATTTTTTATCCCCACACGAGAAAAGGTCGGTTAATGGCTTGGTGACCCCCGCCATATTGGGTACAAACCGGCGGACGTAATTCACAAAACCCTGCAACTCCGTGACGTTGCTATGATTTTAAGCATCCTCCTGAGCTCACAGGGCGAAATTTAAATATCTCCAACAAACTTTGTTTTTTTCAGGGAAAAATATATAAAGAATCCTGAAACTTCAGGGCATCAGCAGTACTTCACCCTATACGTTCAGGCAATTTTCTCCACGGAACCCTGAATAGTTGTTAGTGCACATAGCACATGTAATAGTGCCGAACAGGGGAGGGCAGAGCAGGGGGGTGCGGAGCGTGGGGGTGCTGAGCCTGGGGGTGCGGAGCCTGCGCGTGAGGACCCAGGAGGTGCTGAGCCTGGGGGTGCGGAGTCTGGGGGCGCTGAGCCCGAGCGTGAGGAGCCTGGAGGTGCTGAGCCTGCGCGTGAGGAGCCTGGAGGTCCTGAGCCTGGGGGTGCTGTGTCTGGGGGTGCTGAGCCCGAGCGTGAGGAGCCTGGGGGTACTGAGTCTGGGGGTGCGACGCCTGCGAGTTCTGAGTCTGCTGTTGCGCGGTCTCCTTGGAGTAGCCGCCTTCGTCCGCGTGTGCCTCTCACCTCACAGCAGCTCCACGACTGGTACGGTCGCCATCAGGGTCGCGCTTCTGGAGCTCGGGGCTCTGCCGCTGGAGGTACTTCTGCTGACGTCATTGGAGCTGGGGGTGGTGCTGGTCCCGGAGGTGCTCGTACTGGAGGTACTGGAGCTGCTAGGGCTGGAGGTGCTGAGCCTGAGGGTGCTACTGCTGGAGACCCTGGGTCTGGGGGTGCTGCTGCTGGAGACACTGCGGCTGGAGACCCTGGGACTGGAGGTGCCGGTTCTGGGGGTGCTGCTGCTGGTGGAGCTGGTCCTGGAGGAGCTGGCGCTGAGGGTGCTGGAGCTGCTGGAGGTGCTGGAGCTGCTGGGGGTACTGGAGATGCTGGTGCTGGTGGCACTGTGCAGCCGCGCCTGTTCTTCGCTCCACCGTCTCCGTCGTCTCAGCCACCGCCTGACTCTGTGCTTCGCCAGGTTCTTAGTCTCCCTTCGTCTACTGGTCTTCCGTTACAGCCTGGCTCACCGCTGCCTGCTCCTTCTCCTTACACTGAGCAGATAGGGGGTCTTACTGAGCGTCGTGAGCCTGCGTCGCGTCCTGTCTCGCCTGTCCATTCTGGTAGTTCCGGTCGTCGTGTTCCTCGTTCGCGTCAGCCGGCTGTCCCCGGCACCCACCTCGTAGTCCGTCGCCCTTCCTCTCCTCCGCAGCGTGTTCCTCTGCCGTCTCCTCCTGCGTCTTCTCTACCTGTCGTTGCGGACCCTGAGTCTGACCGGTTTCGTGCTGAGCACCCTACTGTCACACGTCTGCTAGCCACTGTTGTCACTGACCCGTCGTTTGAGTCTGCTGCTGCGTCTGCCTTTGTCGCTGAGCTGGTTGACTTTGCTGCTGCCTGTCGTCTAGACTACGCTGCTAGTCTTGTTGCTGAGTCTGAGTCTGTCTGTCCTCCTTCCGTCGGGGGTGAGTGTGCTCTTAGCACGGACGTCCTTGAGGACAGACAGGAGGATCTTGAGTGTCTTGCGGCCGCTGCACCTCATCTCGTGGCCATGCTGCTTGCCCCTGAGGGAGAACCGGATGCACCAGACATCCCGACCCCGCGCTCTTACGCTGAGGCGATCGCGGGTGAGTACTCCTCTCAGTGGCAGACAGCCATGGACGCAGAGATGGCATCCTGGAAGTCCACAGGCATGTACGTCGACGAGGTTCCCCCTCCTGGGGCGAACATCGTCGACGGCATGTGGATTTTCAGGGTGAAGCGGCCGCCAGGTTCTCCGCCTGTCTTCAAGGCTCGTTACGTTGCTCGAGGCTTCAGTCAGCGGGAGGGAGTTGACTTCTTCCATACTTTCTCCCCCACCCCGAAGATGACCACTCTTCGGGTGCTGCTACACGTTGCCGCTCAGCGTGACTACGAGCTTCACTCGCTTGACTTCAGCACAGCTTTCTTACAGGGCAGCCTGCACGAGGAGATCTGGCTGCGCCGCCCGCCCGGCTTCACTGGGTCGTTCCCTCCTGGTACCCAGTGGAGCCTCCGGCGGCCGGTCTACGGTCTCCGCCAGGCGCCACGTGAGTGGCACGACACACAGAGGACGACACTTGCGGCTCTTGGGTTTGCTCCTTCGACTGCTGACCCGTCGCTGTTTCTGCGCACCGACACTTCGCTGCCGCCGTTCTACATCCTCGTGTACATCGACGACTTGGTCTTTGCCACTGCTAACACTGAGGCTCTCGCCCTGGTGAAGTCGGAGCTGCAGAAGAGACACACGTGCACAGACCTGGGTGAGCTGCGCAGTTACCTTGGCTTGCAGATCACCCGGGACACAGCACGCCGCACCATCACACTGACTCAGTCACACATGGTGCAGCAGGTCCTTCAGCGCTTCGGCTTCACCTGGTCCTCGGCACAGGCCACTCCTCTGGCTACAGGTCACTCGCTCTCAGCTCCACCTTCGGACGAGTCCGTAGAGCCGAGTGGTCCTTACCCAGAGCTAGTTGGCTGCCTCATGTACCTGATGACCTGCACTCGTCCTGACCTCGCGTACCCTCTTGGCCTTCTGGCTCGCTACGTGGCTCCTGGTCGGCACCGAAAGGTGCACATGGATGCTGCTAAGAGGGTACTGCGCTACTTGTGCAGTACATCGGGCATGGGGCTCGTGCTTAGAGGACGGGGCGACGTTGTCCTCACTGGTCACTCGGACGCTTCTTGGGTTGACGACCAGGCTACGCAGCGGTCGTCACAGGGTTACACCTTCAGTCTTGGCTCTGGCTCTGTTTCTTGGCGGTCTACGCGCTCGTCTTCTGTTCTAGGCTCCAGTTGTGAGGCTGAGATCTACGCCACAGCCATGGCTGCACAGGAGTTACGCTGGCTCACCTACCTGCTGACCGACTTGGGAGAGAGGCCTCGTTCTCCTCCAGTTCTGTACGACGACAACAAGGCAGCCATTGCCTTGTGTCAGGAGCACAGACTGGAGCACAGAACGAAGCACATCGCTCTGCGTTACTTCCTGGCTCGAGAGTTGCAGCAGCGGGGTCAGCTTCGCCTTGCTCACGTGGCCACTCGGGCCAACACTGCTGATATATTCACCAAGGCACTTCCGTCTGGTGACCATCAGCGCTTTTGTACTTTGCTGGGCCTTGTGCCTACGTTTCCACACTTGCTGTAGTCTCTGCTTGTACTGTGATCTATATATATACATGCATGTTTGCTCTTGCTACCGTCATCGCCCGGATATAAGACAGTCTTGAATTGTAGACAGGGGTTGTCTACTATACGGGTGTCTCTTACAAACAGGCTAGCCTTTTTATACGACACCTATTTGTGTGTACGAGTTAAGACATATATGTCTTATAATCAGAACCGAGGTTTAGGGGTTTTCTTACAAACAGGGGGTGTCTTCTAAACGAGCCTTCCTTACTTTAGGGGGGTACATGCATACATTCATGAATCTCTACTTCTACCTAACCCCCCTCAGTCACCGCCTCCTCGCCTGCGCTAACAACAGGCTCTACACCCAGGTCTGGCACTCGCCAGGCATGCCTAGCCGTCTCCCTAGGCTCGATCATGCAGTCAGCCTCGGCCGCCGCCCCGCGGTAGTTGGGGGTCTCCTGGTACAGCACCTCCAGGCCGGTTGCCACGGCCACCTCCCGCACGCCCTCCGCCTGCATCGCCTCCTCCTCCTCCTCCTCCTCCTCCTCCTCCTCCTCCTCCTCCTCCTCCTCCTCCTCCTCCTCCTTTGGAGCCCGACCGAGCAGGCGCGTGTTGTCGCCTGTGGTCCCCCCGAGGGACATGTCCGCGGAGACATCGGTGGTGCTCCTGGCGCGAAGGTGAGACATCACCAGGTGGTTCTCCGTTCCGTCCAGCTTGCTTGAGATCCCACAGTGGCGGAACGCGTCGATGATGATCTGCTTGGGGACTTGATCCCAAGCCTCCGCGATCCACTGCAGCACCACGGGGTGCGGAGGCCTCCGCAGGTTCCCTGCGGGTGGGTTTGAGGACGGGGGCAGCGAGATGTTAGAGACACGGACATGAAGGAGCATGTTTAAGACAAGGACAGGAAACAGAACATGAATAATACCGTAAATGAAGGACCAACTCACCCTTCTTCGTCTTCAGGTGAATCCCCTCACGCATGAACCACCTGGCGTAGCGCGCTCGCACAGCAGCCTTGAAGCACCGGTTGATGGAGACGTCCAGGGGTTGAATCTGGCTCGTACAACCCGCTGGGATGACTGCAGGGGTGATGTTGTGCGTGCGGTACGACTAAAGCATGGTCTGGGTGATGTGACCGCGGTAGGAGTCCAACACCAGCATCGCACGCCTCGCGTTCTGGCCGCGCTGGGGGTTCAGATGGGGCAGCACCTCCTTGGACAGCCAGGTCTGCACAGCGCTCTCGTCCATCCACCCGTTGTCCTGTGCTTGGACCACGATTCCTGCCAAGCACACAAGAGACAGACGGGCTTCAGCACAGTGGGGCACGCTCATCAGGCAGTCGCACGGTTGAATTCATTACGCTTACCTTCCGGAATCTCACAGTTGGGGACGTTCTTCATCTTGAACCACACCCACGGCCGCAGCTTCTCCCCGGATGCAGTGCACGTGAGCATCACCGTCAAGCGCGTAATCTGGTAGCCTGCAGTGCGGATTGAGACCGAGCGCGCGCTGCGGTGCTCGATCGTCCGTTCGGCTGGCATCTCCACGAATAGTGGAGTCTGGTCCGCGTTGATGATGCGGGCCAGGTCGATGTTGTGCCGCGCCCTGTTGATGCGCACGAACTTCCAGAAGGACTCGCAGTCCTTCGCGCACTCTGCAAACGGTACACACGCAACGGAAGCACGGGATGGTTAGACACTGGGTGAGGGACATGCATTCAATAGCCCGCGCGCGACACGAATTCCTTCAACACGCACCTGCCGACAGACGTTGGCCGACCTTGGTCTTCACCCGCATCACCAGGTTCCAGCGGTCACGGAAACGCTGGCTCCAGTGAGAGCTCGCGTTCCAGTTCTTGCCGGGGTGATGCTTCTTCATCCACTCGCGGCTCCACTTTTGGGTGTCCTTCACCGAGATGGCCACCCCGTTAGCGCGCTGAAGGCAGATGTAGCGGTACAACGCTGCCTCCATGTCGGGGTAGTGTGAGTGGCGCCCCCCCCCGTGCATCCGCTTGCGGCAGTTAGCCGCGCCCTTGTAGACGCCCGCAGCCGCCTCCGCACTCTAGCGTCTGATGCAGGCGATGGACGCGGTTGACTCCACGCTCGTCTTCTTCAAGGAGCCGAGCTCCAGATAGCGGCGCGCCCACTTAAGCTTCTCACGCACGGTCCAACTGCGGCGCTTCTTCGTAGTGTCCTTGCTGCGAGGGGAAGGTGGGCGGGTGTTGAGATTATGGAGGGTGGGGTCCTTCGGCGTGACCTTCTCAGGGAACGTGGGAATCGGGCCCGCCGCCGCCGCGTACTCATCGTCGCTGCCCACAGTCTCGTTCACGACGATGTCGTCAGGATTCGGCGCCTTCTTCACCTTCTTCTTAGCCGCACCCTTGCTAGATCCCGGGTCTCCGTCGGATGTCCGCTTCTTGTTGCTTGTGCGGCGACGAGCAGGGGCCTTAGCAGGGGCTTCCGCGACCTTGGCTTTTCCCTTCTCCGCAGCGGTGTGTTTCGGGCGACGCTCCTCCCCCGGACTGTCGTCGTCAGAGAGCACCACGCGGGCCCGCTTCGACTTGGACTGTAGGCGATGGCGCAGCCTCCGCTTCAGTAGCGGAACGTCGTCGTCTGTCCCAAGGCTCCATGGGTCGTCGTCTCCGCTTTCACCGTCAAATAAGACGGCATCCGCAGCAACCTTGTCCGACTCTGCCACAGCATCCGCATCCGCAACTGCGGCCGCGCCGTCTTCAGCCTCCTCATTCGCATCCAGCGCCGCTTCCTGTGCATCCGCCGCTGCCTCCGCGTTGTCACCATTCGCATTTTCACCTCCGTCGTTGTCCGAATCACCAGCCCACCACTCTTCCACCTCGTCGTCGCTCCCGACCGGCCGATTCCACCATTCGTCCTCCTCGATGTCGGCAGGACCTAATTCGTCGCCCGAAGCGCTGTCGTCGTGGCCGTTCTCCGGCCAATCCTCCTCGGCGTCGTCGCCGTTCGCTTCTTCTCCGTCGTCCCCGTCACAGCTCGCACCGGAGGCGGCGGTAGGACTTTCCGCCTTGCTCGCGTTCTTCGCCATGGCTACACGGATGTCATCTCCGGGCGAGTTAATTCGCCCGTAGTTATTCACCTGCACGTGAGGACGAGGAGAGGACGAGCCTGGGGGTACTTTGCTGCGCATGGTTAGAAAGCCTGCCGAGAGCAAGGTTGAGACGAGTATTCCTAAACCCTTGAGCACCAAATGAAGTGAGAGCCCGACTACCCCCCCCCAACCAGAGTGCCCCATCCACAGGTGCCGAGCCGCTCCTCTACGAGGCATCTCCTCGTAGAGGACAGCCCTCACGCTGCCAACGTGCTGCCAGCAGCGTTCTGGAAGCATCCCTGCGCTGCTGGCAGCAAAACGACGCTGGCAGCATCATTAGATGCTGCCAGCACAGAGGAATATTGCCAGCGGTGGCAGCTCCCTCACGTGGCAAGTGTGGGCGCTGCATGCATCACCACCGAGGTCGGCCTGTTTCAATGAATCTGGTCTCTGGGTGTTTTCTACACACTTTGCAAGTGTTACAGTCAACTTAAATTTTTTTCCATTTATAAGACTTATAAGACACCCTAAACCATCCCGTTTACAAGATAACTCAAGCATTTTTGCCCGTGTACGAGATAAGACATATATGTCTTATATCCGGGCGATGACGGTAGGTAGAGTTCACTGTACTGTTCTTGTTGCATATATACCTCTGCATGTGAACTGGCCTTGTGGCCGTTTGCTTGTGCTCAGTGTGTGTGGGGACGTTGTGATCCACCCTGAGCTTGTTTTGCTTTCCTTGACTGGTCTTGTGACCTCTTTCTCTCCCCCACTTTGCCTATGGGGGTGTGTCAAACATATACATATGTTATAGTTTTGGGTAGACAGTAGTGGGGTAGATACTGTGGGGTACAACCCCTTAGGTTTCTTCCTTGTACCAAAATCCCTCGATACTCAAACATCATTCCTGCCTAAGTTCTAAGAGTAATAGTGCCGAACAGGGGAGGGCAGAGCAGGGGGGATAGAGCAGGGGAGGACGGCGCAGGGGAGAACAGAGCAGGGGAGGGCAGAACAGGGGAGGGCAGAGCAGGGAGGGCAGAACAGGGGAGGAAGAGCAGGGAGGGCAGAACAGGGGAGGGCAGGAGCAGTACAGAGCAGATCAGGGGAGGGCAGAACAGGGGAGGGTACCTGATGTCCCTAGGCGCGGTGTACGCTGGAACCGAGGGTAGTTGATAAGATAACCCTTTTAAAAAATGAAAATGTCGCATAATCCCGTGAGCTTATGGCGGACAATGCAACAAGAATGGCAGCGGCAACAAGCCCACGCACTCGAAGTACCGTGTTCTGTTAATTTGGGACCTGTCTGTCTGCTATTTTCTGGGTGCCCATCTAGTGAAACCAGGGTGCCATACGAGTAAGAGGGTTTGGGGGCGTGGAATGACGAGTAAGAGGGTAGGGGGCGAGAGAGAAGAGGGGGATATCTGAATGCAACTCAGTCCTCCCCAATGACAAGCCCTTGGAACAAAGAGGCATAAAGACTTTAATCGCCAAAACGTTGTACTTCATTCATACAGGATACCAGTCTACAAGGCAAATGAGCTGCAACAATACACCCCCGCATGTGCGGGGGCAAAAACGGTGGAAGCCTGGCGTTGCAATGGATGCCTGCCAGCCGACAACCAAAAAACTCCTTGCCTTCTACATGATGCTACAGTACCTGTATCTTGTAACTCGCAAGCTGCCATGCATACTGCATATGCTGCTTGCAACGCGAAGTAAGCCATCCGCATACCACGACTCACCTTGAAACTCGTGTGCGGTGCACCCTCGCTTGCAAATCCGCACACCACGACTCACCTTGAAACTCATATGCACCGCACTATTGCACCTGTGAGTTCTCCTGCAGACCCTGCCACTTCTGCTCATCCTGCTGCCTATGCCATACTAATACTCACCTCTGCACTGCACTTACCACTCCACTCACCACTCTACGACCACTCTTCCTTCCGATACCAGGCACCTGATTTGGAGGCGCTTATAAAAAGGCAAATCTTCTATTCTCCTTGGCCGATACCCACCCCCCTTCCACAAAAACTCCAAACGAACTCTGCCTCGCTGCTCCTCCCACCCCAGCTTGCAGGCACCTCAAAGCATGACGTCGACGTCAGGACTGCCACTCCCAAGCGCATTATGGGAGACCTAATGATGCTGCCTAATCCTGATTTTCATTTTGTTCCCGATCCTGGTCACACTGTTGCTGCTGCTGCTCCTGCCCCTGCTGCTGTTGCTGCTGCCGTTCCTGCCCCTGCCACTGTTGCTGCTGCTGCAAATGCATATGCTGCTGCTGCTGCTGCTGCTGCTGCTGCTGCTGCTGCTGCTGTTGCTGCTGCCTCTCCTGCTGCTGCCGCTGTTGCTGCTGCTGCAGATGCAGATGCTGCAGCTGCTGTAACTGCTGCAGCTGGTGGTGTTGAAGCTGCCTCTGCGCCGAGTGCCACTGCTGCAGCTGCTGCACCCTCTGTAGCTGACCCTCCTGCTGCCTCGCCAACACCTCGTGCTGCTGCTGCAGCACACCTTGCTGCAACGGCTGCTGCTGCACTGACTGCTGCTGCAGTGACTGCTGCTGCACTGACTGCTGCTGCAGTGACTGCTGCTGCAGTGGCTGCTGCTGCTGCACTGACTGCTGCTGCACTGGATGTTGTTGCTGCCCCTGGTGTTGCAGAATATGCTGTAGCAGGCGCTGCGGCTGCAACTCCTGGAGTTGCCCTGCTTGCTGCTGCTGCTGCTGCTGCTGCTGCTGCTGCTGCTGCTGCTGCGCAGCATCCGTTATCCCCCCAGTGCGTGCCATACCATGCTGCTGCTCCATCAACTGCTCCATGTGACGCTGAAAGACCCACTGCTGCTGATTCTGCTGCTGCTTCTCTAGCTGTTGTTGCTGCTGCTCTAGCTGTTGCTGCTCTTTCTCTTGATCTTGCTGCTGCTGCTCTTGATCCTCCTCCTGCTGCTGCCGCTGCTTCTGCTGCTCCTCCTGCTGCCTCTGCAGCTGCTGATGCAAGATCTGCTGCTGCCAAAGTACCTGAAGCTGCAGCAACTCTTTTCGGCTCCACTCTTCCTCCTGCTGTTTCTGTCGTTGTTGCTCCTCCTCCTCCTCTTGCCGTCGCTGCTGCTGCTTCTGCTGCTCCTCATTCTCCTCCTGCTGTCTCAAATTCTGCACATGCTGCTGCTGCTGCTGCTGCTTCTGGTGATGCTGCTGCCGCCGCTGCTCCTGCTCT